TCATTCTGTAGAGTCTTGAATACGATGATGATTCAGTTGGCGACTCTTCTACAAACGATCTCCTCTTTTGCCCGAATTAAAACTAAGAATGATAACGAAACCACGGAGCTATGAACGGAATAAGTCTTTCACTAATTTGTGGTTCGCACGTTAACCATTAAGATGTCGATTCCAAATTTATTGTATACACTAACGACAGTAAATACAACCTTTGGGCATGTAAAATATTCTTTTTAACCCTTTACACCCTAACATCAGTATGCATATTCTCCATACTGTTCTCTAAGGTGCTGACAAGGAGAATTTGTCGAACAATCAAGAGGTTCTTTAGTTGGTGGTCAGTTCCTTTATTCTCCTGACCTTAATATTTCATTCAGGGGTGATATGGTGAGGAGAAATTAGATGCCAGTCACTCTTAGGGGCTAAAGGGTTAAAGAAACCTGATCAAACGGTTTATGATGAACCATGCTATGCGATAATACTATATCACGTCATATTTAGCATTCTAAAAAGATGCTGAGAAAAGAGAAACGTAATTATTACATCGAACTTTCATATGTTTGTCCTTTCATTTCGGTGCTCGAACGGTTGGCATTTGTTATTGTATCCTTTCAATCGCTCGTTTGTTCGTAAAATCTCGTTGAATTTGCTCGTACGATGTAATCTTGGGAGGTGGCTGAAATTACAAAATGTTGAATAGTTTATGGTATGTTAAAGCCACACAATCCACACAAAAGTCTCAATTGTGGTGACACAAAAGTATCTTTTTTTCTCCTGAAAAAAGATACTTTTGTCTCTTTGTTTTTCTATTCGGAAACCCCTAAGCCTTCTTGGTAGCAACGTAATGCTGATGAGACCTAATATGGGTAAAGCAGCTGATCAAGGCTATTGGCTATATCGCTTACTTTATTTTCCCGGTATCATTTTTCTGAATTTCCTGCTTGAACTGTCCCCTCCACATTTTTTTCCAGTCCTGTCCAATCGGTAGAGGCCCAGAGTTCTCTCGTTGTGTGTTCGATGTTTATGGTCACAGCCCGCTTGTGGAACAGTTTCTTCGGATGCAGAAGTTAGCAAAAGATTCAGGAACTTCGGTGTTGATTCAGAGAACTGAAATCAAGTCACTGCCACCATATCCTTCACAACAAGGCTAAAGAGCATAATTAGGGCAGACTAAGTTAGGCCACGTTCAAGATTAAGAATGACTAAAGATTTTGGGCGATTCGACTTAGGCTAGGATAAGTCTGCTTTGATTTTGGAGTTTACAATTAGCTCAAATGACATATGTTTCAAGAAGAAAAAATTATAAAACTCGAGACTGTTAGAAATGATGTTGTAACAATTTTTAAGTTACGTTTGGCGCAGAGAGAAAAAGGGAATGTAAAGAAAAGGCTAGCTTGCGAGCAGGCCCTCATTGTTAGTACTGTAGGACGCACTTTTCTCTGCCCACTGGCTGATTTAAGACGAGTCGAGGAGAAGTTTGTGGGGCACTAATGACTTATGCTAGTCTCCTTGCAGACTTCTCACCGGCTGGCGTTGCTTAAGCCCCCATACTTCCATGCGGGCGAGGGAACGCTCGTGTCGGAAATTAGAATTGCTCGCAAGCTAAGTAAAATTATTTCAGATTCCAATTGTTCCCAATTAAAGATTAAAAAGAACTTCATCGAAGATGTAAAGTTCTTCGAATGCTCAAGTTGGGTTAGAACCGGAATCGTTGGATTCTATTCCAGTTTTCTTGGTCGAGATAAACTTTTTTGTTCTTCCATTGTAAATTCCTCTTCAGCTCTCCTTAACCGTGTTTACATTATCCGCCCCAACTTACAGAGAGGTGATCAGAAAGTCTCTCAAGATCTCACAAGCTTTAACAAGTGATTTTAAAAAGTGAGTATATTTGATTCGTTTTCGATTCTTTATCGAGTTGAATTTTTTCAGCCTTGCGTAGTAGTGTCTCCATTTAAGAGGACGCAATGGATTTAGAACGGACCGCGCGAGTGAAAAGTCATGCAGAGTTACTTGCGTTACTTGCTTGCAACCAAGTGTATTATATTTTGAGCGGCAAGGGAATACTGAAGCAAGAGTCTTACTTGCCTAACATTTTCTCTTTGTTATATTAGTGTCGATATGCTAATCTTGCGCGCGTTATCAAACTCCTCTTTTGTACGGTTTAAACGTTTTCTTTTTTCCAATAACCCGCCTTTAACTTCATCTGAAATATTTTAAACGAAAATAAGAGAAACTGGCTGACACAGAATTATTTCTTGAATTTCCCGCGTACAAATACGATTCTCTCCGATCGTTATCAAAGTTTTTAAAAGTTAGTTGTGAAGTACATAACCTTTTTTTCCATTTCTTTCTTCTTTTTTAGACTGGACGAAGAGAATTCCCACCAACGAACTTTATTTGCTCGTAAACAGAAAGAAGCCAATAGAGACTTTACCAGGTATCAATTAAAATTAATTTATCGTGTATCCGTCACGTTTGATGACTCGAGAGAAAGAGGATGGAGAACTTTTCAATTGAGTATAGAAAGTAATCCCAGATTGCTATAGGTTTGCTTACTTCGCTCTCTGATTAGTCTAGAAAACTCAAGTCACCCTCTCAACCAATCAGATGCAAAACTAAAAGCAACTACCCCTTTAACGTGTTTTCCCGCGCTTTAGGCAGTTTGCTTTTTTTTATTTTGAGTTGTCATTGGCTCTTAAGAACATTTTCCTTTGTTCTAATTGGTCGTAGTAATTACTTTGGTTTTGATTTTACAACATTCAATCGAGAAGCAATATTTGTACTCTTCTTAGTATATTATGGGATACCCACTATGAAACTAATGAATACTGGGTCCCTTATATATGCGTTATTGACCAAGCGTGGGGTCAAGATGGTTGGATATTGGCCGAGTTCTTTCTTTGCGTTCTTATGGACCGAGAGGAAGTCGAGGCCTATAAAAAAAAAAAAAAAAAACAGAATGAAGCTAACATATAATCATCTTGACCGATCAAGCTTTGTCGATATTTATTTATTATACAGCGAAAAGGTCATCGCTTTATCAAGAATCAAGACTTGTTTATTTCAAGAGATGGAAAAGTTATCCAGCTGTTTTAGTAGCAAAATAAACCCACGGGAGCCGTTAATGTTTTGTTTGTTTTGGCTGTCCTCTGCCGCTTTTTGCGACTCTATCGTCGGCATTGTCCAAAATTTATAAACTTAGCGTGACCGCTCTGAGCAATTATTTTTTCTTGAGCAGGATCAAAGCGGGCAAGATGGGCCCATCTTGCCGGCTCGCGTAGCCAATCAGAACACAGGATTCGCTTCATATTGCCCGTGGGCACAGCCAGCGATGTAATAAATAGGTGTACTGTACGTATAGGCGTGTGCTTTCCTCCTCTTATATCTTCAGCTCGGAACCTGTATACCATAGTAGTTCTTATTTAAGCTCTCCAATCGCCACCAAACCTTAGAAGAATAACGCAAGTCCTGTTCACCTTTTACGTGTTGGTAGCTGATACTGATTAGTATAGGTAATAACTTAATTTCGAGTGTAATTTGGTATTGATGAGCACGATTAAACTTTTCGAAGACGACAAAATTGCCCAAGCCCATAGAGTAAGAGCAATTTGGGGTCTTTGAAATTTACAAGTGCTTGTTACACCAAATTGGTAATGAAATTATAGTTATTACTTGTTAATGATTTCTATGATCAACATCACAGAAAGTCAAGACAGACCAAATTTTGAAAGCGCGCGCGCGCTATTTGTAATTTGCCCTCGTGTTACATGAGAATGAAATCGTTTTCAGCTAACCAGAAGCACGTGATTTTAAAATGCACATTATTAGGTTCGAAACCTCTATGCATTTTCTCCATTAGTTGATTTTATGTTCATCATTTAATCATCTTATCAGACGCGAAGGAGAGTTATTGGCACGTCAGAAAGATGTGAAGAAGATAAGCGAGCTGATATATTTAGAACTCACGGTAAGTCACATCGAGGTAGAGAAAGTAAGTAAGCTAAGTAAGCGGCAACCGGATGCCTTTTTTCACTTGCCGGAAGTATCAATTTCTTCATCCATGATTGGAAAGTGACAATTTCTCAATGCCAAAACAAATGCTTGGACTCTAAAGGACCAAAAAAGCTTTCGGTCATACAGGAATTTCAGGAGCTACACAACACATGTATTAGAATTCGGGGACGGCGAAGGTTACTTTCAACCGTGGGGACTTGAACACGAACACGAACGAACGCTTGGGCGCGAGTTCGTGAGGGGGTCTCGGGCCTTCCTCCTCTAGAAACGTTTTTAAATCGTGATCTCGGAGTACAATGTGTGGTGAACCAGACTTTTTCCGTTTTCGTTTTCTTTCTCTTTACTCTTGGTACGTACCTTATACTAAAACAAAACAAACTACTATCCTCACAAAATTGAAGTCCCCCAGTTCCGCCGTTCCTGATTCAACTTTGTTCGAAATTCTAAATTTAAAAACGGCCGCCACACAATAGCAAAGCCACATTATACTTTCTTACTTTTTTTTTTGGCAATAGTTTGGCAAAAGATGCATCATAAAAGATGTTGTAAAGAGAGATATTTGATTTTGTTACAATTTAGAAAGACGGAGATGAACAAAGCAGTGGAAAAGTCGCCGCAGCCGTTGCTTCGGCCATGGGGTATGGAACTGAGAGCGAAACCAATTAAACGTGTTTGGGTATAGCTGGCTTCCAAAGCAATTCAAGTTTGTTCTCTGTTACTCTTGAGGAGTATCATGCGAAGTACTGAGGTACTAGCAGAGACGTGGCTTTCGTGTTGTAATTTTATCCTGCGTAATTCTAAAATGCTTCTATTTATTTTGATAATATTTTTACATATGGCTGATTCAAAATTCTTATTTTTGTATTTTATGACAGTCTAATTTATTAACTTGTGGGTTTACGCTTTGAGCAACTTTCTGTGATAAAAATGTTCAACAATCAACAAGTAAGCTTTTCTTGTTGAGTGGATTAATAAAAGTACATGCCTTGTGAAGAATTTTATAGCTTAAAAGTGTTGCTTCTAAAACTGATCAAACAAAACATCGGCTTTGCTACTATATCATGTATAATTCTCAGTCATATTTTACATTGGATTAGTGCTAGAATACCGATAATGTCCGGACAGGATTGACGGGCAAACATGGTTTGGATCAAAACATGCATTCTTTCTGTTTGATTTTATTTTCGGGGAAGGGGAGGGGTGCTGTCGAGGGCCGTTAGTGTGGTCCATCAGTTTGGACCTCAAAGCCTTTACGAATGCGTGTTACTCGTTATTTCGATATAAATATCACTCAAGGAAGATGACTTAATCATTGCAACTGGGTTTTTATCGTCAATATCAAAAGAACTTCTGGAACAGTTTCCTTGTTCGTCACTGCCAGCCAAAGAGTCGTAAGTGTGGTTGGCGTGGATCGGTTCGTTCTCCTCGGCTATCGATTCGAGAGATCGAAACCTGTTCGGCACCCCGACATCAGCTTGGCTAAGTTCTCCACAACTTTTCCAGCTTCGTAAGACATGTTCGTCAAAGCCATCTATGTCTTCATATTGTCCTTCGTAAGAGCTGTCTTCCAAAGAAGAAGTGGAACTCAGGTGGAATTTTGATAACACGACTTGTTCACGGTTCCTCTGATAGATTTCCTGTAGCTGTTCCAGGCTGTATTTTGACATAAATCTGGCCATGTGCGGGATTGCATCGGCAATGTCGTCTTCATCAAAGTCTTCGTCCATGTGCAGCAAAAAGCGGAACAGCGTTTTCTTCTTGTCACTTATTTTTTCGACCTCGAGCCAGTTGGCCTGTCGCTGTTCCTCGATGCTAATATTGTCCAACGTATACATGATACTCTCGGCGAAGTCTTCAACGTCTGCCACTGCCTTTTCAAAATTTGTCAATGTAGGTTTATACAACGGCTTGAATGGTGGACTCGCCAGCCTGCCAATCTGCTCTTTAAGGCAGTACATGATGTAATCAAGTACCTCGTAATCGTTCGTTTGGTTTCCAACGTTACTACTCACTTCAGCGAAGGCGTCGTTTACAATGGACAAAAAAACATTGACAAGGATCAGAAACATGAAGAGCATGTAAGAGATGAAAAAGATGGGTCCGATGAGTCGGTTTGAGTTCTGCAACCCTAGGAAATCGAACCCTCCCAGGGTCATGGACAGCATAGTCTCTGATGCTACAACGAACGTAGCGTAATCCTCATTTGTTGGACCAAACACAAGGAACGCCACCTGAACGTAAGCTACAAAGAAAAGGAAAAAAATAACAAAGAAGGATAGCAATGGTTTGCTGCTGACCTTGATCGTCTGAGCCAACGTGGATAGTCGCCGATTGAATCGGAGAAGTTTGAGAAACTTGAGAAAGAAACAGAAAACTGCCATGCCTAATGTTCCTAAGTAAGCTTCATCCAGGAATATAATGTAGTCAAAGCTGATGAAAGTATCAGGGTTTGCTCGCATTCGCTTCACGGCCAGTTTAGCAAACCCCAACTCTGCAAGGTACAGAAAAATGGCGGAGAATGAAGAGGCGATGACTATTATCTCAACATAGTTCCAAGGGTCTTTAAAGTAACTCTTTCCAAGTACAAACAGCTGCTTGGCTTCGTTGTAACTGTAAATGCATAGGGATACGAAGAAGATAAACTCGAAAACCATGATAACCATTTGTTCTGGACCAGTATAGCGGTAAAGCCGGATGCTACGGACTTTCGGGTAATGGTAATATCCCCCAGTGGGGAGAATTTCGGTTAGCATAGTTACTACACCGAAGAAATTAGTGTGCGCGTTGTAAACCGTGAATTCAGCGAAGACGGCGCGCGTGTACCGATCAATCCACTCATCAATGTGCAAATCTCGTATATTCTTCAGCGCGGTCAAGCGCGTGGGAGCGAGATTGTACACAAAACCTGTAAAAAATAGAAAAAAGCTTTAGTCGAATACAAGCATTCAAATTTCAACCAAAAGTCTCCTGTGCTACTTCCCTTCTGACCTCTCATTCTGCGTCCTTGAAATACTGACTGTCGTTTGTATCAATGGGTAAAAATCTCTCCAAACACCAACCTACATACGTTTTGCTTTAGTTGTTACACTAGACCGTTCCCTAACTAATTCGATTTGTACTGAATTGCATTTATTCAGCTCAACGTACGGACTCATCACCCTTTTAATGTCAATCTAAAATCCCCAAACTCTCTCTTTCTATCAATCACCGCACACTCCCCATCAGAAACTTTAAAGTTTGAAAGATTTCGGCAAAGGGTCAAGGGATAATAATAAGTAGTTTATTGGGCTAATTTTGTGTGCGAATCGCATCAGTTAATTCCGTTCCTGATTCGGTCCGTGAGGTGCTGCGGGTGTAAATGTATGACAGCTAATCACGGTTCAGACACTCACCACCTCCCCAGTAAGATGCAAAAATTCCCCAGAATGGTGTTCCATTCAGCGCTAGGGCGCTTTGCCAAATCCAGGGAGACTGATGATCATTCGAAAGTTTTTCCACGTCACTTTCCTTCATTGGTTCCCAGCCAGGATGAAAAGCGCCTTCTTCTTCGTCTTCCCATGAGTAGTAAGAAGTGCACGTTTTGATGATGTGGAGCAGATGTAAGGGGATAGTACAGGCATCTGAAAAAATAATCCCCGAAGGAGAATGGTTTTGGTTCAGCCCTAACTTTGGGAGATATCTGTTATTTGCGACGCATTGCTGAATTACAAAAGCAGCTACCATCTGTCAAGGTAGTTACTCTAAGTGTTTTGAGCCAATGATAGATGGAAATAGAGTCTTTTTTTAATGTTACACCATAAAGTTTCCCAAACTGAATTACTTTCCTTAAAATTTCGTAAACTGAATTACTTTCCTTAAAGTTTCTTGGCGATTTGAAAAGAGTCCCTGAATAATCCCAACACTCTTTGAAATCATGCTTAGGTAGAAGGCCGCTGTGTCTGCCTTCTCTTAATTAGAGCGCGCTGCACTTAGTGTGAGTGGCCTCGCATGTAAATGACGAGAAAAATAGGAGAATACCGTGAACTCTATAAATATTACCTTTTTTCACCCTCAGCTGACGTAATCGTGCCACACCCACAATATAAAACATTCCTCGGTCGGCGGTGACAGTTTTGGGGAAACTCTTCAATGATTCAAAAGACTCGGCATAGTCAGTTGCGTAGGACCCACCGCCCTTTACTATTGTCTTGATTTTACGTCCTCCTCCGCGTCCAGTTTTGAATGTCATCCTTTCTTCAGACCACAATTGCTCTTCTTGTTTGATAATAAATGGACCATACCAGTACTGGGGGTGTAAGGAGGGAACGAAGGAATTCTCGATCCAGTTCCATAATTTCGATGCTTCACTGCTCTGTTAAAGACAAAAGCGTACACAAAAGAATGACCTCTAGGTAAAGAAACGCCCTTCCACATGAAATTACCCATTTGTGCGTAGACCTTTTTCAACGTAGATTTATTCCTTTGTGTTCATGTGATCATACGTACGCCTTAACGCCCGATTAGCAAAAGCAAAATTCATAATAATTTGAACTCTGAATAGAGGGCAATTAGCTAAAACGTAAAACAAATGGCCATGGAAAGGTCTGTTGAAGAGACAAACCAGCAGAAATGCGCAAAAAACCATAAGGGAATAAGTGCAGTAGAATCAATTATTTTAATACCACGTGCGAACAATAAGGGCAATATTGCTTGCCACCTTAATGTTATAGTTTCGTCACAGTTTCGCATGTTTACCTGATCAAACGGAAGCAGTGAGGTGTACTTGCTTTCGGGGAAGATATCGGTGAGTGCTTTGGTCACGGCATACGCTTGAGTATCTCGGCTTCCATACGCTACAACACTTAGGACAAGAATGAACGCAAAGTAGAGGAAAATTTCACGAAGGATAATTTTCATCTGCTTCTGCTTTGTGCGACGCTGTCTGGCGATATGTAGAAGTCCCTCGCCTGGTGGCTTGGGAATTTCAGTAGATTTTCGGAAGTCGAAGCCATTCTGCAGATTGCCATAGGAGTCATGTATCCATTCTTCGTCCCTCCCAAGTTCCCTTCTTTCCTTTCCGTCGTCTTGAATGGCCTTGTCTGGATCTTTGATGATGAGAGCGAAGAGCACTGCTACGATGATGACTTTGAGTGGCTGAGAAATAATTACGTCTTGCCAAAAAGATATCATCATACTTGACACCCATCTCTGTGACTTGGCCTCTCCAAATGTCAGAGAATAAAAGATTGTGAAGACGGCAGAGGTAACAGAAGCAACGAAAATCAAACCATAAGCAATGTAGATTGTACAATGAGGAAGAGTGAACACTTTCTTTCCTTTTTCCCCTTTCTCTTCCTTCTTTGTTTCGCTGTTTTCGGCATCTTCTTTCTTCTTCTCAACTAGGTCGTAACTTCTGCAGGTTTCACTATCGAAATCACTGTATTCACACGCATTGCTTTGGTGATTACTCGGTTTTGTACCTAGCATGGGCAAATCTTTCGGCCGAGCTTTTCTGAAAATGTTAACGATAAGTAAGTTCACAGGAAGAACTACCAGGCTTGACATGACCCCAATCCCGATTTGGTTTATTGAGAGTCGAATAGGTCCAATCTTGACTTCAACCTCAGCATTTGACTCTTCCTCTGCTCCGTCCTTGTAAAACATGGCGTTTGCTAGCATGCTGCAGGTGAGGATTGACAGACAGCAGGAGAGGCGCTGCACGCAGGTGAATGAGCTTCCAAGAGGACGATACAACACTGAGTACCACAAATGCCCATCACTGAGATTATTACGAACTTCGGAGCTAAAAAGAAAACTAAACCTCACCAGCTCTTCCTTTGAAGCTGGAAGAAGTGTTCGATCGATCTGACCATCGTCTTCTTCAACCGCAAGCCAGCGATCACAAACAAACCATACCACTTTGTCAGTCTGAAGATCGCGCACAAGCACCCGTGAGAGAAACCACGAAGGATCAGGGCCGGTGTTGTTATGCCATATTCGAATACCCAGTATCTCTCCAAGCGGTCGCGGGACTGTCAATAGAAAGTTATCAACGCTTCCCTGTTGAAATTTTCTTCGCGCTGGCTCCAGGTCGAGTAACCGACGGGTCTGTGTCTGCTCAAATGTGCCAGTCAGCACTATCGAAACATCTGCAGTGGTTCCCGCGCTACTGTCAAAACCAGTAAAGACTATAACCTCGTAACCATATAGATCCCTTGGATCATTAGTTGGAAGTGGAGTGACACCAACCTGTCACGATAGAGAAACTTGTTTATGAAAAGAATTATGCATGTTCGGTTATTTTTCTTGGGATGTCCCGATACACTGATGGCACAATAATTTAAAATTTCTTTCTCCTTCTCTTTTCATACCCCAACAACACCAGGTTATGTTCTTCAAGCACGAATTTCTCATTTTTTGTTTCACATGTTACAACCAACATATTCAATCAACTTCTTGAATTTCGTATGCCGAGAGCCGGTTAAGGTAAGGTTTGAAATATGGTGGTCAGGATGATTTGACTGTGGTCATCTGAGGTTATTTGAGGCGAACTTTAAATGATCCAACCTGCTAATACCAAATAAGCTGAATATAATGATGATAATAGGGCTTTTTCAGGGTCAAAAGTACCCCTTGATTTTATCGATTTTGCTTGAATTCGATCAGCTATTGGCCTAGAGAACTCTCCCCATCCTTTCAACCAGTCCGGATCAAAACCTACACCCCTTCACAATTTTACCGCCCGCGCTTTCCTGCGCTTCGGAAATTTTAATAATAATTCCTTTCTTCTTATTGCTCGTTGTGATATCTTAACGCTTTTATCATACGCAAAGTGGATATGTGGTTTTTATCATGAGTATTAGTATATCCTCACCAACAACAGATCTGCCTTGTCCTTTTGTCGGGCCCATACCACCAGCAGAAAATACAGGAGAAAGATGCAGCAAACGATGATAGTGACGGTAGGATTTTTGAGAAGCTCTTTCAGGTTCACCTTTCTCCAGTCAATCTTGTTCGGGGGAACAAAGAAACTGCTCGCAAACGACGACATATGGGTGCACAGACATTGTGTGTGTGTTGAATTGGACAACGGTCCAACCTGATAGGAAATAACAAAAAGCTGGAACAAACTAACTACAACGACTACCCTGCAATTCCAAATATACAACTTTCACGTAAAAGCTGAAATTTTCAACACGTTATGCTCAGTGTAGTTGCAGGTGTAATCAGTCAACTGAAATGTCAGGGCATTCCTCATGAGGCAAGGCACTATTTCGAGTCCTTACGAGAGTATTCCTCTCTCAATTTACAGAATAATTCGAGCAAATTGAAAGAGATAGAAGCCAAATAAATAATGAATTGATTTCTGTTTCCTTCCACTCCTACTTATGTATGCAGAAGTATCTTACCACACAACCGTCTCCAACCCAAGTTTGATTCAGTTCGTTCCAGTACAAGCACTCGGATGTGTATGAAGAAAACAAATATTCCACCGTCCTATCTTCCTCAGCGACTCTAGCACCGTTGACAGTTCCGTTGTACTCGACGATCACAAAATATTCCCCTGCTGCTGTCCCGTTGAATTCTGTGTTGCTAAAGAACAGTAGCTTTGGATCCCAGGCCCCTTCATTACTTGCGTTGACACTAGAGTTGAGTTGAGGAACAACCCGTATTTTATCCTTCTCATGGCCGTCCATTGTTGGTTCCTCTCCTTTTCGCAGATAAACGACCAGAGAAGGTTGCTCCGTAAACTCCCCAAGAAGGTGCACCTCAATGGTAATAGAGCTTCGGTTGTTCTTTACTTCAAACCTATGCCTGAGGATTTTGGTGTATTCCACCTTCCCTTGAGAAGTTTTAAGGGACTCGCTCCCTTTTCTTATCCACAAGTCCACTGGTTGCGTAAGGTTTTCGATTTTCAGTTCCTCTTGAGTGCTGTGGTTGCGTATTTCTATTGAAAGCACATGACTGTTGACAAGACTAGCACTTGGGGACCAAACAAAAGGTACGAAAGGTGTTGAGGTGACCTGTCATGAAACATGCGGCACAAAAAAAGGATTTGTGAGAACCACACAAAGTATTAGAACAAAGCAATTGAAATAAACATTCTTAATTGAAATAAGCTAAGAAATAATCCATAAAGATACTATACCACAGAGAAACAAAATTTGACTGTCATAACAACATATATTTCTACGGTTTCCTTTTATAAATTCCCCGTAGGGTCTTCTGAATCAATAAAACTTCATTTTAAGTTTCGAGTGAGAAGATATATCTCGCACCCAATTTACACTCCAAAAACAAGATGAATTAAGCCTTTACTATTTTTTTGTGTTCGCCATATTGTTAGAATGGGCAATTTCGAAAGCTTCTTGTGAACTTATAGTTTAAGAAAAATGGCTAATTTAATGAAATAAAGAAAGATTTTTTTTCGTATTGTAAAGTCGAAAAAACATCCTTCTTCAATCTAGTGGATTCTCTGAGTAAAGATAAACCAGAGACTAAAAACGAAGTTAAAGTGATTTGATTAGGAGTTACACTTACCAATGCGTCGATAACGATAAGAGCGGTCTCGTTTCCGTCCTTCAATATGCCCAGCTCTCCAAAGTCGTCAGGCAAATCAACACCTCCTACTCCACAGTGAAGAGTACGTCCCGAGAATCCCGCAGGAAAGTCGCGGTTAAGGGTGAAATACAGCGAAGGAGAGCGCACTTGTATGGGTTCCTCTTTTGGTAGTGTGTGACCAAGATACGAGTCAGATAGGAGTCTGACGTATTCTATGACGTTTTCCATCAGAATTTTACCCTTTAAAGATTTATAATTAGACATTAAAGGAAATTGCTTTTAAGTTCAAGAATGCTGTAATAAAAGAGTTGCTCGAGTATTGATAGAAGAGAAGTGTAACTTTTGTTTAGTTAACGTTTAGCTTAACCGCAAAGGAAACTTTCCAATTTATGGAAACTTGACTTTTCTTTATTCAAAGACTGTCATGGACGGTTGAGAAACTTTATTGGGATTCGATTTGCATAAAATGAGATCGGAATGGACACAGAGGAATATTATGCGAATAGGGCCACGAATTGTTACGCGTAACTAGCTGTAGAATTTGGTAGCTTTATAGCTCTAAGTAAGGAGCGATCTCTCTTTTGGTTATTATCGGGCTGCAGTATGCATCAGGTAATTTTCCTTGTGAAGTGTGGCAGGACTAGTGTGAATATATCGAACATTTTTACCCTCTTCCTTCGTTTTCAAGACATTTCCCCACATAGGCGGGCGATAAAAACGAAAATTGCCCCTTTCAAAGTATAGTAAACGGATTATTTAGAAGAATGGAATTCAGTTCCACTCATTTTTTTTTTATCTGATAACTCTCATTCCCTTACGTCAAGTCCAACTACTTACCAATACATCAAAATTTTCCTGTGTCATTGACGCGTTTGTCCTATTTCCAGCAAAGTATTCTCCATCCATCAAATGAGATACGACCCCCAACATGTTACCTAACGCCTCGGACACAGTGTTTAGCGTTCCCCAGAGTTCAGTAGAATCTGTTATTGCGGACTGTTGTATGATTAAGCTCACCATATTGCTGAGTGTCTTGTTCAGGTTCAACTGTTATAAAAACGAACAAAATGCCAAGTAAGCCGGCAAGTGGAAAGTTCAAATCGACTGCACAGAGCGAATCGATTAAGTGTGGAAAGCCAAACTCAAAGTACTGATAACAGCCAATCAGAACAATAGAAAAAAATCACAGGGAGCCGATGAAAACTCCAGGTAAAAACAAGCAAACAGCTCCAAGCGCGGGAAAACGCGAGTGACGAGGTTGCGAGTTTCACTCTTGAATTTAATAGGTTGGGAAAGCTGAGCGGGTTTTGTGGACCAACTACAGAGCGAAATAAGGCAAAACCAAAACACACATCAGGAAATTGCTCAGGTAATTCAATTATTATACGAGTGTGGAACAAGGAAATAATCTTGAGCTTCCAGTGAGGATTCTGGTAAACCTTTGCTTTCATATATCGTGAGAAGTGCGTTGAAGGTTTTCTTTTTTGTAAGGAAACAATTTTGAGCGGTGAAAGAATCATTTGCCATGGAACAAATTGTCTCGGCATATGTGACAAGCATCTTGCGAAATGCTTCCATTACTAGTAATGTCGAAAGAGTCCAGGATAAGGATACAGTAACAAAGACGGTAAATTTAGAGCTCATTTATTATTATAATACCTGAGCCTCAACCTCACACTCATCAGGTATAGTTGCAAGCTTAGAGACGGCATTGGCAGTCTCTCGGACTGTCTTTATGTCATCCATAGTAATTTCTGATAAAACCCGACTCATTCGTGTGCGGATCTGGAAAAGTGATTCAGAAAGGATTAGGAAGTATAAATTGGTCTCCTGCGCATCGCTGCGCAGAGGTAGTCTTGTAGTTAAATTTTATCAAGTTATTTTTGAAAAAAATAGGATTTGTTTTCGACTGGATAGCAAAATTATTTGTCCCGCCAAAGCTCAGACTTTAACATTTGCAAGTGATAGCAACTTCCACTAAGCTTTTCGATGAAAACGAATAACAACCATTTATTTTAAATACTGTCACAAGTATCACAGCGCTCAAACGTCAGGCATGCGTCAGGGGATCAAATCTGGCCGGCTGCGTATCAAGTTTCCGCGCAAAGTTCCGCTGTCTCGCAAAATTAACGCAAGAATATTGAAAGTTGCGTAGAAATCAGTGAAAGGAAATAAAAGTAGGGAAAAAGAAAACTCGAGACTTTTCAAAAGCTTATTTAAGTACGCATATTCTGTTGATTTGCCTTTTTTTTGGAGCTTCATCGAAAAATGTACACGCTTTTAGAACACTGTGATTTACTGGCTTATGTAATTGTTTCTAACTTGTGTCGGACAGCTTGGTTCTGACAAACTCACCAAGTCATTACCACGTTTACACATGCGCAGACGTTTGACCACTGTGTTTCTAGTAAAGAGAAGGATATGAGCTCCAGTGGAAAAAACAATTGCGAGCGTAATGAGGAGTCTGTCATAATCAATGTGGCCTTAGACAAGTCGACACCTTCAGAGTAGAAATAATTTTAAATCCTTTGTGTTGTGATATTTTAGACTTAGAGGACTCCTCCCAAAATTAGAAGCTCCTGATTTTCTATGTGGGCATCCCCGCATACGGTCCGCCATGTGCTTTTTATTAGACTGAAAAAAGACCAAGTTGTTTTGATTGAGTTTATTCCTCGCATACACCTCTATCGTCTTGTTTGAACACATCATATAGTACATTACGACACTTCGGTTTCACTGTCGATCATGCGTGGCTGCTTATACTCACGTTTCGTGATGCTTCTTTAAATCCTGTGAGGTTGGCTGCGCGTTCTGACATGGCATTTAACTGCGATGCCACCTCCACAATATATTGATTAGTAAACTGTGAATAACTTTCCATCTCAAGAGTTCGCAATGTACTGTTAATGGTCATCTCTTCCAACAGTTTTTCGATAAGAACAGAGTCGTCTTCTTCACTTGGAAAACTCTAGGGTTTAAAAAGGGTAACTTGCAAGATCAGATAAGTAAACATAACTGGCTGTCTTCTTTAAACGAAAATATATAAAACCGATAAACTATCTTATGCTCCGAAAAGTAGCTTACAATAGACCAACTTGCCGCATTTCAGAATGATTTGTCATCGACCCTGGAAATGTCGACAAAAACGAGCAACAATTTCTTTAGTTTTCAGTACCAGATTCGTGTTCAAAACATCAATCATTTGGAGGCCATGCCGGTGTGCCCTTCTCTGACAGTCATACATTCCCAACTCCATGCCGTGTTTCTGCGCTTTTTTTAAAGTTTTGTGCTTTTTTTAAAAATGATCTATATCACTGAAAATTTTGCCCAAGTTTTGTTGGGTTTGCTCCCTTGATGTGCTAGAGATTAGACCATGATGGCCGTAGACTTGGTTAGGCAAACTGACTTCAGTTCACTTTTTGTAAGCAGACACCTACAGCTACCTCTTGAGGCCGGTGCTTAGATCATATGGAGATTCCGAGACTGGAAGTGATGCACCTTGCGACCAGATACAACTCACATCCACACTTCTCCTCGACCAGTTATCTAAGCAATTATTATGGAAAAACCGAGGAAGCTAAGTAACCTTACTCGAATCTCGCATTTACAAGTTGATCTCACTACAACACAAAATCATTCGAATCCAATGCAGGTTCAACATAAGGGGAGAAGGGAAAGCTTATTCCATTTACTATTACCACAATTAAAATTTCCCTCCAGTCTATTGGATAGAGGTAACTGTTTACAAGGAACGGGGAACTTTGGAAAGGTGTAATTGGAATCGACTACTTTCCATGTACAAGAGCATCACAATGACCAACGTAACTAGAAGTTTTTTGAGTGCACGAACAATATCTTCCCTTCATGCAAGTCCATGAAACCAGCAGAAACAGGTTACTATCAGAACCCAGTGAGTTTTACCTGATACTCAAACTTGTCCTCTGATTTACTCCCAAGCTCGTCTGAGATGATAGCCTTTAGATACAGCGTGTAGTTATACTCCCTCAATCCAAGTGGCAACCGAATGTTCCCAATAGTTCCGTCCCTTGTGTATTGAAACAAATATTCTGCACCATCTGGCGAGGTTTTGTAGAAGTAGTCATACATTAACTTAGTCGAGCCCGAGGAGCTAGTCCAGCCGTTACAACTCAGAGTGATAAGTACTTCATGACCACTGCCATCTCCTTTAATCGCGTGACACTCCCCACCGGTGGGAGGGGAGGCTGTAACAAAGACATACTCAGCAAAACCAGTGGCACCTTCACCAAATCGGCCTGGAACAAAAGTTAAAAAGGATCAATAAAAACTTTAGGGCGAAAGTATCTTGATAAGTGAAATGCTTTCGTATTTTTTAAGGAAAAGGATTATTTTTCAGAGGATCTTTGAGTAAGTCACTTTTTCTGAAGTTGCTATCTACATTTCCTCTTCTTTTCTTTCTGTTTGCTCCACCAAAATCATAATTCTATTGAATAAATGTTAGCTGGTATCTAGGCAACTGCACACTTACCCCTCCCCTAACCCAACCGCAGTCAATTGATGACAAGTTAAGGTTAATGTTGGGTTAAGGGTTAATAGTTGTTCAGATATTAACACTGATCCATTCTATCATTGTACTTTATACACGAGGGACTTAATTCAAACCTATACGCATTTGTTAACGGCCACAATTATACCTTCTTTGAGGCTTTAGATTATACAGAAACGAGGTTGATAAAGAAGCAGCTTTATCAGACTTACCTTCGACTCTGGCAGTATATGAAACTCCACTTTCCAGACTGTTCGCCCTTAAGATAAGGAACTCAGAAGCGATGCCTGCTCTCGTCATAGCCAAGAGATTTGCTACTCTAGTCCAGTCTGTTACTGTATGGTTAGCCATTTCTATCGCACTGTGTGCATTTCCATCCCCGTAACCTTCACCAGTGACCCACAAACTCCATGAAATCGTTAAGCTGTTGATATCCTGTTGGTTACAGCCTTTGCATACTCCCTCCAAAGACAGTTTGGCAGACGGATTCTCTTTTCCTGGAAATTCATCGTAAGGTTTCCTTTCAAAAAGTACAAAGGAGATTTTGTTAGCTTACTGTAAGATGAGCCTATGTTGGAAATAAACGAGTAATTTGAACTACCCACCTTATGCTCATCGTAGGCGGGTCTTCATATGTCAGGGAGACACGAACAAAAAACATGGCCATTCGGGAGTCTTTTGTTACGAAGAATTTAAATACATACGTCGTGTTTACCCATAGTAAATTCGGTTGGATCTCTAGAATGTCTGTGCTAACTGGCAGAAGTCTGGTTCCATTTCTAAAGCATCCACTCGAATCAGTGCCATTACTATTTGTGAAATTTTTACTCGGAACAGAGGGAAATTCGTAATTTTCAGCTGTCGTCTTGCAGTACCAAAAGTACTCAAGACCACGTTTGTCTTCTGATCCATAATCAGGATCATGTGAATGTGAAGCATCAAGGACTATTTTTTTGTACACCGACTGACTCCAGGCATTTCCACTTATGATTTTTGCGAGTAACGGCGACGGCATTATCTCGATGTACGCGTTCTTGTGTCTGTGAACAAGAGGCAGCCCAACCATACTCACATTGAGTCGGACCATGAAAGTTCCGTACGGCAATGATCGCTGCGGTACAATTAACACGGATTGATTCTTGTCAAAACTATCTGTCCGAAGAATGGTGCCATTGTCAGCTCCAGACGAAATCCGTGTGAGTTCCCAATGAAATGATGTCTCTCTTGATGCCAAACAGTTAATAGTGCAGCGGGATTTGATTGTTACGTAATCTGCTCTGAAATACTTTCGGCGAGTGCCAAATGATCGTCCAGCATCGGGTATTCGTACAACGGGGAAGTCACAAGGAAGGTGCAAGATAACCACCCAGCCGTGAATAGTAACTCTAGACACGGAATTGAGAGCTGTTAGATTCACAGCGTAATTTATTTTCTGCCAGTACTCAAAAGTGATATTAAAGTTAAGGGATGGTAGAACTCTAACATCGTTTGTTTTCTTCAGCTGGTCATCACAACTCACATCACTGAATCCTTTGTAAAGAATTCTTGTGCTGTTACCCAAGTCTACCAGGAAACAGGAATCAGTACCTCGCTGTCCGATCGTAATAAACAACGTGGTGTTGAACTCATGCACTGTTGGGCTGTCGTTTTCAAACGAAACATTAAATATACTCTTCATTATTCTTATCGTGCGACTGACACTTGCATCACTAATAGAGTTCTTTGCCTCTACAGTGACTGCAAATCCCTCTGGGCTGAGGTAACGGTGTAATACATTTATTTTCTTCGTTTCAACCGAAGTTCCATCTCCAAAATCCCATCGGTAAGTTACTGCTGTTCCGTCTGAAATGTTGGCAACAAGCAGAACGTCGTATTCCATTGGAAAGTCCGCCTTGTTTGGTCCTCTTCCCGGGGCACCATATCCGGCGTCTCCATCAGTGTGGTAAGCCAAAATCTGCAGGTCTTTAATACTCCGCTGAACGTCCACCACATGCGTTAGATTGACGGAGCTAACATCATTTCTCATGGTCATATTTACTCGTATCATCCCAGGGGTTATGTAGTTGTTGGTGATGTTGATGCTTTGCGCCTCTCCGAGAGGTATGTTCATCCTGTTCGTACTGTCACCAAAGTCCATGTCTATCGTAGCATTTGTAGGTGGGTGAGTGTCCGGTTTTACAGACACCGTGAACGTTACAGTGCCCGGTGGAATTTCCTGTGGACTGTCTGATGTGATTTCAATGTCTTTTACAATATACTGCACGTAAAGATATTTGGTAACTGTCACTTTACTGACGGGGTTTGAGGCTGTGACGTTTAGAAGGTAAGCTCCATGGTCTGTATATAAATGTTCCAAAAAGTCACCAAGTAACCTTAAAGAGTCTCCGGTAAACAGTGATACGGATCTCCGTCCATCTTCAAAGTCCCAGTCCAAAGTTATGTTAGTCCCGGCATCTATCGATATCTCACATTTAATAGTTTTGTTTACAGGAATGAAAGTATCGTTATTAAGCAGACGAAGGTTGGCGATCACTTTATCGACCTTTATCTCACGGGTGTAAATCTGTTGTGGTGTTACCAGATTAGCGACTTTCACCGTCAAAAGGTAAATTCCAACAACTGGAAATTTCTGTGGGCTTATAGAAAACGTTGGTGACTTATGATCAGTAAAGTTGGTCAGTCGTAACGTGAGGTTATCAGCATAAACATGTTTCAAACTGATCTCAAAATTCATTCCTGTTCCAGTTGCGACTTGCACGTCCAAGTTTAAAGCTTCATCAACGGATTGTGCCTCTGGGCACGTTACAACAAAGCCTGTGATTGGTTCCTGTACAATAGCATTTCCTATCACAGTTGTGTTATACAAACGGTTGCTACAATTAGTCCTGATGGTAAAATTTCCAACGTCCGAGTAGTTATTTGCAACTGGTAGTGTCAGATTCCAGTAATGGCTTTTACCTTTTTGGCTATTGGCGCCAAAGTCCCAGTCGCACCAAAAATCGTTTCCGCCCGTCACATCCAACATGCAGAAAGTTGGCGTGGACAGGTTGGCAAGAGGGCATGTTATGTTAAAGCCTGTCAAAGGATACACAGGCTTATGGACAAAGATGTTTGGTAAGCAGGTTCTTTTATTGACAGAGTTAATGAATGTCAGGTTTGCAGTGTAACTACCATATGTGGAGTAATTGTGTGACACTACCAAGGAGTACATTGGCCGACAAGTGTCACTGCAAATGAGTGTCTGAGTTGGTACACCAGTGGTTGTTGAACTATCTGCGAAATCCACCAGCGCCATAGAGTTACTTCCTTGAGGAAACGTGGCATTAATTTGAATAGTTTCATTCACTTCGATATCACGAGCAGCGTGGATAACTCTACAGGTAACATTTACTATGGGAGCAATGACGACTGCTACACCAGTGACAGTTTCAGTCGACACAAAATTGTAAGCTGTCACATTCACAGTAAAGTTTCCCTCTCTTGAGTATTTGTGTAGGTACGAGCCGACTAAAATTCCTAGCTCTCTAAACGAACCTTCAATGTAATTTCCGTCACCAAATGAAACCAGGTAACTAATATTTGTTCCTCTCTCTACGACCCAACTGATTTCCGTTTCATTGCCAAGCGAAGTTAAAGTGATGTTAAAGAGGTAAACCTCTTCTACGGGAATCATAATTTCGACTTGACACTTGCGCATCGCTGATGAAAGGAGATTGGAAGCTGTCAAAAGTAAGGTGGTCTGACTCTCCCTGTCTATTCTTAATGGAAGAGATTTTGAGACGTTCGTCCAAGAATAAAAGAACTCTTTCTCTTCTTTTTTGTACAGAACGTTTGACGAATTTTCCTCCATAATTTGAATGCCAAACGTGACGTTGTGTCCGGGATGCGGAGGTACAACGATATTAAAGGTTTTATTCTTTGGAACGAAATCAGGTACCTCCCAAGTAATATTTTTCATGCTAACACAGGCCGTGATGTTAAGTTCAATGCTCCTCCATGCGACAGATCCTTGTTGTTTCCAATGACCTACTGGATAGTTTCCTAAAGAAACCACCATTTCTGATGGGGGAAGATAAACGACCACAAGATGGAACGTGTGATGTATCTCAGTAAAGGCTGCGTTGTTTCTCCCTAACACTACCTCTCCAACTGAAAAGTGATGTTGGTAAAAAATAAAAGCATTTCCTGCTGATTCCGTCGAGATTATCCCTGCAGCGATGTTTTGAATTGCGCCAATAGACACAATATCTGCTGTACGCACCATGAAACCCGGTTGGTTGACAATCGTAATGTGAAACCCTTCAGGTAAGTAAAGCGTCGAAGTATAAATTACTTCGTAATATGTACTTAAGGTTGAATTCGAGGTTTGGTTTGCTGGGCAGGTAAGCAGACCCATCTGACAATCGATACTTTGACCACAGAAAACGTTGGCTGCTGATGAACATTGGTAGCCAAGGTTACTAAGAGAGCACTCAGGAAGTTTGGTTGTACAGCTCCCATTTTGAAAACAATATTTGTTCTCCGCGGGTAGAATGCAAAGAGGACGGAGAACCTGCCAATCAAAATGGAGAATAATTGCCCACAAACGATGCAATTAATAAGAATAAGGTCTATTGCGCTTAAAATTGACGAGTGAAAAAAACAATTCCTGAATGTAAAAATAAATTTCCTCGCCAGGATTTTCTTGAAGACATCATAATATTGAAAGCTGTATGGGTAATGAATATGATGTGCCAATAACTTCTATACATAGTGAAAAATCTCGTTTTTTCGGGCAGATACAAAATTTCTGCATTGTTACAATTGTTCCAACTAAAAAACCGTAAAAAAGCACGTGACATGAAAACATCATTTAGCAAAGGGGCGAAGAACGACAGTGTTATAATCCGAGAAAGAGAAATACAATTTTTTTGACAGCCCTTTTGATTTTATTGTCTCACTTGTTTTCAGCTGGAACCCCTAAAGCTGACGGAAATGATCAAATTTGGAATCTTGTTGGTGGTTAGCTTGTTGAAGTTTTCTTTGAACTCATTAGTAAAAGCTTATTTCCACATACGTGCATTCGATGTGGTGCCTACCTGCAACTCGATGTATCCAGCACGAGTGGTATTGGATTTCATTGCCACCAGTCTTCCAGTTTTACCAAAGTAATAATTTGGTAAAATGATGGTTTTGTTGGCATCAGATAAATTGAATTTGGGTTCACTTGATGGGAGTGGTGTTTTATATCCGACCATTTGTGGAGTCGAGTCTGAAGAACGAAAAAAAAAATCTTACTCGTTGTTGAAGCTTTCTTGGTTCACCTGTAAGGAAATTTAATGCAAGAAGATAAAAAATAAAAGAACTTTGAATGTATAGTCCTCCATGGGTAATTTTTTTTGTTAAATTTGTGTCAAATCTTTGAACTGAATAAACTTCAGCATTTTATTCAAGCTAATATAGCCTCTTGAAGTCCTATAAACTCTTGCATCGTAACATTAAAACAAATACATCTCATGTTGCCGTGGTTCTGTTCAGTAATAAATCAAAGGTGACGTCGAAATAAGGTAAGGGCTAAAAAAAGGGACACGAGGCTCAGCCGAGTGTGTCGCTAGTGTTGTTACCACATTTGCAAGTCTTCTGTTATCTGTAACTGAAAGACGCACAGAAACACGAATTCTATGTTTCATATGCTAAGAAAGCAAAATTTTGTTAGTTGTGACGTCATCTGTGCGTCTGTCCTCCTTTAGATTATGAGAAAGAACCAATCAAAATGCGTTTATGAATTAACCCTTTCAACCCTAAGAGTGACTAGCGCCAAATGTCTCCCTACAATATCAGCCTTAAATCACACGTTAAAGTCATGAGAATAAAGGAAATGATCACCAACGAAAGAAGCTTTTGATTACTAAACAAATTCTCCTTGGCAGCACCTTGGGAAATGTATAAAGAACAGTAGGGAGAATATGTATGCTGATTTTAGGGCGTTAAGGGTTAAGTCATCGTATAATACTGAATAAACGCGCGGCCAAGTGAAATCTATTTACTAAATAGATGTACCTTCCATTGAACCATTGACGACCTCGCCGAGCGGAGTTGTAAATTGCATGTCCATATTTGATCCAGTTCCAACTTTCAGACTGCACTCAAAACTCGACCACGCCTCCACTACGCTTGGACACTGTACCTTTACTCCAGTGACCGGAAGGGATACATTAATGGTTTTCACGTCGTAGATTTTTTGACACTGCCCGTAATAACCAATCGTTGTTTCTGCATAAACCTAAAGGATAAATTTCTATTAAATTTTGGCATCAACGTAGTCCCTTAGTGGAGTAGTTCCATAAATGATCTAAATTAAAAGCCAAAACATGTAATTTTCGAGCGTTACGTCAAAAAAGTTTTCCTTTTAATTACATAACAAGTAGTTTCCGCTAAAACAATTCAGTAATTTAATAGCACCAATATCAAGATGTTTCGGTCGTATACTGTTGGGATCAAACAGTTTAAGGTTGGGTTTTCTTAGCTTTTCCTTTTCTTATTAAGTAGTAAAGTTTCAGATTGACTTAGTTGATCAGCACCGAGCACCGGTGGCGACCGCTGTCATTTTCGTTCGCTTTTTTAAGACGCGTCTGATACCACCCGTGACACTCGCCATCTACATAAACAAAATAATGAGTTATTCGTGTTCTTTCGATACGCTGGAAACGGGAGGCGAAGTCATAAAGCTCGAAAATTGGCGAAAAAGCTATAAGAATCGCCTCATAGGTCGGAAAATGGGCGCCATAAGTTGTCTCCCTAGACCTTGAGATCGAAAAAAAAATGGTGACGACTATTCCCAGGAGTCAACGCGTTTAAAACCGAAAACTTTTGTTGATTTGTTCTCCTGAGGGACTTCGATCGTCTCTCCCTAAATCAATTGCGGTTGAAATAGATTATCTTAACAGAACACGTCTTGTGTTCCACTTTCTATGAACCCCGCCCTAATACAAAAGAGTACCTCGTGTAATCCCAGAGTGGTGTATACATATTCGATACTTGAATTCTTGGTATATATCACTGTTCCATCGCCAAAGTTTAGCATCACTAGAGAACCATAATTTGGTGTCACCGTAATCTTCACTCTCTCAAAAGCCTCAGAGGCGCTTGTAACAGACAAAGCTAAAGGGAAATCATATTGTCCAGGGGCGTAGTAAACGCTGAAGTATAAGTTGCTCCCACATTTGAGTGCTTTGTCTCCTTCACATGGGTAATAACATGCAGCATCGTCTGTCACCTTATCGACATCAGGCGAATCGTTAGAGCAGTGACACTGAGTTCCCTGTGTGATACCTGCGTATCGTTTACCTGCCTTACCACACGCAGTGACACAACGCTCTGGAGTCAGTTTGGATACGACGGTGTCGTTTGATAAGACCATGTCACTTGGCGAGGAAAAGCAACCCAAGTAATTTACGGCTGTATCAGTGAATGTGGAGAAGAAAAGAATGAAAGTTAAGTGGTGCAGACAACTTTTCCAAAGATTTACTAATGTTAAATTCTTTGGCAAGGGGATGTCATAATCCTGTCAAAATATCCTTATCTGGCAGATGTTTAATTGACCTGTAAACAAAAAAGAGGTCGCCTTCTTGGGGAAGTAAAAGTTAAGTGAATAAAATAAGGCGCTAAACATCAGGCAAGAATTTCAGTCATTCAGTCCTTGTAGGGGACAATAAGCACAACTAATGAAAGCTGGCCTAACAAATAACCCTTAAATCTTACCATTCTTACTGGCTACTACGTCAATCCTCATGGCGATGGCATTATGCCAAGAGAAAGGATGGAAACGTAACACTCGGGCCGTTAGGTCAGGACACAGGAAGTTGGACACTATAGTTTCCCCATCGTGATTTCCGACAAAATACTGCGAAGGACAAATGATGTTAATAATGAAAATTGCAGCGGAGGGAAGCTTTCTGGAGACTGCACTACTGAAGACTCAAATAGTACAAATCGGTGCCAAAATTAGTTGACACATAACATCCATGTAACCGCTTTAAAGGATATATTTAGGAATTAGTTTTAAATTAAAGTGTAGTTTGCTACAATACCTCCCTCCCACTATTTAGTGTTGTGAAATCACAGACGGAAAACAAAGTCCAATATTTTTCTGGTGGAAAGGGTGGATGGAAGTAAAGGCATCAGAGGTAAAATTGATATGCTATTCCAGAATATTGGGATTTCAATAGCAATGTGTCGACAAGTTTGTCGCTGATAACAGGTACTGAGCTGAAGTTTTCATCTTCTGTACCTGTCGTGATTAAGAGAACGCACTGATCGTGGTGGCAAGGATGGCGGTTATGAGAGTGACGGCAGCGATGATGGTGATCATGATGATGAAGATGATGATAATGGCCATGGTGAGGGGCAGAAATATAACGACAAAGGATAGGATTCGATGATGATGATGACAAAGCTGATGGAGATAATGAGGATAATAAGGATGGCGCGAACATAATGATAAGTTACAGAATAAAGTAGCCTTACCTTAATGCTGCCATTGGCTATGTAGTCCGACCAAATGCTGCCACAGAGACTGTAAGAGAGTGTGTACAATGTCACCCACTCGCCACAGTTACACTCCCACTCGTTCCTTCCTTGAGTCATGATAGCACTGATGTTCCTGACTTGAAGAAGATCGACTTGAAGATATTGAGACTTTGACTGAACATTTGGGATCCATGATCCTGAATTGACAACCAAAACGTTGTTGTTGTTGTTGTTGTGATATTGTTGTATGGGGACTAAAATGGTGCATTTTACTTGTGTGAAAAACCTACAATATCTAAAATGTACACCAATACAGATTTGAAACGAATATGTTCGCTTCTGAAACGCAGTTCAATCCAAATTGATAACAATACTACAGTTAAACCATTAACATAAGGTCATCTTAGTGGTAACATCTTCCTTATGTTTTTCTTTTAGAGTTTTCGTTTGGAAGAAAGGGAAAGAAGGGGGCTTAACAGAAACAAAAAGTCCTTGACAAAGGGCTTATTATTAAAAGAGACTTAATAAAGAACGGGGAATTGGATCTCATTGGAGCCCTCACCGTAGTTTTTATTATTATTATTTTTATTTATTTTTTTGTTTATTATTTTTTTTATCAATTAATCCCCTACCCGAGAACAAGCCTGGTTGGCTGACACGAGCCCTTCCTTGGTGAGGACCTGATTGTTGGTTGAGGCTGGATGAAGCAATGAACTGGTCATCAGGGACAATTCCTGTAATGACACCATACGACTCAGGATCTGTGTCTATAGGAAATAAAGAAACAAACAGGTCGCTGTATTAGCATGTTTTGTAAGTAAGACCTGCACATCATCTGATTCCAATCATGAGTGCAATATTAGCTTGCATCCCATCGTGCTGCACTATAACCCTTGCTCAACCCTTACACCTAAAGCATTAAACCTGAAGTTGATTATAACAGACGAAAAAAAGGGCTTAAGAGCCGTGCATGATTTGCGACGAACGTTTTTACCATCATTTGCAGATCTAAAATCTCACCTGAGACAAGATTAGTGCATTTTCCGATCCTTTGAATCTGCGACGAACTGAGAAACCTTTCGTATACAACAACGTGGCTCATATAAAGGGAAGATTTCGTTAGTCCTCGACCAATGGTTAAAGGATTGTCACCACTACTAGATGTCAAAGAAGAATCTACACCACCCTGTTTCACATGTACAAAGTTCACAATAGCTATGAAGCCATTGCTCTTTGCCCACGTGAAAGCCACGTGATGCCACTGATGGAGTGTGACGTCAAAAGTGGCCGACCACGTGTTTCCAGAGATGAAAAAGGCACCCGTTATGTTATTCGACTGTACTGTTATGGAAATGTCTGTAAAGTCTTTAGCGGAGTATAACAGCCACTGAGAGTCAGCAATATTCTCAGTTAGTTGGAACCAAAATGCTACAGTGAGACCGTCATAGCACTGTTGAATATCACCAAGGCACGTTGATGAAAGGTTCTGTATCAAGGCAATGGGTCTAGGAAAACAACAGGAAAATCTCGGTCAATAAACTCAGTGGCTGATAATTCATTACCCTTTCTTTTAGAATAATCTGGGGCGATTTCTTTTTTTATTACATCCATTTTGAAATCACTGGTGGTCCCTGTAATCTGACTGGCTCTAATTGATGCGATTTATTCACAAATCGCACCATTTTTTGCTTTAAATCCCATCTTTTTCCCAGCCAATGAGGAGGCTACACTAAAAACAAAACAACCAATCACATTTTAAGGCTTGTTTAAGTAACCAATCAAATTGCAGGAAAATGAAAGATAAAGAGTATCATATGGCAAATTTTGTAACTTTTCTTCCAAAACTCTTATTCCCCCCCCTCCCCAAAAAAATGGATGAATTTAATTTCAAACTGGCCCAGAACTGCATCAATAAAATATTTGAACTGACCAAGTCCTGTATTTGGGCGATTTCAAAATGGATGTAATAAAGTGGTAATTGAACCTCGTGTCGTGCAATTTTGGTCTGAAATCATACTTGTGATTTCAAATCATGCGTATGTAACCATCCAACACTTCGTTTTTTCCCATACAGTACGATCCTTGAAGAGGTACACACTTACCCAGATTTAAATAGATTTAATGCAGCTGAACTCACAGAGTGCCATCTTGGACCGCTGACCCAAACATCGCTTTTTATCAGAGTTGTTTTTACTTTACCATCACTTCTACCTTGTACGTCGTGTAAGACTTCGCCGATTGCTTTGTCTAATGGCCAGTAGTAACTAGCATCATTATGACACTTGTCTAAAGTGATGACAACGAAAATAAAGTAAAAGTTTCAATACCTATCTGTGGCCAGTTTGGAGTGAGTTAGTGAGCTGCTTATGAGTTTATAAATCTCTCTCTTTGCGCATAACTACGACTTTAAATCTCACCAATTTGCCGCAGAATCCAGTCAGCAGTTAGCTTTCTCTTAACCTTCTAACACCGGTGGTTAGTTTTAGTGTTATTGTATTATTCATTTATGTTTAGTTGGGTTGCAAGTGATCTGTCTTGTTTAGAGTGTGTCTTTCTCACTCTCCCGGGAAGAAGGTGAAAAGGGGAAGTCCCTAGCAACGACAAAAGTTATTGAGTCGAAGATGTGCAATGATTTATCCCTGTCCATTTTCTAGGATACAGTTACTATATAGACGTGAGGTTTACCTCTTCTATTACACAGCAGAATGGTCTTTCTATTCAGTGGCTTTTCAAACTTGATGAAATGAATGATTTGGTGATTGACCATGTCGTCGAATTTCAAAATTACATCATTTCCTGAGCCAAGAATGACACTCGTGCAGCGGTAATTTACCCAGAGTGTGCGCCAGCCTACACCCATGACATCGCTAAAGTTCCTCTGCTGTAATAATGTCTCTGCATCAGAAACTACACGAAATAATTTAACATAGATAGTACTAATCTTGAAAATGTATCCATCGTCTGAGTGGGATTTGGTGGTGAAGCGAACATTTACAGGTTCTGGTATGTCCATTTGGATGCTGAACATAACAGTGTCGTCAACAAGGGCGATGGGACCGCTGTCATTAGAAGGGAGAAGGTTGATGAGGTCACATTGTCTATCTGCAAGGTGAGATTACAGAGAATTCTTAAGCCAGATAAATGTGCAACATCCTCTATCACAGATCTTGTGCTGATTGAGCTACTAAGACAAAGAGGAAAGGGGTAAGGCAGCGGATTATTGATGGACTTCCTACCCGACTCATTCCTCCGTTTTAATGTGCCCTACATCTAAGTATGTATTGGCATCATATTTCGCACCAAACCCAAATACAAACACTACCAAAGAAATTCTAGCTGCAGTGTTCACAGCCATTATTTGATGGAGACTTGCATCGATTGCACCGCGGCTAAGGTTGCCTAAAAAGCCTATTTACCTCTAATGCAGTGATCGTGGTACACCTCTATTTCTCTGAATCCACCAGCTGTAGTAGAGAATATCTGAACCCATTTTACAACACGCGGTGTAAAGGTAATCTCTTCCTTAACTGCGTTGGGTGTTAAGGTTATCTGCATGAGATTTAAGAAGTTGTTGTGAACACTGTAGAGAAGTTTCTTGCACTATGGAGCTACTGTTTGGATTAATTGAGTTGACATGCACGTGTCTAGGGAGTCAGTCAAGCATTCCTCCCGCCGGTGATAATGATGTTTTCAAATTTATTCAACATGGTGTTGTTATGCACAATCCGGTTCTTTCGTAGTTAGCAGTGGAATCTTGTTACAAGCAAATGCAATGACAGTTTAAACGTTGAGTCACTACCGCACTCCTGTCGTTAGCAGACGGTATCCCCAGCTTTAGAGTGCTTCTTTTGTTCTATAGCGATTTAATTTTTGGCAAGAATGCCATTGATTGGAGGTGGGAGACAGGAGTACGACAACGGTCTATACTCCAGTGAAATCTATGAGAATAACTACAAAATTATTGCGTCGCGATTAAGAGAAAAAAACACTTTTTCATCTCAAAGAAGGCATTATGATTCATCCTCGTAAAACAGAAAAAAAACTTACTGATTCTAATGAGGAATCTGAGAAGTTCAAACATATATCACTGATCTGTGGATTCGGGCTGCCCAGTTGTATCACCAACTTGTTAACGAGAAAATCACGAGCAAATGTGATCTTAATGAATCGCTCGGTACTTCCAGTATCAGTTCTTCCATCAATAACTCCGCCACATTCTGGGTTAGACCTTGGCGTACAAGTTGCACCATTCCTCTCTGCGGCAACGTTCAAATGGGTACACTGAAGCCAACCTGGAAAAATGGAGTAAACTTTCAAGGCCGACTATTTGAACAAAGTTTTGTCGTTGTACTGAGCCATATTTATCTCAACGTTAATTTTTGTGAACAGTGTCAGGACGGCTTACTGCTAATACTAAAAGGAAAGTCTTACTTCAAAAAATCAATCATCTAGAAATCTGATCCATGGTCCATCGACTACTGACCTACCACCGCGGTATTTTTACACGGCCGACTCTCTGCCTTCGGCCTGAGCTACCCCTGGGTTTTTTCCAACGACAGCCATTCCCATTGTCCCCTTGGAAATTACGAGAATTTAGAAGTTGAGGCATGGCCCTAGGTTTACGAAGAATAAATAATTTTACAGATTCAATTTCGACAGTCATTAAACTTCATGATCTTTGGAAACTGATCTTTCTTCACGTTTCTACTATATTACTGAACGCTTTATCATAGAGATCTAAATTTACTTAATTTTAAAAGCCATATAAAAAGCTATAGTTGGTTAACCGACAACTAGCGTCAGAGCTTGTGAATCTTCGTGAAAGAATGTCAGAGAAGAAAATGAGTACATGAAACCCTTAAGTTAATCACTGAGAGGTCCGTATTAAGAATTATAGGGAAAAGTCTTGCAGTTAAGATAAACGGTACATACAACCTGATTGACTCGTTTAGTAAGCAAATTTTTAACTATTAAAAGTAACAATGCTATAGAAGTTTCCTTGTTGTTGAGGTCCACCTCCCCTCCAACCTTTTCAAAATTCTAGGATATTTCACGACGGAAGACTCCGAAGATGTTCCGAAATTACCAGAATTTTCCGCCCCTATAGATGCTAGAGCCTCAGAGGGTCATTAACGTAACTTCTTAGAGTTAAAAAAACAAAACAAAACAAAGTGAAGACATTTAAAAAACGAGATGCCCAGAGTAATTCAAACGTTACGTTCATATGTTTAAAAAAGGATGGAATGAGCAGTCCTGATTTATTAGTAAGGGGAAATGAATCTTTTTGGTTTGTGTAAGATCGATGTTTTGAATGGATCCACTTTCGCGAGAATTAGCCCTAGGAGGGTCAGCGGGTATTAAAAAATTCTCATGCAACGAGAAACTTGTCGATACTTCGGTCTTAAACACTTTAAAAGGTGACAGGATAACTCCAGAGGCTGTAACCATTCTGAGAGGCACCGAATTTGGTCATTTTAACATCAAAGTCCAAAACAGTCTTTGCAGCCTCTGCCATTTCGAACTGTTACTTTATCTCTGTGTAACAACCAGCGGAGTGTCTTTTTCTTTAGTCGCTCTAAGTGGCTTCTTTGTTTTCTTTGTCCTAGGTCACTCCTGAACCTAACAGATTCTTATACCGAGGATGATCCGTTTATGCTATACACAGTCAAATCTGACGTAACTTCGCACCATGATCAAAAAATTTAATCAGAGATCGATTAATAAAAATGGGCTGGAAGCTTTCTCTTCAACTAACTTTAGTAGCAATATGTCTTTTTCAGTTATTTTTCCCTTTCTTTCGGTTTGGCTATGTTCGTTTACTTTGTTTTGTTTTATTTCATTTTTTGTTTTGCTTTTGTCGTAGCCAGGTTTTTATAGTTTTCAACTGGACCGAAGCCTTATATTCCGACCGGTAAAAGCGAGGAGTAGCAGTAAGAATTCATGTCATGATCTAATTCTTAAGGTATTTGAGCTCCACGGTTCATTGTTGAGCTACAAGATTTGTGTTGTTCGATGGCCGAAATCAAACAAGAAATACATTGGATTGTAAACACAACTGGATGGTTTAATCCGCTATCAAGAAATCACACTACCCGAAGACTTACATGGAATTGAGGCGTGGTACCACAGGATACCCACCAATACAAGATTAAAGTTCTAGAGCAGCTGTGGGCGTTAAAATGAATAAGAATTGCTTGAAGAGAGGCGTTGTTTCAAATACAGTCAGCTCCAGTTGGTATTTACAAACGTTTACATCACTTGATGACTAAATTCTTTTAATTGTTCTCGTAGATTCTCGATCACCGCTCAAGGAAAAATGGCGAGAATGTGCAAGGAAAGTTGCGTCTTCTTAAAAGGAACGTTTTTACTGTATTGGGATAAATTTTCTCTGCAGTCGAATTAGGCCTAAGGTCAAGACTTTGCTCAAGTAGTAGAAGAAAAACCAAATTGGGGCGAACACGATGGTATATGAAGAGTATGGATTTAAAAAAATGAGCTTTGACAAAATAGAACGTCATGGTCGAGCTAAGTATTCAATTTGGATGTGAGTGTTAGGGGGAAAAAATAACTCTTGACTCTTTGGTAACAATCCATATACAATACAATGCTTATAGTTCCTGTATGGACTACAACACATATTACTTACTGTGGTTCTCTGGATTTAAGAAACACTTTTTTTTAATTATTATTTTTTTGAACATGATTAACATCTGCCATTTTCACACCTGTTTTAAAATGGGAATTATGTAACTAGTGTTTCTGGCAAAGACATATAAAGAAATTAGCGTTTCTTATTCAAATAGTAATCACATACTATAACAAAAGAGGCTCCAGACTTCCCCCAAACTGTCCCAATATTTTCTCCCCGTTTCCCACGCAAACATACAAGCTGATTCCCGATGCTTTGAAAGGAAAATCCTTGTTGTTATTTTCAAATTTTCGTATTCGTTTACTTCGTCAAATCCTGGCTTAGTCAAGTCGTCATCTTACTTTTTGAAATATCTGATCATGAGTACGATGAAACGAAACGTGTATTTGTCAGTCTAGCTGTTAATAGTAGCAGTCGCATATTCCACTGTCTTTGTCCCCTGTTTTCTAAACAAAACCGTAAGATGTGTCATCGAGTTTGAATTAAGTTTAAAATTAAAAAAAAGTCAGGATTATCAGGTTTTTATATTTCGTGTTACAGAAATATGTTCCTTCCCTCTCGATCGGTGCTCACAAACTATATACAAAATTTAAGCTAAAAAAAAAAGTTTATTTGATCATCTCTTTTTAACATATATTGCTCAATCTTACGGTTATATGAATCTTTTTTTTTTTTCATATCGCCATTCATTTCCACTAAATTTGAAAATTCAAAAGTTTGTGGGGACGTCCTGGGTTCAAGTAACAACAATACCTTTTGACTTTGAAAAATTCATTCCTGAGTGGAGCAAATGGAAACTTAAGGTTATTGCATGTTTCGTTTCTTTGCGGGCAAAAGAATTCAAGCGAGGTAATTTGACAAAAGAAATATTGAAAAGAAAAACAGCTTAGCAGGGAGGAAAAGCTAAAATTCACTCAAACAATATACCGCATTATTTATTTATCACCCTACTCTGAGTTTTTCCAAATCGATCTTTCGAGTGGACTATAGATTTAGTTTGAAAACGTTTTTGCCTTCAGAAAGACAAAAAAATTGAGATTTGGAATTGCCGTTTCACTGAAAATCAAAATAATGTAGAAGGGAGCTTTGTAAATATATGTTTACCTCTATACGATCTAACCAAACATTTACTGTTTATTGGTTACTGTAACTGACTCTATCGGGCTGAGTTGGTCTACCCAAGTTACGAAAATGTTCTACTTACGAGGCACTTGATCGCTGCAATTACTTGAGCCCTACAAGGAAAAAAATATATAAATCGATAAACTTATTTGACATCTTGAAAAGATTTTCAACGAGGTAATAACTATGAACTGTACCAGAATAACTCTGAAGAAAGATACGACTATTATTTGAAGTAAAAGAGGATCTCTCCACTGCATTCTGTGAACAGTTTTATTTTAAGTTGTTCGAAGCCGATCACCAGTATCTCTTTCGAAAATATTGCCGCCGTCAGGGATGCCGAATAAATTTCTGTTTAAGAATTTTCGCCTCTTAAGCCACGGATCGCTGTCATGACATAACACACAAGCCGCTGAGTAATTGACGCAGCGAATGTAACTTTTCTTCCAGAATATTCTCTTGATTGGCTGCAGAAAATCATTATAACCGTATCTAACATGCAACCCCCCGGTGCGAAGGTACTCGGTTTATTTCAACCTCATTGAATTCTGATTATTACCGTGCTGATACTGAATTTATCAGCGTGATTATCATTGTGTCTCGAGTCGGGTAAGGCTCAATAAAGGAACCACACCTAACGGCATGGTAATTTGCAACAAGATAAAACAACGCCTGTATAACTGTAACTGTTAATGAAAATATTGATGCATATGACTTAAACATAATCCTGTACTTTAGTGATGTCCATCTTCGAGAGCGAAAAGTATTATGGAGCTAAACTTGATTCAGATGACGCGCTGAAACACCTTAATTCTTAGACACTAAAACAATACTTTCCCCTTGTCTTTACAACAGTAAGTCTTGGGTTTTGACTAATTCTACTAAACCTCCGTCTTTTTAATTACACTTGTCACTATTTTATAAGAGCTGAAATTAATTATTTAACGCCTAAATCCATTTCGTACATCTGGCGACACGAGAAACCCTCGATGGAAGATTTATGTAAAAATCACATCTATCTTTGGTTTAGCTTCTATCTAAAAGACCTCTGTTACATCTCCAAGTTAAAACATGGCTTTCGAGTTTTTTTAATTATTCCAGTTAAAATGATAACTTTACGAGCACCAAGAAATGAAGGTTGGTGTTGTTGTCAAACTCTTTCTAGGGTTTTGAAGTTAAACAAAACATATAATCATAAAAATACAGACTAAAGATCTTCTCTGAGTTGACTGTAAATTCTGAGGATGTTTCTTAGGAGCAAGTTCCTCACTCTAACTCACTAATGCAGGTATCCAGTCATTCCAAAGGCAGTTTAATTCTTTGGGGGATTTTTTTCAGTGTTTAAATAATTTTTATGAGAAACCTAGTTTGGAATTTTTTTCTTTATAATTGGTTTTCTTGAATGAAAGACAAACCAAAATATATACAACGAAAGTTTCTGGAGTCATATTAGTGAAGGATAATTTTCAGCTCGCTTGGTGGTAGGCTGCACGGCTAATTCGTTTTCGCAATTTTTCCACCTCCACTTAAATAACATGAGTCAGGGATCGCTATGTGTTTTATGCTGCTTCTCTAACTTTCCACGACGATTTTCTCTTTTTTCCCATACGTGTAATTTGTGTTTCGTATATTTGACCATCACCTTGCACGAGAAGTACGTGATTTCATTATCCTCCTACCATGAAAGGTCTTAATGGTACATTCAAATGCCAGGTTTTGAAATTGTAACTTTTCTTGATATAACTGATTATTAAAAGAAGTCGACAGCTCATTGCACTTGGTTTTATAACGCAGTGTTCAGTTAAAACTGGTTTTGACGGTAACCAGGCTAGGCAATAAAATTACACGCGCGTCTTGCGTTTGATCAAAGAGAATTCTACCCACTTTTTGTGCGGAACATTAATAGACCGCTTTTGTTTCGTGTGAAACGTGACTTAAGCTTTAATTAATCTGTGATTTTTGATTGCTAATGAGGATGTTTTCCCTGCACTTGAAGTAGGACTTAGTGCAAATTAATTCAAGTGGGTGAGGGCAAAACCCACAACTTAAGGTAACAAGTGATTTCGCCCCATTGCAAGTACGCCCCTTTTAGGAAATTTGCATGTTTATCGAACTTTGTTATGTTGGTCATAACATATCATGATTTCGACAGGAAATGAATACGTTCAGCGGTAAGGAAAAGAGTCGAAATATTTGGCTGCGCGCTCGTTCGATTTTGATATCACACGTATGATTTCAGAACTGTTGCACTCCAATCAGTTTAACTACCATCATTTATAACATCCATTTTGACATCACACGTAATCCTAGCAATCTTATTTGCTCTCATCGGTGCGATTTATCCACGAATCACACCAATTTTTACTCTAAATCACATCTTTTACCGATTCAATGAGACAGCTTCACTAAAACATAACAACCAATCAGATTTCAAGTCTTCTTTAAAATAAAGAATCAAATTAGAGGAAAATTAAAGCAAACTTTTCATCATCATCATAAACTCTATTAATATGTCTTGAATACCTGGCCGATGGGGTTAAAAACCCCTCTACTAGTAGGGGACACTTTATATAGTTAATAACCAACTAACTATTTTCTAATGAACTATTACATACTGACCCTATGTCATAGCGTTTTCACAGAACGGTTTATTTTTAGACTATCCTTTCACGTAAAATAGGCTACTCGAGCTCACTTGGGTTATACGATCCATGAAACGCAAAGAAAAAAATGGCGGCCTTATGCGGGGACGTCTTCATATCAAAACTACGCAAATTCTGCCTTTCTTTTGCTGTATTCCAGTATTCCAATCCTTCCTTTCCTTATATATCCCACTACACTTTGCAAATTTTTCACACTTGCGAAAAAATACGTAGGAGTGCGGATCATCGTCATATTTTTATTTGTATTTATTCCTTTTTTTAATTTTCGTGTGTAGCAAAGGTCATTCGTCTTCTGATTCTGGCTCCTCTAAAGAAAACTTCATTAAAAGGGTCCAAAGATGATGAAGAGGCGAAATGCCAGCGATGATGGAGAGCGCGGAAACAAGAAATTGCGTGAGCAAGCTGTGTGCGAGTTGTCTTCATCTCAAGAACTTCATCCACACAGTCTGTAAAGGAAATTTTGCGACATAGGATTGAACAGAAGCGGGTGCAACAAAATGAAGAGCGTTTTTCTAGATAATACTACTCTTTCGAATTAGGCTTCGATCTTGTCAAATCTTACTTTATTTTTGGGAAGTGCGGTCGATAATTGCCGCATGCGGCAAAATTCACGGTGCCTATTGTCGCTTTGATCATTGAACAGTCAAGAGTCAGGTTCATCTTCACTAGAAATTTCCTCGGAACTGCCGCTTCCCGAGGTATTTTCAAAACATTCACACTGTAAGCGTCCCAAGCTCACTGTTATTCCTGTTATGAGACGAAGTCAAGGCTGCGCACTTCGATTTCGACCGTCGTATAACAGGAACAACAGTGACGGCAAAGCAAGCTTAAAACGGCAGAGAACGCCGGAAACCACAACGGACACAAAAAAATGTGAGTAAATTCGATTGATTTAACGCGTAAAATGTGCATATTTCGAAATATTTATCGTTGTAAATCGACCATATTTCGTTCCCCATGCTATTCCTTATATCATGTTCAAATTCTCAACGGTTCCTCCCGTAAGTTAACACCGAGTCACACATGTGACGCTTTCATGAATTAATCGTTTGCTTTTTATCGAGACGTGAGCTTGGGACGCCTTTGTTCACACGAATCTGCACTCGAACTATCACAAGAAGTCTTGCATCTCTCTGCTGTTTCTCTTTCGATATGTTTACGAGTAAAATTAGAAATAAACCAGGCGCTAATCTTGATTGGTCGATGTGCTCTCGTGGGGAGTCCTAGTTCGCGGTAAATTCAAACTAAAAATAGACTTGTCTGTGAAAACGCAGTGACAAAAATACAGGGCAGTTGAAGGCTCCAAGTGATGGGCTCCTGACTATTAAAAAAAAGCCTAACGATATAATTAACAATATAATATAGTTAAAAACCTATTAACTATCGACTAATGGAATAAATTATTAAAAAGAGAAAAGATTAAGAATTACAAAGGATGCAACTGGAAAAATTGTCGTCTTCTACCATTACGCTCAAATCAAATTTTCGGATACGATGTTTAAAACGGAATAATGATGGGAGGGTTCTAATTTCGCGTGGTAACTTATTCCACAACTTTGGTCCCAGGTAGGTGAGCGAATGTTTACCATACCTCTTTGTCCTAAATCTGGGGATGACAAACTCCGCCACCCTCAGATCATCGTCGTTAGATCACTCTTGTCCAGTAATGCTTGGTAGCTTGATTGCTTATCGAGGAAAACTGCGTGTAGTGCTCTTTCCTGAATAAGTTCGAGCTTTCTTTTTTTCTTTCATTTCACAGAAATGCCAAGTCAGGTGGCCATAGGTTGAGTAAGGCAATATAGCTGATTTATAGAGAGTTAATTTAGCATTGGTAGGAATAAGTTTTTTGAGCCTCAACATTACGCCTACCTTTTGACTCGCCTTCTTACAGATTTCAATAATGCGAATGTTAAAATTCAACCTAGCAACTCAAGACATTCAGAAGATTCAATGGTGCTTCCTTGAAATTGTAATGGAATGTTACTTTCTGCCTAGTTATGCTTTAAAGTCATAGTTTGATATTTGCTCAGGTTTCCTTTTAGCAGATTGCTAGCATACCATTCGGTGGCCCTATTGGCATTCTTCATAAGATTGCTGTAAGCCATTTTCGGGTCCACCGCTGTTTCATACATTTGATGGTCATCCGCGTATATGGAGAGATGCGAAGTAATTATGTACGTCAAATCATTTTGAAAAATGTTCCAGAACAATGGGCCTAGGGCCGATCCTTGTGGGCAACCCCTATCTGTCTGCCTCCACTCACTTCTGAAAGCTCCCAGTTTCACTCGGTTCAATCGATTACACAGGTAAGATCGAAGTGGATCACGCAGTTCGTCATGAAATCCATACGCTTTTAATTTGCTGATCATTAAGGAAGGATGGAGCGAATCGAAAGCCATACTAAAGTCGGTAGACAAGATTTTAACAGTTTGCTGGTTGTCACGTGCTGATTCCCACGCTTCAGTGTTGTTTCACAACTATAGCGTTTACGGTATGCCCTGATTCGAGGGTCCAAACGGTTGTCAAATCGCTTTGAAATCTGGTCGCTGGGTAGCTGCTCAAACACCTTACTAACCACTGGAAGGACAGTTATTGGTCGATAGTTCCGCCAGTGGTATAGCGAGTTTTTCCGCTCCATACCTCAGTACTCTGGCTGGCAAATCAGTATGTCACATCCAGATACTTTTCTCGTATTAAGTGACTCCAGAGCATTTCTGACTTGTACTTGGTTAACTGGATTGGACTTGATCATTGGGTTTGAACTATTCGCCATTCGTATTTGCAAGACACTAAGATGGTTATTTAAGTCACTCTCCGAGGAGTTTCTTAAGTTGACATCTCCGGTATCGCTTGCTATTGTTGCAAAATGATCTGCTAATATTTCCGCAATAGTCTCTTGGCTGCCAATGATCTTGCTGTCAACTTTTAAGTTAATATTAGTTCCCATGACCCCTTCCTAGATCCAAGAAACGGTTTAATAGTTTCGAAAAAAATTCTTGGGTTTTCTTTAAGGTCAGAAGTCTTTTTCTTCCAGTATTGCCGTACAACAAGTCTTCTTTGTCTGACTGCCTCATTGCGACATTTCACTTTCTCTTCCCAGTTTTGTTGTGCCCTTTCATTTAGATACTTCCTAAAAGCTCTTCTCTTTGCTCGGATGGCATGTTTCCATGCAGTCGTCATATAGGGTGTATTGTTATCCCTTACTCGCTTCTTTTTCTGAGGGAAGCATTCGTCCACGATGTCTTGCATGATTTCTATCCCAATAGTACAGCTCTACATCGTCAAACAGGTTTCCGACGTGCCAAGGCGCCGTCATAAGTAGGTTATCATATTTCACCGGATCAAAATTTTTGTAGCTCCTAAAATGGATGATTTTACGGGAGTCTTTCCTCGCTTTTTCTTTCACTATACCATAGATGAGCATACGATCACTTAGAGCAGGGTCAAAAACTCCTCCTTTAACGAACAGGTCTGGTTGGTTGGTCAGCGGTACATCACTAATAATTTTGCAAATTTTCATAAACCAGCTCAGCCTGGAACAATAAAATGATTGTACAGACTAAAAATATTCTATATTGGGGTGACTGAATTTTGCGATTTCAAAATGAATGTGATAAAGAGGTAACTGAACTTATAGTCGTGCAATTTTGATCTGAATTCATACTTGCAGTTTGTAGTCAAACCTGCGCTGCGCGCTCGTTCAATTTTGAAATCATTCAAATAATTTCAGACCAAACTGCACTCTTCTCAGTTCAATTATCATTATTAATTTATGAGCCCTTGGCCTAAAAATTTTTGCATAAATCAAGAGAAAATAAAGAATTAGTTTCTCTTGACGCATATCTTTAGGTCGCTAAAGCAAAATAGATGTGTCTCCAAAGAGTCACATTATTACCCCCAACCAGACGATCACAATACTCGCCCGGAGAAAGATCTCTTCGGTTGTAAAAAAAAATTTTTCCCCGATATCGATGAAAGATTTGATAAATTTGAGTAACTGCTTTATCGAAGACAGGTATTTATCATCAAAACCATGAACATAAGAGATATTTTCGAAATTGGAAAAACCATCATTCAGAAATGCCACGACTCCATCCATCAACACCTCTTCTCCCCCCCAGAGAAAAATATTCGACAACACATGGATAAAGAAGATTAAGAAGGCTTAGATTCGAATCAGATCGATCTATTTCATGGCTGAACTGTTACTTACTAAAATTCCCTGTCTGAAATTCGATTTCGCATTCATCTTTGAAAATATCAAAATACTGCTGAGATATATTTAAAAGTATGCTATTGTAATGCAAATAGTGGTTGCAGCTTAATCACGGGAACATGTTAAATGCATCTCAAGGTTGGCACAAGGAAAATCCTCTTTCTTGAAAATTTGAATTTCCTTACCGATTTCGCCTTCGAATGCTCCAGAAACCGAGCTGTGGAGAAGTCGTTGGTAAGCCAAGCCATGTTAAACTTGTTTCATATGTGATAAGTGCGCGTCCTGCATACTGGACTAACTAAGGGTGTTTGCAGGGTTGCACAGTTGCCCTGGAAACCATTCGTCAAGTTAAGAACCTTCCTTTCAAATCACTTCTTTGACAAACACAATCATCTTCTAGTTTGCAAATTGCAAAAAAAATATCTATTTTCCAGAATTTCCTTTGCTAATGTATTTCTATGAGGCACTGTGGAGCAGCAAAAATTCTGGCTTTTATGTAAAATTATTAAATTCCATGATTCCGTGTGAGTACCCATTGCGAGCGTATTTTAAAAAGTCAATCGCGCTTGGACTGGAACCGAGCCACGTTTTATGAAATTCAAATGAAGACTCAAGCGCCGTCGGCCACGTCTCAGAACCCCCCTCGATCAGCTGATCCAACACAACAAAACATCACTGAATGTAAATCGCAAAGAGATCGTTGGAAAAGGCTTTATAGTGTTTAGTAAAGCATCTGATATGGAACTTCAAGGATTTCAAAGCAAAAAGAAGCCGTCTTTGATAAACCGTTCACTGCTACCCGCGAAGTTGATCAACTTGGTCCTGTCGGCCGGCGAAGCGAATCTTCTGCCGTTTTTGCCGATGTTTTATCGTTTCATTGGACTAACAGCTCTTCAAAATGGTATTTTGGGAAGCGCGAGACATTTGGTTTCTTTTTGGGCTTCCCCTGTGCTGCGGATCATCGCCGAAAAGACAAACAAGAGAAAGTTTCTTTTTCTTGTCTTGCTGTTAGCCTCAGTGATTTCTAATATTTCCCTCGGACTAGTAAGAACGGCAGTATCCACAACAAACTTCCGAGCTTATAACTGCGAGCATTTAGAACTTAATCACAGCATTTCAAGAGTCAATGGGTCCGACATAAATCACTTAAACGCTTCAACAAAGAAATCAGCAGAATTCTCTCCAACAGGTGCAATCAATAAATCGCTCGCCACATTATTTTCGAATGAGCCGGAAGCTGCCGTGGGAAATTTAACGCTATTAAATAACAATACGTCAACGACAAACAAAAGATTTGACATCGGATTGCGGAAAATTAAACGAAGAGACTCTGAAAACAACGGAAATATTTTAACTCTTGCGAGCCTATCGCCTCTGGCACCCCAAGTTAATAATTCAGCAAGCACATATAACAATAACCAAATCGATTACTTAAATTATCAAGCGAAGAGCGAATGGTACAGCCTCTTCGGGTTTAGAATGGATTACACCTTCAAGGTCCTTTTCACTTTGGTACTTTTAAGTGAACTTTTCATGTCCTCTATGAAAGGAATCAGTGGAGTTTTGTTTTCTGACATAAACCGACAGAACAAAATTTCTCGCTTTGCTAACAATGTCTGGACATCTTTAGGAACAGTTCTTGGAGGTGGAGTGCTAATTATGGTCATTGGCTATTATCGGTGCGAGTTTGGCCTGATAAACAGTTTCTACTTACATTTTTATATTTATGCAATCTTTGGAGCTGTGTCCTTTGCTCTTGGCGCAGTCTTGAAGGAACAAGAGCAGAAGTCAATCTTGGTACTGAGATTTGCAAGGACATGTGGACATCTCTGTTGTGATGTAAACATGTTATGCTTCCTTGCCGTGTTGCTGGTACTGGGAATGGCAGAGTCTCTCATGTACAACTTTATGATGTGGTACCTGCAAGACATTGGAGCATCAATTGTTGTTATGGGCATAATTTTAGTAACAAGTGCATTCTCTGAAATTCCAACACTGTACATCTCAAAACACTTGATTCGCTGCTGTGGTCATCACTGGGTAATATTTGTGTCTCTCTTCTGTTATGGAGGCCGTTTCCTTTATTTCTCATACTTTAAAAACCCCTGGCTTATTATTCCTATAGAACTTCTTCATGGTCTTTCATATACAACAGTTCACATGGCTTGTTCATCATATGCAGCCACAGTGGCCTTTCAGGGAACAGAAAAGACACTAAAGATTATTTTCTCCACAGTATACCATGGTCTGGGTATGGGAATTGGTGGTATTGCTGTGGCTCTTTTGTATCAAATTTATGGTCCTATAGTGATTTTTCGCTGTGCAGCAGGAGTATGTGGTGTGTATGCACTGGTTTTTGCCATGCTTCAGTGTATTCTTGTTCTACCTGATGGAGATAGAAGTGGAGGAAAGGTTATGGAATACCAACAGATAAGCTTGGATGGAGAAAGAGGTGACTTACCTTTTCAGGCAGACTGGCTAATGGAAGCCCTACAGGCAGAGGAGGAAGGAGAGGAAGAGACTCACTTTATGAAATAATCAGCCAAGGTGACCAGACCTTATAAATTTGTAATGTTTTCTTTCTTGAGAAATTTTCAATTTGAAAATACTTCCCATGTAATATAATTCTTAGAAAAACACTTTCTTTTCTTGGGATGCTGTATTTCTACCCACATATTTGAAATCTAAAGAAGAAAAACATTGCAAGATTAAATTATTTATAGCTACCTTGTCTCTCTCTTTTTTTTTTTACCTTTAACTCTTAGTGTCCAATTTTTAAATCTCCTATTTGGCTGTAACACATTTGCTTGTGGACCAATAAAGAGAACTTGTGTAATATCAAGATAGGACCCTGTTGCTGACAAGGTTGTTTATTCCCATCAGATGTTTGTGGGATAATTTTGTCATTCCTGTCACCATAACATTTTCAAATTGACAATAAAAGTAATAAATTACTCATAATTTAACCCTTTTCACCCTAACATCAGTATGCATATTCTCCATGTACTGATCTTTATACATTTCTTAAAGTGCTAACATGGTGAATTTGTTTAACAATTTATGTGTGTAATGGGTACTCACACAGAATCATGCATTTAAGCATTTTAAAATGAAAGCTGGAAGGTGTGCTCCTCAGTGTCTCAAAGAAATGTGTCTGCAAATGTACTTCTGGAAAATAAATGTCATTTCCAATTTGCCAACTAGGAGATGCTTGTGTTTGTTAAAGAGGTGAATTGTTAGGGAGGTTCTTTTCTTAACAAATGGTTTCTAGGACAACCATGCACCCTCACAAACACTTTTAACATTACCATCAATTTTAGCAACAGAAAAAAGAAGAGTACACAATCAGCTAATCCAATATGCAAGCGCTTCTTTAGTTGGTTATCATTTTCTTTATTCTCATGACCTATAAGTGTGTTTCAGGGGTAACATCATTTAAAGAACTTAGATGCTAGTTACTTTTAGGGGTCAAATGGTGAATTCTAGAGTCGATTACCCTTGGAAGAAGTCTTTCAACTATGACCCATATGGCTAAAAGTTCAAAAATTTCAAAACATTTAAATCATCCCATTTGACCACCCATTTATATAGCCATGTTGTGCCACTAGTTTGGCCATTTCCTTACCTCAACCAACCAGTTACCTCCCCTGTGTCTAAAACATTTGGATAATTGAAATTTATGGACAAATGCTTCAGGAATGTATATGTTTAGACCAGTTTTGCTTTGAAATTGAACATTTAATTTGATTTTAGATTACCTGATGGAAAACATATTTTAAATCAAAGATCAGTTGTTGAAAAAAGATGTTCCAACAAGCTTCTTGAAGTAAAATATTGCCATGGCAAAGTTGAAATTTCTTTTAAGAATTCTTAATTTTATGGCTGTGGTTGTAATTACTTCACCCTTTACACCCTAACATCTGTATGGATACTTTTCATACTGCTCTGATCCATACATTTCCTAAGGTTCTGATGAGAAACATTTGTCTGGCAATCAAGAGCTTTAATGTTTGGTGATCATTCTCTTTACTTTCACAACAACCCAGCATGATGTGTGATTCAGGGGTGATACCGTATGTAGAATTTAGATGCTAGTCACTCTCTGGGGGCAAACTGTTAAAAATGAACTTGGAAAGACAAACACAATTTGAGACATGTATTGGGAAGGTGCATTCAGTTTGACTTCACAGTGACTGCATTGTATTGTCTGTTTTACCAACTATTCTGAGTGTCTATTGCATAAGCTTAAAATGTACAACACTGGCAACCAAAGAATTATTATTCTTAGCCTATTTGAAAAAGTCTGGCTATTCCCCTTTCACAGTTCATCAATGAGATGTCATGGATTAGAATGAAGAAGGCAAATTAAGCCTAACCCTGGACTTCAGCTTACTTCAGGCCTCTTCCTCAAAACGAGGCCAGTTCATATGAAGATAAGTTCAATTTGCATTTGAATGAAAACCTATAATCATATGAAAGGATGTGCACCAGGACTCACTTTGAAAAAGAGGCCGAGATAATTCGGAAATGGGCCATAAAATTGCAACAAACTAATATTTATGCATGAAATTGGCCCCCTACCCTCCTCTCCTCGACAGTGCTAGCTCCTATACCTGCCCCTATCCCCCACATGAAGCTCGTTGAACCGAATTAAAGCCTCAGGAATGAGTTCATCGATCACCGTACTTCTCTGAGCCACCGTGATATGTGACAGAAAACTCTATTTTCACTCCGATAAACTTTCTTTGCATTAAGCGGGGAAGCCTAAGGAAATACATCGCTACGGAACAAAAAAAGTATGCGCAATTCTACAAGATGAAAGCGTTCGTTTATGTTGTGGGCCTATGGCAAGAACACAAAGCAAGAAGCTGGCCAATTTCATATTTTCGGCATTATACTCTGATCAAGCTCAGCTAAAGACTTGATTGACCTCGTCAACCTCGCAGCTGAAATACACTAACCTGAGCTGTACGATTTCCAAACATCCGTTCATTTAAAATTGATAGAGTGGAAAATGGTATGTAAAAGTATTTAAATACCTTTATATCAAGGTTTGATCGGCTAAAACAAAGTTGTGCTGAGTTAGAATCTCACGACTAAGGCGGAGACTCTCGTCATGTGACGCGCGTCTCGAATTTCGCGTCCTCGCGCGCGTTTGAGTATTAGGTGACTGATGCTGGTTAACCAGGGCCCGGTTGTTCAAAACCGCGATTAAACTAATCACCGATTAGGCCTAATCGGCGATTAAATTTCTCAATCGTGGGTTAGTTAATCGTTGGTTAAAAAACGGTTGTTCAAAGGGAGATTACTCGGTCGATTTACTAATCCGTGATTAAGCATAAAATGAATTATATTAATTAATTATAATTTATTTTGTGCCAGTTTACGTCATAAAATTGCCGGAAATTTATTTTTGTCAATATGGCTTCTCCAGCGAAGAAAGTGCGGAAAGCAAACTTTTCACCCGCTGAAATTTCCGTTTTAACGGAAAAATTTGAAGAAAATATGGACATTCTTCAAAGTAAATTTACCAACAGTATAACAAATGCAAAAAAAAACAAGATTTGGGAAGAAATCTCGGAGGCGGTAAACGCCGTCGGTGTGACAGCAAGATCAACGCAGGAAGTACGAGACAAGTGGAAAAACCTCCAGAGTCACGCAAAAAGAGAATTCAGTTCCTTTAAAAGTGAACAGAAGAAGACAGGTGGTGGCCCTGCTCCCCCGAACCCATCAGAAGCCAGTTTAAAAATAATAAACATGTTCAGTGACACACCGTCATTTACTGGGTTACAGGGGTTTGAAACAGGTAAGTTTATAAATGGAAACATTATTGTAATACCTCTCAATGTCCATACCTTGCATAAAATGTATACTTCGCTAACAAACACAAAGCAAAGTGAAAATTAACGGACTTTAGACTTTTGTTTCTTTCTTATTTTCTTTTACATGTACTCCCATGTAAACAAAAAAACAAATGGCGCCTGAAAAGTCTGCCTTGCTCTTAATTCTTCGTCTGTATATCCATCTATCGTGAAACCGATGCTCCTAAACTCTCTTTGCTTCCTTTTTCTTCGCCCATCAACACCAACACAACCATACAACAAGTCAGCCATGTTGTGATTTTTATTTTTTAATCTGCCGATTAAGGATTTAATCCACCTAGCGAGCAGGGTTAGATTTAACCCTTGGTTTGATCGAAGGTTAGGAATAATCGGGCTTTGAACAACAGAAACTAATCGGCGACTTAAATTTAATCGGCGATTAGCCTATTTAATCGTGGATTAGCGCTAATCGCAGTTTTGAACAACCGGGCCCAGGGCTGTAATTTTTGCAGCCGTCGTATTTTGACGTCAGCAAGTAGGATTTTCCAATATCAGTGAATTCCATAATTGAGTTCCAAATGAAAATTTAATCAATAATTTGCCGTCGCGGTTTTCGTGTCAACGAGGACATGGAAAAACAAAAGATCTAATTGGCAGAAAAATAGCTCAGCACGTGCGTTTTAAAACTTTGTACATTTCTTAGCCGTCCTATGCAAAACAACAACGTGAAATCACCACAATTTGCATCGTCTGCGAACCGAAACCGCGACGGCAAATTATTTTAATTTCCATTTGGAACTTAACGCTTCTTTTATACGTTATGCTGACGTTGAGGTGTGGCGCCGTATGAGACGGTAACCACATGCAGCCATTTTTAATTTCTAATAAAAGGCAGAAATTCATTTTTTAATCGAAGTCTTCCTTGGCGTTGCCGTCCTGACTGCTTGAGGTCCCTAATGATGAAGGCCTGTTCGCTGGCTACACATCTACCCATAGAACAGGCAAAGTTCGTTTCGCAGCCGTTGAACTCCTGCTCGGCGTGTGGCCTTTCAATCAATTTTTATTTCGGGTGACCCGCTATTCATGGAGGTCGACATCGAAATAGAACCAAAAAGGAAGCATTCGTTGTTTCCTGTACTCTTGCATGCTTGCAAACATAATGTCGGAAATGAGGTTATGTTCGATTGCAAGTGGTTGAATAAAGTTGAACTCGTACGCCGTCGTGCACATACTATCTCACTACTAATGGTACTCGAGTCTGTCTGTCGAGACTGGTCATAAGTTTCCATTAAAGGAGTGATAAAATCTGTTTTTACTTAAGTTGCTAGCTAGCTAGCTCGTGCTGAGTCTTCTAGAAGATTTTACAAGAGCAAGCCGGTGATCACGTAAATCAAGTAGACTCCCTGATAGATAAGGGACTGGGTTAAAGTGGATACATGAACGCACATTCCCCAATCTGAACAATTTGTTTGATGCAATTGAGGAATTCTCAGAAATTTCCTTTCATCAAAATGAGAGTACAAATAAATATTTCGACTACCTTAAGCCTACTTCTATCAAACTTGATGCAAGTGCAAGCTGTTGTCTATCGTCATAAGACGCCCCCGCTTTTAAAAACAGGTGAGTTCAAGTTTCGTCTACCAAGTTTATGAAAGTAACTTGTGTGCATTTAGTTTTGAAGCTTCTATTGTTCTCCCTTCGAGATTCTTCGATCTATTTACATCACATGATTATTTAAATTGATCTTTCAATCCAGATTGGACTCGAAGTGATTCCGGGGTCTTTGAGTTTTAACTTTTTGTCCACAATGTCTTTTTTCCTGGAGAAAAAAAATCTATTTGAGAGCATTTTCATTCTGTCTCACTGATAGAGAGGTTATTCAGCACAATTAAAACGATTTCGTTTAGGTAAAAATTCCTAGACATTTTTACGGTATTCATTTTTAATTAGGCTCATTACGTCAAGTTTTTCTTTATTTAATCCAAGGAGTTGGGTATTCCAGCGCAAGCCTCACAGAGAATCTGATTGGGGCGATTGGTCATAGCTTCCACCCCCCCTCCCCTCCCATCTCCTCTGCCAACTTTAATTTACTCCTTATCCAATGTAGTTTGAAGTGAACTCGACACGGTTTCTACTCTCATCAGACTGTACTTTTTTTACTTCATTTATGTCAAACAGTTAACCTTTATCAAAAAGAGAACTTTTTTTAACAATCAAATTTACTGCTTCAGGACTTTTGATTGCACAGTTTTAGGAAATCACACACTCAGAATGAAATCGGCGAAAGAGGGACTGTTAACCCCTTTGCTTGTTCTCACCAGCTGGATGCTTCTTGCATTGAGTTAAGTTATCCTTAAAAGATATGAAAAAAGTTAAGTAGCATTTTTACTAAGTAATGTAAATTAGACGATGGTGTGGCATAACCAAAAACTGTCAAAGTTCTTTTGAAGTTTACTCCAGTGCAAAACGGGTCCTGAAATATGAATGGGCCGCAACTATCACAGAAGTTCAAAAGTTTTAAGCTACAGCAAGAATGAAAGTAATGAAACCTTTTTAGCTAAGAAAAAAACTTGTTATTTCCTATTGAGGGTGGAGCTGAACGGAAGATTTCTATAAAGAATGAAATTTCTCGTCTCATTAAATTTTTGAAGTCGATAATCAATCAAACCTTTATTCGTCAGTCATGTTATGACATCAAACTAAATTTCGTCTAGATATAGCTTTGATTGTTAGGGCTCAAATTCTTAGGCGAGATTTTCAAGAAGTCGTAGCGAATACGGTGGAGTGCCAAACCTGCACTATTCCCTTTTTACTTAAGCGTACGCTCCAAATTCCCGGATAATCGAAAGGATAAAGTCTCATCTGAGACTTATTGTAGGCATTTTCTTCGCGCCCAAGATAGATGAATGCTTTCGTCCGTTAATTAAACAAAGCAGCTAATTATGTGGCGGTGCTAAAGAATTGTTGCTGTAAACACGGCATTGTGCTTGAATGATAGCAATTCAATCGTGCAATTTTAAGTCTGATAATTCATCTCTGAATTTTATCCATCGGGCATAATGCTACTTCTATGTCAGTTTTAAAATTTTCTTTTAAAGTTTGCCCTATGTTCATCGAGCCTCGGTCAGGACAGGTTTAAAAAGGCCTTAAGTGATTAACATAATTAGACATTTTCAAATCTCTGGGAATTATATGTTTGGAAGTGCAGGTGTTTCGACATTGTCCGTAAGCAGGCACCCAGCCAATTTGTTTAACCAAACTGCATTTGATCAAGAAATATTCAGAGCTTCTGTTGTTTCGACTCTGTCAAGACTCGTTTAGCAGACTGCAAGTATTCAGTGGCACTTACAGTTCGATCAATTTTGTCAAGACTCGACGATCCACTGCATGTTGTTGTTTCGGTGGTCTGATAAGTTGTCAGAACAGACTTTGCCTGTGCAAAAACAGAATTTTCAAGAGCGCTGTAGTTTCAATTGGTTCTAAGAGTTGACTGAGTTTTTCGACGAAACTACGATTTTACTGAGTGAAAATATGAAAACGTACACATAATTTAAGATGAAAAACATTTTAGGTTTTCACTGGAGCACAGTTTTTGTCGTCTTAATTTGTCATGTAAGTACTAACTTCGTAATGACCAACAAAGTCCTCCTGTTAATGTGGGTTTCTTGTAGAAATAACTATCTTGTTCCATTCCTTCTTTTCAGGCCCGCTGGGCTGAGTCAAGCTACACAGTACCAAGTAAGCTTGTAATTCCTATCCATTTTCAATATTTACAGTTTTGTTATCGGTTTTAAGGATTTGTCAAACACAGCACGCTTGTGCCTTCGTGAAACGAAAAAACTTCCCTTCGTGAGCTTGCCTAATGATTGTGTTCAGTTTTTGACATCATCATCACAATTTTATGTTAATTTTTACTAGATCAAGTTAAATGTTCACTACTCAGAAAATTTTTTTCAACTTCTCTACACATGCGATAAAAGAAGGTCACCAGCAAACTAATTAACTCCAATAAATCGAATAATATGTCTAATTACGACTTTACTTTGCAATCTTTAGTACCATTAATTGACAATGTACAGTGCAATGATGAGACTAAATGATACGGTTCTCGATAGTTTCAGCAAGTTGATTTTATTATAAATTTCGTATTTTAAGTTTCCAATAATTTATTGCACAAGATTCTGCCGACTTGTGAAATATTTAGTTCACGAGAAATGAACTTAACCACAGGGATTCCTGAAAGGATGAATTATGAAAGAGTTCTAGAATGATATTGAGTATATCTGACGGGAGGACATTTAGTTCGGAATGTTTGTCTGGAGTAATTAAATACGGTTGTGAAAAAAGTCGGATACTTATTTGAGGAAGTTTTTGTTGTCGGTCATTTTTAGAAGACAGTGTTTTGTTCTGTTTTCTTATTTCGTTTATTTTGTGCCATGCGAAAGTTTCGTGATTAAACAAATCAGCATACAGCGTAACTTAGATCTTTTTCAACAATTACAGCCGACTTAATCCAGTCAATCTGCTGCAGGATTTTTTCTTTTGTTTACAAATTAAGAGAGCGGTAGTTGATATTAGAAGATGTCTATCGAGTTAACCGTTAGCCTCAAAATGGCCAGAAAATTTAGTCGTCATGCATAAAAATTGACAAATTTTAACCGTTGGTCGTTAAAAAAAATTAGGCGTAAAAGTTTTCCTATCTACAATATATCATTTTGAAAGTGTTAAAATTCTAGACTGTTTTGTGTCTTGTCGCGTGGCCAACGTGGGAAAACAAAAATTACTGTATATTACTCAACACCGGCTCGATTTGGAATCGTCCTTCTTTCTCGACTCTAATGGTAAGAGCGAGCCAGTGAATGTGTTTTAGAACAATGAAAATTTATCACTAACTTTTTTAAATACAATTGAAGCTAATTTTTAACATTTCTGTTAACTGCTACTGAAATAATTTTGAATCCTACTCATTTTTAGCCGTTAAATGGCCAAAATTTTACCGTTGATCGTTAAAGCGATCTCCCGATTGATACCCTCGAAGGGCAATCCGAAAATTCAACGCAACAGCGAAAATTACAGAGCTAAGTGGGATAGCTTTCGGATGCATCCTCAACGAATATTACAGGGAATTGCAATTGTGCATGATTAAATTTATTTTAGCAAGCCTTCGACAAAACAGCCCTGAAAATTGATAGGCTTCTCCTCGAACTTTGAAAACAATTGCGTATCTCGAAATGATATTTTTTTTCACAGCATAAGAAACCATACCTTGTGTAATAGAGAAATGTTTTAATGCTATGGGAAGCGGAGATAATTTCAAGAAAGGCCGGAGTAAAATTATCATCGCAGTAAAATTACTTTGTCAGTTTCTGAGTTATACCATTTCACGAGTCAACTTCGGGCCCGAGTCAAGTTTGAGTCAATCGCAAGGCAATACTTCTATGGCCCACGACCGTCACGGAAATAACAAATACCTCATGGCAAAACCAAAAAGCTCACGGCAAAACCAAAAGCCTTGTGAGTTGGCAGGTATACTGATGCTTCTCACCAGCTGTATATTAGCTCCACCGGAGCTAATCCACTGTCGCGAATACCCCCGCATGTTATGAAATCCACGATAAACTCCGCTCACTTTTAATCGCAGAGAATCTTTGGTAACTCTAGTCACGGTATACGATAAGTCCCTAGTTTCATAGTAATAGAACAACACCTACGGTCTACGATTCCTGTATCAATTTTCTATATATGTTCTCCACAATTTTGGCCGAAGAGACGATGGGGTCCCTATGGATGTAACATGGCGGTCGAGTACGAGAAATCAGTTTCATACTCCGAATCTAGACGGTTTGTCGTTGAGTAAGGATTTCTGCCTCAGGTGTGTGTAAGCAAAAAGAGGTTGGATTCTTTGGGGGAAACTCGTAGACACCTTGGAATGTTTATTTCTATGAACGCAGCCATGAATCAGTGCAGAATTCACCCTCGCAAAAGGTTGTGAAAAACGTTTTAAGCTTAAAACTAGGTGTACTTGTATCCCTGATACATCACTTTGACACAGAATCAAAAAAAAAAAAGACAAAAAGACTAAAAGCAGAAAAAAAACGTTCAATTTGAATTCACTCAAACTTGACTCGTCACTCGAACTTGACTCGTGATATGATATAACTCGTCTTTTCTTGCTAAACTGTCAAGCGTATGTCAAGCGGACGCTGAGAGGACCCGCCCAATAGTGTTCGCCTAATACACAGAGTTTGTCTAATAAAGATGCTAGTGACCAGTGAAATGAGGAGAAACTACTTATTTAACTGTTTTGAATCACTTCTTGTTTACTTTCTTTTATGACTGATCGACACTTAACTAAGAAATTTGTGTTGGTAACAACATGATTACTAGTGCAATTTGGCGTAAATAAGCATGAGTAATTTTTCAAAGACAACATAGTTGGACGAGTGCTTATCTACAAGTGTTTATTTACCCCAAACTGCACTCGAAATCATGAAATTTACATGAAAAACGCATCACAGAAAGTAAAGACGGATGAAATTTTGGCAGCACGCGCGCTATTTGTAATTTGCACTCGTGTTGCATGAAAATGCACTCGTTTTCAGCCAATCAGACGCGCGTGGTTTTTCCATGTATATCATTAGACGGTATGACATTACACGGTATAACTTTACATGAACTGAATGCCATTCTGTTCAGGTTTCATCAGTCGGGTCACACTGACATGAGTTAGCAGAATACTGCAAATTAAATAACTGTTGCATTTTCTGTACTTCACGAAAACTAGAAGGAAGTTCATTTATGGATCTGCTAGCATGCTGCATGTCTTAATCAGTAGTTGTGGGGAGCTACTGGTTTGACAGATATTAGCAAAGTTATAAACTTTGCGCTAACATGAGTTTAAAACTGATTTCTTCTTTAAATAGGGATCTGATTTAATCATTTATAATGAGTGGCTATCTCGTTTTAATGAGTAAGCTTCCAATTTCATTCGCTGCCTATGAAAGTGACGTTTCCTCCTATAACTGGAAAGCCATATTTACTTACCACATAATATGTGACCAATATTTCTACCTCCACGTTCCTCTTTCTCTCTCTACATTTAAACTCTGATCCTCATTTGTCTCCGATTCACCTTTGTATGCTTTAAGGTTTTCAGTCCTTGTCAATGCAAAGAGAGTATTCAATATTGTACCCTAACGTATCTCTTTCTATATTTCTTCACACTTCCTTCAAACTATATTCACATTTGTTTCCGATTCACCTTTGTATGCTTTTCAGGTCTTCAGCCTCTGTAAATAAAAGTGAATAGCTCTTTTGTTTGTCTTTGGGAAAAATTAAGAGGAGATTCCTGGTTCAGGCCCGAGTAGGATACGTTTTCTCAAAATAAATTCCGTGCTCAGAGACCTCCTTGTGAAGGCTTATCCCGGCTATCTGGTGTTCTGAGTGATAACTAGATTGAGGCAGATAGCACGCAAATCAGAATTGTAGTGGAAAACATCAACGAAAAAGAAGAAAATTGTATCTCTTGAGCAGAAATTTACATTAGTATACTAAACGAACATTCGGTAAACAGACTTCCGTTTCTGACTAAACCAAAAAATGTCTTCGGTAGATCCCAGCTAACTTCTAGGCCGCCCATCTCTGTCATCTCACTCTAATATGCTCCATTTCAGACTACCTTCGCTGCACACACATCAACATAGCAGCAACAAGCAATGGTGGGCAGTGTACTGAAGCCTCACACGATCAGGGTACATGTGGACTGGTAATAGACGGAGGCACAGCAAACGGTTGGGCCAGTAATGGGGGAATAGGACAGTGGATCAAAATCCAGTTCGTTCGAGCGTATCTACTGAACACCATTCGTGTGATGCAAAGAGTTGAACTCACTGATCTTGCTAAAAGTCTACGACTTGAGTTTTCTGACAGTTCTGAGGCATACGTGAGTAGATCAGGAGAAGATTATTATTTTTTTTTTTTCATTAGATCTTGGAGGAACAACGTATAAGTTTATTCATCAGAGGATGGGTGAACGAATCTCTGGATTTTTTTCCATCTTTTTCTTCCGAGCATAGCATCTTAAAGATGTTGAAGCATAATAGTTTGCGAAGAAAGAACGCTAGAATTGTATTGCTAGGCTGCTATTTTCGTTCGTTTCGCGATGAAAAGCTTTTCCTTTGGAAATAACAAATCTTCAGTCCATCTTTTCTGCACAGATTTATTTTGCTTGTTGGTCGTATCCTCGTAGTCGTCCTAATTACATCAGAAGGTTCTGGAACGTTGGGGGACAATCCATGCGACTCAATAATTTCCACTTAGGCAAAAAACGTCATTTCATTCTACTCTTATAAAATTCTTTAATACTTTATTTTTAGCTTAAAATTGTATGCAAGTGCCTACCCGTGAATAAACAATTCAAGATAATTTGGTTTTATCAATTTGGTTGATGATGTAAACTGGTCGCGGTAGAGTCTCTGACGTTTCGAGCATTGGCCCTTTGTCAGAGCATAATACTCCCACTGACGCCGGCAGCACCACAATTTCTTTCGAAACTTACCCCCTATATTGAATTCAAGTCTATTTGCTATGACGTTCTTTGATACATTTAACTCAGTTGAGATGGATTTCCTAAAAGTCACAAGGAAAAAAAATAAGAACGCGATATCTTGCAATTATGCAGTTGTAATTTTTCAATTGCTAGGACGACTACCATATCACCAAGAAAGATTGCTTCATTCCACAAGCTATGAATTATTCTTCTCTTGCATGATTTTGGCGATAAACGTCGTTGATGCAGCTGTCAATTGTAATTAACTGTAAAAACAACGATCAGTATGATGTCGTGATTAAGTCTAAGTTAATTTTAAAAAACAAAAATGCCCAAAATGTACTGTGAAAAGAAAGCCAGGGTGCTAACGAATAGTAGTTTTCATGAAATAGTAGAGTTTTTGTGTTTTGACTTACAATCCTTTCACCGTGTGTCATCTGTCCAAGGTTGACCTCACCAAAACGGATGGTTCGACACCAATCTGGGACGTACGAACGTTTGCTGATGTCAGCACTTCTTTCGTGAAGGTCGTAGTAGATACAGTGTATGCGGCAGGACAAATAGGGTTTAGAGAAGTGGAGTTTTATCACGATAACTGCCTCAGAGGTTTGTTTCTTGTCTTCAAGTTAATTTCAGTGGTTTTATTTTTTTTTAACTAAGAGCTATTCGTAAGACTGTAAGTGCCTAAGTTAGCTATTTTTCTGAAGGAACAATATGAGAGGCCATGCACTTTGCAATTCATGAACCCCGACAACCGACATCAATATTGGCGGACGCTAATTTTCAAAGTGTTCAAAAACCTCGCCACCACGAGTCTCGATATTGGAAAAGAAAACGGAATTGACTGCCCCGTGGTGTAACTATCACTGTAGCCTTTGTCCTTGCGTGTGTCATTACAATTGGTATCGCCAATGTCATTCCAATTACCGTTTCTGTTACAATTGCCATTAACACTACCATTACAATTACCATGACTTTTACAGTTATCATAACTATTTTTGTTAGAGTTGTCATCGCTACTATTTTTACGTTGTTTTTCAGATAAGCTTTGCAGCAGAGTGACACTTCCGGCAGGAAAGAAATCCGAGATACATCCCCTGTTCGGGAAAACCATCTCGGTTTTGGTTCTGACAAGTCAAGAAGTCAGCATAACTCTACATGAAAAGCCACAAACAGACTCTGCTAGATACCGTTTTAATATTGGCGGTAATTCCAAATCAACTATTTATCTCGCGACGGAAGGTGGATCAGAAGTGTCGAAGGATTCCGCAGATATATCAAGTTATCCTTTCCACGCGAGCCAATGGCGAACGTTCTGGATTGACTTCCGTTCGAGCAAACTTGTTCTGGGGTCTGGAAGTGAAGTTATTCTTCAGTGGAATAACCCTAATCCTTTTTCCATTAGCTACGTGTCGTTCACTGCTGATGGCTCATCGGAAACACGGATTATTCTTTGCAACAAAGAGAGTAAGTCTGGACATATCATGTTTTATAAAATTTCATGCTAATGGTGTGAGAACTTGGAAAAAGTGAAAGATTAGTTTACTTAGTGAATGACACAGAACCACTCGGAGAAAAAGGCTAAACCGTTTAACTAGGTCCATGGTGACAAACTTCCTGCATACTGCGAGAATAGGAATGATGATATCCGATGCTTTTGCCCAACGATGATGTAAAGGAAGATGGTAAATCTGAATCCTGCATACTTAAGTGAAAGATGATGTTATTCATTGAATAACACAAGCAAATTCGGAGAAAAAAGTTGCAATTTTGAACAATAATTGATGAAGCGAGTCGTTCAAAGCCACCGTCCTCTTGTAATCCATTTGATCTAATAAGGTGTAACGCAAAATTATTGGAACAATTGAGATGGAAGTGAGATAAAACTGATTAACTTGAATGTTTGATAGCTAACGCTTTTGAACGTAGGGTTTCCTCTCGCTAATTTGAAGAATGAATCAGTCGCCGCAGCAGACGACTTATCTTTTATTCCCTTTTTAGTCAAATGTTACAAAGGTGCTGATCATTTCTGGCCGCTGGATAAAGTTGTAGCTGGTACTGTGTTTGATTTGATTGGCTCAAAGCACGGGAAAGCTGACAAATCATCCTTGGGAAGTGGTCCTGGGTACCAAGGAATGGCCAGCTTAGGCGTGGTACTTAAAAGTACGGAAAATAAAACCATCGACTTTGGCGACTTTTCTGATTGTGTCAGTGACGCGGCAGTATGTAATACAGGAATCGCCATTGGTTTCTGGGTGATGGTGGTTAGTAGCAGCGATATCTTTCACACTGCCGAGACATCATCTGATCGAGGGCTATTAATTTCCTACGACAAAGACTCTTCCAAACTGACTTTTCGATTTTACTCCAATGATGTGTCAGGCATGGTTGAACACAGAATAGCTACCCTAGTTTGGTACCATGTATTTGTAAGCTGGAAGAAAGGCGAGTCACCATTTCTCGTCGTGAACGGTGCGTACGACCTTTGGGGCTCCTATTCGTCCGTATCAAGACTCCAGGAGACGTACACACATCTTCTTGCGGGAAAACGTCCCGCGGGCGGGGAATCTGACGGCGGTCTTAGCCAGGTTGTCATATATAAAAGACCTTTGAGCAAGCAAGAAATGTTGGCAAAGTTTCACTGCGTTGGATTGTCTCCCGGTAGGTTTTCTTGATTTCAATCTGTCTAGCTTCCGATGTTTCTGCATTTCTCACGTTTCAGTGAGTGCTATTGTTGAGAATTGTGTCTCATCAACACGGAATTCGCCGCTTTTATTTTCATTCTTCCATATCAGGGTTGAATCTGAATTGTTAAAGGACGTTACATGTAAATATACCACACCTTGCATTCAAATGGATTGATATCCCACCTGGTAAACTGGTTTTAAGCCTCGTTTATTTCCGTAAAATTCAGCTCATCCGACTTACTGATTTTCTAGCTCCTTTGTTTCACACAATTTAGGATGTTGCTGCCTGAGTATCGAAAATCTCTTGCCATAAGAAATTTCTCCTCGATTCATTCCGTAGGTCTCAGCTACGTTGAGTAATTTATCTTGATTTCTATCCTTCGTAATGGCGATGTTCTTAATTAATATCTGGTCCGCTCCACTAAACTCGTTCCTTTATCATCGCCTCCACTCCCCCACCTTTACTGGGAGCTTCTACGTATTAGTTCGGTATTGATTTCTGCAAAACATGAAATACCCGTGGTTAAAGCTGTCGATGTGAAATTTCTTGTAAAACTCACCCAAGCCATTCGCATCTTTACCTATTTTGATACAAATTATCAAAGCATTTTGTGTATTTTTTTTTGTCAGAGTATCCACCTTGTGCTAGTATTGAGACATCTGATCGTATTAGCTGCGGTTGGAGTGGTATTACAAAGTCTTTGTGTATCTCATTGGGTTGCTGTTACGATTCTGGTGCCAGCAGTTGCTTTCAACAGGACGGACTCAGTGGAAATTGTAAGTATATGTCGTCGACAGAAATTTTCAGCGATCCAGTACAAGCACAAGGTATAACTGTTAGGCCCAGTTCAAACGCTGAACTTCACGAGATGAACTAAATTGCAATAAACATTTTGGTCGACCCAAACGAATCAAATTCGACCGATAGGTCAAACATGGAACATAATTCGTCGAATCAAATTAAGAGCAGGAAAAACGAATCTTTAAATCACGCGATTTCACACGTTCTATTCATCTGAAGAAGATGGACAGAGTGTGCTGGTCCATCGAAATTCAGTAGGTCGAACTCGACCAATTCAAACATCCAACTTAACATGAACTTAGTTCTGTCAGTTTAGGTTCGACCATTGAACTGGGCCATAATTTCTTGACCACCGACTTGGTTATAGATATCACTCAGATGTTTCATCAAATCATTTGCTAAGAAAGGACCACATGTAAATTTTACCACTAATTCTTGTTTACACATATGTTTTATTGTTTTCTTTAGCCAAGCTTGGCGTTGGTACGGGGGCATCAGGGCCGATGTCAGCTTCATCAAGTGTAACTGGGCATTCCTCATCCGAAGGTCGTCTGATATGGCGATCTGAATTAGGTTTGATTCATGTTTTCCCAACTACCTCCCGCTATTTCCATCTCTTTGTGGGTTTAATCTACGAAATAAACATCGATTACTACATATATTTAAGAGAAAATCTGATCGGAGACTTTAGAAAACTTTAGATTTTGAGATGAGTACGGTTGCAACTTCGAGATCCACCAATAATGAAACAATGGGATTGCGTAAAAATGTTGCAGCCCTCACGTTTTTGCGAAAAGTGACAGTAAGAAAATTGAGATCTCAACACATAAAAAAAGTTATACTTAGTTTTTTTAGTCAGAAAAGGGTTCAGTTGCTCCCTAAAACAATAGCTTTCAAATCATGTTGGTTGTACACAGCACAGTGCAACTTGGCGAGGTATATGTTTAGTATTTTGCTGAAAAACGGTATTCAAATCTCATATCATCCGCAGGGTGAATTATTTCAAGGAACTTAATGGTCACTAAAACCAGCCTCTTCAAATACAAACTTTAGAAAGCGGAACGAAACGTCTACGACAGCCTGCCGACACTGAAATTGGTAGCAATTGTACAGTTTTTCCAAGTGTTTCTTACGCAGACAAATTTATGTCGTTCTTTCCCAATTTTAACTAGCTATTAAACGAAGTGGTGGCAGAAGGTTCTGAGCTCTAAAAACGCTTTTATTCAAAATTATCACTTTAATTCTTTTGTTTGTAGACGGCTCATGGAATGACCGGGCGTGGAAGCCAAAAATTATCACGGGCGAACAGTGGCTTCAAGTGGACTTGAACCAAGTCAAAGCGGTCTCTGCGGTAGGCACGCAAGGCGTGTTAACAAATGGCGGCAGCTCTTACTGCCAGACGTACACTCTTTCCCACAGTAAAGGTGGCGCTATTTGGCAAACGTACAAAGATGGCAGTTCGATAAAGGCAAGTAACATGGGTCTAATATTTGAATTTAACAACAATATCCTACCTTCCTTGTTTTGATCAATTAATGTTTCTCTTTTTATTCTCAAACAGATATTTACAGGGAATACAAATGCAACAGATATTGTCAAAAATACAATAAACCCGCCTCTCAATGCCAGATTTATCCGTTTTTACTGCAAGTCTTGGTACAGCGAGCCGGCACTGAAAGTAGAAGTATATGGAAATACAACAGGTTTGAAAGCTATAAACGTAGAACTTGTGAACATCACTGAATTTTTGCATTCCAACCCGAAAGAAAGCTTGAACTTTAAAATAAAGCGATAGGCAAACATTTCCTCAACGGAAAAGGGTGTGAAATTGAACAAAGTAAGAAAATTATGCCGTTGAAATTCTTTGCTAAGTACCTTCCAAAGGAGAAGGTAATTGGTGACAAAACTGTGTTTGCCACAAGAGGTACTTTGAAATGGAGTGAAAATGTGTCAAATAAAATTAATTATACGCCAATACAATTTGCAATGTCAAATCCAGGAAACCCACTGCAACTTTTTTTTTGAGGGTGTAGAGGATGAGATTGTTTCCCATGCGCGAAAATTGTGTCTTTCAAACGCTTCATCCCTTATTTTGTCATTTAATCAAGATTACCACGATTTGAATTTTCATAACATTTCCAAATCGTTTATTGTTTCCTTGGAACACAGCGGCAAATTACGTTGGGTGTCTTACGAAAGGCACATTTGAAGCTTGTGGAGACTATGCATCGAACGCCTTAACAGCTGAAATCTGCACCACTTGCTGTGGGCTCGCAGGGTACCAGTTCTCCGCGTTAAGGAACGGCGAGCAGTGCTGGTGCTCAAATGCACTGGATATGAGTAGCATTGTGGGGGAACCACAATGCAACGAGCCGTGCTCGGGAAACATCGTGTTACGTTGTGGAGGGCGGGAGTCTTACAGTGTTTACCAAGCTTTGGGGAATTACAATTTTTCGTTCGAGGTGACGGTGCCGGAAAGCACATTCGTATATGAAAGGATTACCGCTACATATTCCAGTTATCCAGGCGCTTCCTACACGCTGGATTTTGGCGAAGATGTTGTTTTTACAACGGAGAACACTTCCGTGTCTTATATTTACCACACAGATGGCCGACATAGTGGTTATGGGCGTGTCCTACTGGGGGAATATGGAGAAGCTCAAACGAAGTTCACCTCATGGGCCGTAAGTCACCTTGACGTAATCTATTAATTTGAACCGAGGCAATTTAGAGGCAATTTATCCGATCCAAAATCATATAATCTGAGACTTAAACTTTGCAAGCAAGCCATTTTCATTCACCTTTTCTTTCTGCATATCGTGTCTACTTTTCTCTCCTCTCTACTTTTCTGATGCAGGTTTGTAAAGGGTGTAAAGCTCTCTATTGATCTCCCAATTTAGATGAAACTTCTTATCGAAAGATTTTCATATTTCAAACTTGGCCAATGATTGATTTAATGTGATCCTTTACAGGTGAATGTTCAATCTCGTGCGGCTTATTTTGAACTCAACTGTCCACCAGCCGTTGAGGCTAATGAAGAGTTTCACTGTCCCGTTAAAGTGTACCAAGGATCCAGCATGCATCTCGATATCCAATTCACCGGTGGCAGCTCATATTCAACACCTTTGGACGGTAATATTACAGTGTCGAGGGGGACTTTAATGTTGCAGGCAACATGAAAGTAACCACTGCATGAAACAGTCATGTTACTGCATCAAAACTTGTACCATTGCAAAACACCCAAGTTTTGGTTTCCAAGCAATGGTGATAGTTGCACTTATATCAGATTATTTAGTGTTAAAGCTCGATAGAGATCACTGGGAGTAGCAACATTAACCTCTCCTAGCTATCTCTATGTCATAACGATTTAATGAAGCAGACCAAGCTGTCGGAGGAGACAAAATTTTAATAAACGTACTATTTTTTGTAGATGCTTTGTCTAGACTTGTGGGAGAGAATTTCCAAATCGAAGCCGGTAGTGCTCTGAGCCAGTCCTCAAATAAAACAATACTGATCCCTAGCTACAGGTTTGAAGAGGATGGCAAGTTGATGGGATGGAGAATTTGTTCGCAAACCAGCGGCTTCGTTTCCCTACAGGTAGAGGATACAGTAGCTATCTTTCTCCATATAAAAAAGATTCGTTTTTTTATGATTTGTTCGGCTTTGTGACGTTACTTGATGGATCATAACGGTTCAAGTTTCTGTAAAATGAAGTGGCTCGAATTATGTGTATTCTCCTCTTCATGGAATGCCACCTAATAGAACAAAAGCTTCTTACATTTTGTCAGATTTTCGTGACAATTCATCGGGGCTCATTTATGCTCCTGGAAGGTGTGAGGCACTTTGCGTGTCTTGTTTAAGAACACATCACAATGACCTGGCCGGTGCTCTCACCTGAGGTTTGAGTCTGATTGCTTGAGAAAAAAGAGGAAGTTTTCTGGACCAATCACAAAGCAAGGTTAAGCAAAACCAAAACAATCCCGCATTACTCTCGACACTAAATAAAAAATTAGTTTTGTAAGGTAAACTTCTGTTAAGTAATATAGCAAAGCTACGCATATTTTTATAGAGATAAAAAAAGGGCTGCACGTTTTAGGTGGATTGATGAAAATGCCATATAATGATTATTGACAAAAATGTTTACGTCCGTATTTTTTCAGTTCTTTTTTATTGCTATTATGTCATTATGTGTTTTGTTTAGTTCGTGCTCAAAGAAAATGTGATAATACTTGACTAGCAGAGTGTTAATTTAGAGGGCCGTTCACGATCGTAGAATTGTGTACTTGATTATGGGGCTTCACTCTATTCTAACAGTGACATCGATTTGGTATTAAAATTTCCGTGATACAAAGCATCAGCATGGCTGATATTCTTTTTCTTTCTCCTCTCTCTCAGGTTTTCCGACCAGTCTGCGGTAAAGGGACACACGATAGGTACTGTTACTCCAACGGTAACTGTGCTATTAACATAACACCTTGTGGTAATCTTCATGCCTCTACGTGCACCAGCAGCCAGGTATTTTCAACTGCAACAGGCACGTGCACTGATGACAACATTACCCCCCAATACATGCCGAGCGCAGCTCTGGGCGAGAAGTACGAGCTGGTTATCGAAAGCCACGTCTTCCTCTCCAAGCCTGGATGTCATATTTTCCAGTTCGATGACGTCAAGAACTGCACGGATGTTAAAGAGGGTGATATCCTGGGGTTTACTTATTATGGACGAGGATTTGCAGAGATAACATCCCGGAATTCTGGAAAAAGTCAGAAGATGAACGCTACGGCATTTAGTTTCGACGAGTTACAGCCTGGCCTTGGTTCGATCATCACTACAGCTTCAAGCTCTCCGAGCGAATCACAAATACAATATGCCATTGCAGCAATTCAGCAACTTCCTTCGCTGTTTTGGTTTACTCATAACTACTCCATCGGTCGTTATGAAGAGGAAGCTACAGTCCGTGGTCCACACAATACCTTAAAAGATACAACAACAATCGTTGCTACTGAAGGAGTGGCCAATGTAACTTGGACAACGCCCAAATTTGTAGCCACGAATGCCACATATACTATCACAATACATCCTCACAAAGGTTATAATGTCACTTATGTTGTGGACTTTGGCGCCGGGAAGAGCAACACCATGCAGAAAACTCGTCTTGATAACGATCTACCGTCCAGCTATGTATATAATTCGAGCGGTTCTTACAACATTTCTCTGTACGCTATCAATATGATATCGTTTCAGATAAAGGCCTGTTATGTGACTGTACAAGATATTGTCTTAGGTCTATCATTTTACGAACCTATCCGTCCTGTACCCTTGGGAAATGACACAAAAGTTACCTGGATGCTACGACAGGGAAACGGAGTCAACATTTCAATTGACTTCGGCGATGGAGATTTCTTCCATAACGGCTCCTTTGATATCACCTACCTCTTTGCCGCCATGAATAGTCACAAGTATGCTGCAATAGGAGAATATACCGTGGCAATCAACGTGTCGAACTGCGTTTCCAACGCGTCTATTGAAGAGATAGCTATTGTGGAATTGCCGCTGAATGGCGTGACATGTAACGTCATCCATGCAAACAGGGACATCGAAGTGAATGAAACCGTGACCGTTGAAATAACAGTTCAACAAGGAACCAATCCTGAGTTTTACATTGACTTTGGAGACGGTTCGGCTACCACAACCCGAGAACTAAGTGTTAAGCATTTGTATTCATACTACGCCTTTTTCAACGTTAGTATTTCAGCTTATAATAACGTGAGCAGAGAGAACGCATCCCAGGAGATTCAAGTTCACAAGCCAGTTAAGCCACTGATCGGGTTCAACGTCACGTGCCTTCACACTAATTTTACAGATAACACGCCCTGTATGCTGAACATCACAGAAGGAACAGACTTCAAGTGCACTTGGAATTGGGCGGACGGTAAATCCAGTGAAACTCACTTCGTAGATCTTGGAAATTTCACATATCACAATTATAGTGCTGTGGGGCATTATAACGTTGCTTTGAATTGCACCAACCGCTTGTACAACACAACTGCAGAAGCCACAGCCATCGTCGAGATTCCGATTCTCGGCTTTAATGTTGATGACTCTGTTGCCAAACCGTTTCAAGCGGATTTCACGGTGACCTGGAGTACTGTTTCAGGTACCGACGCCATATTTAATGTAACATTTACGCACGTGATCGATGGGGTTTCCTTTAATGTGACAGACGTCACTACGTCAAAGGGCACGACATCCGGATCAGCTGTCATAACTTCAGACATGATGCCCTTACTCGGCATTTACGAACTCATGGTGACAGCCATCAATTATGTCACTCCACGTCAAACCATTTATCAAAGCGTCATGATCGATATTCCAATATCTACTCCAGTTCTCACGCGTGCCAGTAAGTTTGTGGAGGTGCACATAGCGACAAACTTCTCGCTTAGTTTAAAAACTGGATCTAACGTAAGCCTGTGGTGGAATTTCACTGATGGCTCACCGGTTATACAACAAAACTACCTTGGACCCTTTCCTGTCGACGGCATAACTATTGAGCATACGTTTCACGATGAGGGCGAATACATAATTCAACTTTTTGGTAACAACAGCGTCAGTAACTTTACTAGTGTTATCCCTGTTTTCATACAAAACCCCCCTAATTTAACACTCACGACGAACAGCCCACAGGCGATTCCACCGGGGACGATCACTTTTACGATTTCGGTTGTGCCGGGAGAAGAGCCCCCAACTGATGCAAACTACACGGTGTATTATGGCGATGGAACCATGTCCGCGGATCAGCCTTTTTCCGCTCCTCTCGTACTACAGCACAGCTATCAAAACCACGGCGCCTACGTCATGAATATTACCATTGTCAATCAAGTGCAGTTCGCCTTCTTGGAGACTGAAGTCGAAGTTCAAACACCAATAGCAGGTTTAAAAACCTTTCTCGCTCATACAGGACCCAAGGAGGAAGAAGGCAACCCAGGGAAAGGTCCGGGGAATACATACTTTCCAAATGATTTTCCAGTCATGTTTAGCACCTTTATTAGAAATGGGACAAATGTGTCTTACTTCTGGGACTTCGATGATGGAGAAAGTGTAACTACGATGAACATTTCCTTGAATCATACTTTTAAACACCCTGGAACGTACGAAGTCAAGCTTATTGCCGAAAATGCTATTAGTCGTAACATCACAATTAGAGTCGTCAACATGCAGCGTATGATCAGAATTAACAAATTCCAAACGGATGGATCTCAAACTCTAGGCAAACCTATTTTATTTGAAGTTCTTCTCGACGAAGCTGGAACTGACTCGTGCTTTTTTGTTAACATTAGCGGCTACAAACTCATGAACTTCAAAAACTCCAAATCGTGTCCTTCAGCTTGTGACGGAGCAAGTTCAGAGGTCAAAGTCTTGAGTAATAATCCTACACAATTCTCCTGGACGCACCGGTGCTCTAAGGTTGGACCATTCAACGTGACTGTCACTGCGTGCAATCTGGTTAACACCATTGTCAAAAGAGGTGAAGGGGTGTGTACACAAAAGAAATGCAACTTCCCCAATGTGACCATGAAATCTAATTTGGTCGGACTTAGCCCTGAAAACGCGGTAGGGTACCCTAAAAAGAAGGGGTTCAAGATCAGCAACGTCATAGCTCTAGACTGCGAAGCAACTGACAAGACTGAGTTTCAATGGCAAGTTAATAAAATGGAAACTGTCTCCAAGGAAAGGAGTGTTTCTCTAGCAACGTCTATCTCATTGACTGCTCCAAGCCTGGATGTTCCCGCCAGAGGGATTTCAGAGTACGGGATATTCCGTCTTATTTTTAGCGTGGCTATGGTCAACGTAACAGGAGTCGTCAGCTATTCCTATGGTTACATCAAAATTGAAGCATCTGACATAGAAGCAGTAATAGATCAGGGGACATCCAGAGCAGTAGGGCAGGGAAAAGATACAACAGTCAGTAGCCTCGAGAGCACTGATCCAGACGAAGTTAATAGCAATCCAAGTGACTTTCAATTCTGTTGGTTCTGCGCTAAGAAGGGAAGCTACAACCCTGACCTGTTGGAAAACTGCACCCAGCTCGACGCCTACCCCATAATACCAATTCCAATAACGGATTCGGGTAATGACACCAATAGCACCTCGACCGAGCTTGATGAGGACGGCTGCTTTGGGTATCCTCTTGGAAGACTAAATACATCCGCGCCAAAGATCACATTTAACACGCTCAGGATGACAGCCCACTCAGATTATGACGTGTGTGTTCAGGTCAGCAAGGATACGCGGAAAAGTACTGCTTGCATTACTTTGCAAATAACAGCTGGAGACCCTCCTGAAGTGGCGATTACGTAAGTGAATCACAAACAAACGTTTTGGATCAGTGTCAGTATCCCTTAACCCAACAAAAGTCAACTGATAACAAGTTAGGGACAATGTTGGGTTAGGGGAGGGGTTGTTCAGAAATGTCTTAATTTCTATTCAATAATGTCTTGTTGTATGTAATCTGCTGAATTCGCAAACGCCTTACAGATTGTTTTGTCTAATCTTTTTTAGCTGTTCCAATCTAGTTCCAAACTGTGGAAGGAAGGTAAACCCCTCGGTAAACCTGAATTTGATTGGAAACGCTGTTTGTGATTTATGCGGTGATCCGAATGCTGTCGCATACCTGTGGATAATATCTGTAAAAAATGGTGATAAGTATGATGATGTTTCAAATCCAGCCGACATGGTGGCCACTCCTCTCGACGGAAAAACACTTGCCGTGAAACCCGAGACGCTTACAGGGGGAAAAACTTACAAATTCCGCTTGGAAAGCTGGGTTAAATCAACTAAAAAACAAGTGTTTGGATTTGCAGAATATGAAAAGGAGGTGAACAAGCCGCCCGAGGGAGGATCTTGTGATGTCAGTCCAAAGCAGGGTTTCGCCCTGCAGCCTGACTTCAAAATCACTTGTTCCGGATGGGTTGACGATACTAAACTGATCTACAGTGTAACAGCCAGTGTCGAGACTGGTCAAGCAGAACTTCCCATTTCGCCCGCCGAGCCACTTTCTCTCGATCAGTCTTATTCTCTGTCATCTAAAACTTTACCAGTTGGCTTAGCTCAGAATGAATACTGGATTAACGTCTTTATAACAATCAAAGATGAAGACGATGCTGACACAAAATTCCCCGTAAAAGTGCAGGTAAGACCCCCCCTCCCTTCCCCTCCCCTCCACTCCTGGGCTATTCCAGGTTGTGGGTTTTGTCTTCCTATGAAGGAATCCTCCGCTTGACGAGAGGATTACAGGGGGTAGCCACTATTTTTCAAAAGGGGGGAGGGCACACTGGAGCAAACCTTAGATGCTGATCGTCGGAGAAGAAAGACTTCAACCTAAATCTGATAAAGAATATTCCTTACCTCTCATTTCTGAGCTGAAAACTTTCGTTTGTTTCGATATTTTCAAGCTAAAATGGCCAACTATATTTATAACATAGCGCGTAAATTTGTCTAATCAAATTCAATTGCGTGAGCGTGCTTCATATTCCTATTGTGCACGCTCATGACGCCAGCAAACAAATCTAGCACTCAAGAAGCTAGAGTTGCTCTCGGCTACGTCTAGAGCAACTCTTACGCATCTTTTATGCTCTCCAAACTTCCTGCGTGCTTCGTATCTCGATGAACGCACGCTGACGTATGAACCAATTGTTAAATGGCTTATACAGCTGCCCCCCTTGTTTATCAGAGGGCTCGTAGTAACGCGGCATGGAGGCCCATATTGACTAAATATAAGAGCCACTGGCAAAATTAGTATGATAAAAAATATATTTTAAAAAAGGGGGCTTTCCAAACATGACCTTTGCGGCCAAGATATCGTCATGGATTTTTCGCCACCTGAGTAGTAAAGATTGTTTGTTTAAAAAAGGCTTACAAAAGGCTGGTCACGGGCGCCCCTAGACCCCCTCCCCCTTAGCTACGCTCTTGTGCCACTTAAAATGAGCCCACCCCTCAGGGATTTGTTGCGCCGAACCAGTTAAGTGCATACTAAGGGTGATTAGAATCCTTTCATGAGGTTTTAGACTCGTTCGGATCTAAAAGAACCTTCTATGCCGCAATGAAAACTTTAGAAACTGTTTAGTACGAGTGTTACATGTCAAGACACAGTTTGTGTTATTTTTTAAGCTCGGAATTTCTATCACCAACAAAAGAAAAAACAGAAAGCGAGCATATCTGACCACGATTTGGAAATAAATTAAGTGAGCGCCCCACTTATTCAGTGCCTCATCCTTCAAGATAGGTCCCTCACCCCTCCCTCCCTCCCCCCCTCATTCCAGGAGCCTAGATAAGAAAGAGATGCCAATAGCTGTAGAAATTGTTTGTAGGTAGTTCATTGTTAAACAATTAATTTTTTTAAAGGGTAGGGTTTTCTGTGAAAGTCGGTACCTCAGCTGTAGCTTGATGCACAGCTGTAATTGGTAGAAAGCCCTGATCGCAAAGGAAAGAATTATTTTTTACTGGCAAACAAGTCCATCCTTATTGCTGCGACTAAACAAATATCATCATGTACAACGGTACAATCTGTATTCATTTAGAGTTAGACACTAGTTTTAAAATCATAGACACTAGTTTTAAAATCATAAATGAGCTTGGTAAGCCGTAATTCTGTTAAAAGTAGCAAAGTTTACCTAACGGCTGTGTTTTGGTTTCCTTTCAAGGTCAAAATGCCCGCAGGAAACGCAGAAGAAATTTCTGCCAAGTTGGATGAAGCAACAGCTAATATCGATGTACTTATAAGCTCTGGTGATCCCGATGCGGCGTTGAATGCGATCGGTGGAGTTGCTTCTGCTATGTCCGCCCAATCAGCCCAACAAGATTCTGAGCAGAATGAAGAGACAACTAGTGAGGAAGAGCAGAAGAAACAGAAGGAGGTAAGGTTTGCTTTGTGTGATGCAGATGTATCCCGTATCTTTACCAAACCAATTTAATTTGCCTTCACATCCTGCAATGTCTCATAAGCAGTCTTACGGACAAGACAAAACATAGCATCAGTGTAGTTACGAGCTATTTTTCCCAAAAATCCTTTTGGCGATAGTGTTTAAGTACAGAATACTAAGTTTAGGAAATACGGTAGCTGAATGCGCCGCACTTTGGGAAAGAGTACAGCACATGCAGCCGTGATTGGCTCATTGAGTTGTTAGCTTGGCCAGACACCCCACTCTCGCTGTGTCTCTCTCCAATCAGCAATATAAATGAGCTAAAGTAAATTTCCACGGGAATCAAAAGACCAACAGACCAACATACCCCGCCCGCTAAAGGGATAGGCGTCGCGTCGTGAAATAGAAACCGAGTTGTGATGTGGATGAAGAATTACCAGGTTCAAGTTCAGATTTTCACAATGGTACTCTCTTGCAATTAATAATTGATAACTGCTCGGCTTCTTGTAAATTCTTGGATTAATATTAAATCGTAATAAGACGCTTCATATTCCCATTGTGCAGGCTGAATGACGGGGTGTTTGCAATGAACCAGAAGAGAGAAAAATTATTTTTATACAACGATTAAAATACAACATTGACTGAAATGTTAGAAAACAGATGCTTTATGTGATGGTTTCGCGTTCATTGAGATATGAAGCTCTTTTATTGAAAGTTAAGAGAAAACTATTGCGCATCTCTTGCCAAACTCTCTGCGGACTCTATATCTCAATTAACGAATGCCGACGCATGGATTAAATATTTTTAAAACATTTCCTGTATTTTAATGTTTTGCTTTCAGCGAAACGTGACACCCTTCCAAACTTTGTATTTCATTACTATTTATTGTCTTATGCAGAGGAAAGAAATGCTCGTTGGAATACTCACAAAGATACCTCCTCCCTCAAACCCTGAAGATGCCTTAAAGATAACAGGAGCTTTGGAAGCTATCAACACTGGACCTAAGACGACACTCTCATCTGATGCGAAGGTAGTGAGGAATGGCAACAAAAAACTTTCACACATAAAAAAAACCAGTGCGAAGTCTCAGTGTAACGGCTGATAGCACGCGTTTACATACAATCTTACAGCCCCGGGATTCCTTAGTTAAGTTCCTAGAGGTTGTTGGAGCACTTGCAAATGTAACATGAATGCGACCCCGGCTAATCGGGTCACCCCACCTGGAGACATTTACGTTTGGCAAATTGTGACCCCGACTGACAGGGTAACCCAACCCCGCTGACCGGGATACCCGCCTAGGTGGGTTATTCCACCTATCATGTAAACGTGATCAAGGTAAAATAAGAGATACTAAGTACAGTCGGGCTACCCCACCTAAGCGGGTTGCTTCGCCTACCCGGGGTTCCTTACCTCCATGTAAACAGGCTTTTACTTCTACGTGAGACGAGAGACGCGATAATTTGATCGTAAGCTTACTGGTTCAGGATGAGCGTCAGGGTTGATATCTCTTTCGGCACATTGTGGTAGATCTGACTCTCACAGTTCCTTTTTCCAGCCAAGAGCATAAAAGGGTACACAGCAGTCAAACATGTGCGCATGTTCGACGTTGTAGTGGCTAAGACACTTTTTTGCAGACAGTCCTATAATGACTTTGTTTGACAGGAGTTACAAACAACCACATAGGTCAGTTAGTCACAGTCCTCTAAAATCGTATTACGTTTTCGTGAAAGCTCAAAACAAACTATTGAATCAACAGGATATCAGTGATTTGATAAGCTTTGTATTCGAAAAAATCTTGAGTTTTCCTTTTCCTTTCTTTCGCTTCCTTTCGTAAATTTCTATGAACGTTTTGATTTTTTTTGCGCATAGTTTGCGTGACAGCGTGACAGCGTGACAGCGGTCTCTTCCTTTTCTCGTCTTTGGGCGGAAAAATTGACGCGCGGCTGTCCACTGTCCGAAATATGAACCGAGTTGTTTGAGATTGAAAGCTTTCAGGGTAAATGTTTCACTTTTCTATCAGAAATCAATCATTTTGTCGTAGGTATTGTAAATACTTACAGCAATTTGATGTTGACTTGCAGGGTAAAATGGCTGAAACCATGTCAAAATGTGCCGGTGTCCTCCACTCTCCAATGAGTTCCAAGAAACGGGAAAACTTAGCGAAGTCTCTTGTGACCAGCATCAGTGCTGTATTAATTCCTGGTGGTGATGAGGGACAAAAATCTTCCGAGGATTCTACCGAAGATAAGGTAAATGCTGTTTCTAAAGACACACACTGCTCATTCCATAATTGCCCTACCAACTTTAAAGGTGAAGAAAGAAATTAAATAGACGTTATCTACGCTAGGTTTCTCACTAATCAGAATGCGCAGAGCATCCTGTTGATTTTTATCCGACTTTATAATATGAGGTAGATCCAAGCGTTCAAATTAGTTCTTACTTGGTCAGGATTTTGCCAAACGGACCGTTTCCACGGATACAGTCATTAGCCGCGTATTTTTGTTTGAGTAAGCCTGCAAATTCAAGATAAGACGTTTGGTACAAGTGCCATATAATAATTTTACCCTACTATGGTATACTGGCTCGTCCGCACTATCACGACCTCGGGCCAATATTCCCCAGTGTAGCCCTCACACTCGGCTAATAAGACGTTAGTATGTGTGTGGTCTATTTTTAGGTGTGTAAAACTGCGAATGCTTTGTAGAGGGATTGTAGTTTGCTCATGGCTTTGCTTTCAACTCCTGCCATGTTCGTAGTCCGTTTTTTTATACAATAAAATTGAAAACGAGGCTGGTTGATCCTCTTTAGTTGGTTGTTAGTCGTAAAAGGTAGACACGTAGTCGTAAACAATAGAGAAAGATGTTCTTCGTCTTGCCACGAGCGTGGGACGAAGAAAAACTTCTCGGTCCCCTCGAGAAATTGAACTTCAGACCTTCGGATTCCAATGAGCCACAGAGACTCTACGTTGAGCAAGGACATTACGAAGTTCATATATGACACGCGTCCTGAACACTGCAAGCATCAGCAGTGTCAGTAGCATCATGATTGTAAAGAAGAATAACAAAGAAGTTACCACGCTCGTGGCAAGACATCTTTCTCTATGTCTTCACCGAGCTTTAAATTTACCATCTTTCTTATTCGGTCGTAAACAAGTTTGCAGAGATGCTGTTTCGAGCATTAGCCCTTGGTCGACGACAAGTTGCTAGGTCATCAAATTTTATCAGTCTTGAGACTGTTAAAATTGATCGAAAACGCCTCTTGAATTTGACTTGTTTACTATATCAAAGAGAACCAAGGATGTTGCTCAAAATTTCTCCAAATTAGCTCGAAAAGGGTCTGAAAGGACGATATTTGGTAACGAAGTGAACACATTTCGAGGAAGATTTGTTTATGATTTGGAGTCACTTGTAGCAGCTGTGTAACCATTATAGAACAAGGCTGCGGACGATAACCAGAGTTATCAAGACCAGGTTTCAAACCCACACTCTACTTGCTTTGAAAATATTGTCTGTAAATCCCTCCCACATAAATCAAAACTATCGTCCATAGGTATAATATAAGGACAGTGAGACATGGCTTCGTACTTTTAACCAATCAAAATTGAGATGGTGACATAGATGTAACATAATTATAATAATTGCTGGAAAATATGCAAGCTAAATATCATTGACGATAACGACACAATGATAGAGTGCTGACTCTTAAAACGGGCGCACATGAAGCATTCTAAAAATGGATTTCTTTACCACAGGGTGATGACGAGGACGAGAAGGCCAAGCAGAAGACACTTGAAGTTACTAACGTGATTTTATCTACTGCTGGTAACTCTTTGGTTACTGGCGAAGAGTTTAAAGTGGAGAGTGCAGATCTTAGTCTTAAGGCAAAGAAAGAGAGCATGAGCAACGTGAAGGGGGTTGAAGCTGGCGGAAGTAAAATCAAGAATCTCGGCGCGGCTGTCGATAAGAACTCGTCTGAACCAGTTCAGATGCAAGTATGTGCTAAAGTTGTATTCAAAAGATTTTGAGGATGATATTAAATGAAACCAACCTCAAAACTGAATAATACAGGGAAAGAGGGACTCATCCCAGGAAACCGTTCCATTTTCATTTTTTAGAGACAAAATGTGCATGAAAGGTTTACTAATTATGACGATTCTTGATTTTAAGTAACCAAACTTTTCAAAAATTTGCTTAAAATGCGTTAAAAACTTTGCTATGGTATCTGCCATTTTGGAAAATCTTAGTAGCCATGCCGCACGCAACCAAATCGCGGAAATCACAACCCGCAGTTCGCAAAAAGCTCTTGGTCTCAATGTTTTTCGATTCTACAACGCAACGACATCAGCTAAGATATTTGCAATGAAAATTTCGTACGAGAATGATAATGATAATCAAAATTTTCTCGATCTTTTACAGATGTCCTCTTTCAGTGGCAGTCCCTATGGTAAATCCGCTGGAAAGGTTGACAGCGGGGTCACTCAATTAGAACTCAAAGATGAAAGTGGAAATCCTAAGAACATCTCTAACCTCACCTTATACATGGATATTTTTGTTCCGGCGAAAAATGGCTTGGCAAAGCCTGAAACATACACCATCAAAATGAGTGATATGCTTGTGATGGAGTTAAACGTGACGAACAATAAAAGTGCAATATACGTGTGGGCCGTCCCAGAGCATAATGGCACACAAACTGTGATATTCTGCAAGAGAGGATCCAAACCATCAACAACTGACTACGACTTTCGTCAAACTATACCGAACAATCCGTTTAGGAACGAGTCTGAGGAGACTGCGTCGGGCGAAAATTCAACTGATGCACAGTCTGATCCGCAACTTTATCAAATGTTCTTGGACAACGATGCTTTGAACCAAACGGCCAGCGGTATCTGGTTCTGCGGCTTTTACTACAATGGATCTGTTCAACAAAATGGCGATGAAAAGCCCCCTGCGGAAAACAAGCTGAACATCACAATATTTGAAAGTACTTGCAAATACTACAACACTATCAATAAGACATGGGATTACGATGGTTGCAAGGTAATGATTATTATGTTTCCGTTTAAAAAATTAGTGAAGACATGCTCTTGTCTCAAAGAAGCTCCCCACTCTGATATGCCATTCCCCCCACCCCCTCCCCCGTCTGGGAGTTGACGAAGTATGCGAAATATATGATATAGTATGCGGCATGTAGATTATACGTGAGGAATAGATTCTCAAATGTTAACCTCAATTAAAGAAATTGCAGACAATAGAGTTTATCGACCCCACACTGTAGCTTGAAATTCGACTTGAATAAAAATTGGTTTGATTTGTCGTAATGCGATTTCTTCCACGTCAAGGCTGGTCCGCTAACGACTCCAACGGAACGACACTGTCGGTGCAACCATCTGACATCTTTCGCAAGTGACTTTTTCGTGCCACCCAACAAAATCGACTGGGATAAAGTCTCTTTGGCAGAGCTGCTCAATAACCCTTTGGTATTCTCAGTGGTGTGTGGTATATTCGGTCTGTATTTCCTTCTAGTTTTATGGGCGAGACGAGCGGACAGAAAAGACTTGGAAAAGGTACCTCGCTGTTTATTAACTCTTGAGGATGTAACTAATAATAACTTTGCGCTTTTTAACGTTTTACTGGTTCATTCTACTAAATGTTGTTCAATTTTAAAAAGAAATTTAGAACGTAGAGCGCTGTACTGTATAGTGAGGTTATTCTGATCTTTACCCTTTAAACCCCAACATCAGTATGCATAATCTCCATACTGTTCTCCATACATTTCCTGAGGTGCTGGTAAGGAGAATTTGTTTAAGAATCAAGAGTTTCTTTAGTTGGTGATTATTTCCTTTATTCTCGTGATCTTAACGAGTGATTCAGTGGTGATATTGTGAGGAGAAATTAGATGCTTGTTTACTCTTAGGGTTCGAATGGTGAAAATGCAAATATTGCCGCAGTTGAGAAAGCAGACACCGCTTTTTTTCTCATTTTACCACAAACACATTCGTTTCCGGATCCTCACAGATTTCTTTCGTTTCATCTTTCGCCATACATAATAACTTCTTACTAACCAAGCTCGGGGGCCGTACTGTGGAATATTGGCCCGAGGTCGTTGCAGCACGGACCGAGCTCAGCGAGGTCCCCACAAGAATGACCGAGGGCCAGTATTCCCCAGCATGGCTCGAGCAAGCAAGGTAAGTAAGTAATTTATCATATGGCACTTCGACCAATCAGTTTAAGAACCAATCAGAAAGCTCGGATTCACCTCAGGACCACCTTGCCAATCATATGATAAGTGTATTTTTTACAATTACCGTCTTTAATCTTTTTGTAGAGGAAATAAGTAAATCCGTAGATTTATGAAAAAAGTAAGAAAGTTCAGCTCACTGAGTATATAATGATAACTGTACACAAGCACAAAGTAGAGTATTCTTAACTTGTTTATGCTCCCTTATTAAACATGGTCAATGACGAATAGAAGCCAGGCGGCGAAAGGAAGAGAAAAACGATTTTTTCATGGGCTTCTTAGCCATTTTCCTTACTTCACTGCTAATGATTGTCTTGTTTTGTTTTCGTTAATTTTCGCAGGTTGGAGTCGCTCCTCTACCAGACAACGACCCGCGTGACACGTACATGTACGAGGTCGTAGTTTACACGGGATACTCGAGTCATGCAGGAACATCATCCGAGGTTCGTATGGTGCTAACTGGTGGTCTAGACGAAACCTCTCCTCGTCGCTTAAAAGACACGGAACCCGGCCGGAGAAAGTTTTGTCGCGGAAATGTGGATTACTTTTTATTGAGCGTGCCTCGGTGCTTAGGAAAGCTGAAGACTTTGAGAATTTGGCACGACAACACTGGCGATGATCCGTCTTGGTACCTTCTTAGGGTCATGGTACATGATGTACAAAGTGATATCAAGACCTGGTTTATTTGCGATCGCTGGCTAGCCGTGGAGGAAGATGATGGATGCGTTGAGCGCGTACTGACCCCAGCCAGTAAAGAGGAGCTCACCAGCTTCAATCTGCTATTCTCCACTGAAGCTCGGAAGAATTTGACAGACGGGCATCTGTGGTTCTCCGTCGTCACACGCCCGGCGAAAAGTAATTTCACACGAGTGCAGCGTCTCTCCTGTTGTTTATCAATCTTACTCTGCACGATGCTTGCTAACGCGATGTTTTATCAAGTGGGAACCGAGTCTTCAAGTGGGACGTCTGTTCACATCGGGCCTTTCAGTTTTTCTATAAAGCAACTTTCCATCGGTATTACCAGCAGCTTAGTCGTACTTCCAGTCAACGTGTTGATTGTGACATTTTTCCGCAAGGCGCGGCCAGCAGAAGCCAAGAAAGGCCTGGACAAAGACCAGGATCCTCACGGACAAAGCCCAAAATATGAACTATCCGGCGAGAAAGCAAACCAAACCAGCAAAGAGTCGGAAACCGCTGAAAAAGAGGACGACGAGAAGAAAAAGGAAAACAAAAAGAAGAAGAAAAAGACTCTTCCACATTTTTTTATCTATATCTCCTACGTCTTGGTTTTTGTCTCTTGTACAGTTTCAGCAACTTTTACTGTGTTTTACGGGCTGACGTTCGGAAAAGAAAAATCTGCAGGCTGGTTGTCATCGATGATGATTTCGTTTTGGCAAGACGTACTCATTTCACAGCCTCTTAAGGTGAGCTTCTATTCCTTCAGGACCTTCCGTTATTAGTTATCTCTCAACGTCAGGTCTGGACTGTGACTTTAGCTGTTTGTTTTGGTCGATAGTTCCTTCAAAAATGTGGTGAAAGGCATATGCATTCAAAGTTTTTGCTATGCATTGCTAAGTGTAATCGGATTGAAACAGCATTTATCTACCTTCTATAGCACAGCCAAGACTGAAGTTACACTGAAAAGAAAAATTGTTAAAGTACATGAACTATGAGCTAGTAGAAAATGGTGACACATAGAGCGCTTTTCGATTGAGCGTCGTAAACCCAAAACCAAAGTAATCAAAACAGCCAATTAAAAGAGAGGAAAATACCTTTAAGAGCCAATGAGGACTCAAAGTAAAAACATCCAAACTTCTTAAAGCGCGGGAAAATGCACGCCACCAAGTCGTTATTGGCTCAAGTTTGTATCTGATTGGTTGAGAAAAAGGCACGAGTTTTCTGGGCTAATCACAGAGCGAAGTAAAGCATAACCAAAGCAATCACGAATTACTTTCGACTCTCACTTGAAAATTGCTCAAACTTAATTAATAGCAAGTGGTTGAGAAAGTGGCAGTCATTTTTACTTATACAAAGTATTGAACGTGTGAAGCAACGGCAGAAAGAAAGCAATCGATTCAAATTAAAGGGAAATTTTTCGGCAATAAAGTGAAAATCGTCCATCACCTATTCTGTTTTGTTCGTTTGCTTTTAGGTTTTCGCAGCTGCCATGTTCTTTGCAGTGGTGATCAAAGATCCCAACAAGGCAGAAGAAGAAAATGAACAGGAAGCCAACGAATTAAACCCAGACGAGGAAACAATTCATAGCAAAACACAAAACAGCGAAGAGGAGAAAACTCTGAGAAAAATTGGCTTTGTTGATAAACCACCTAACGAAGAAAAGCTTGAATATGCCCGTCGACTCAAGGTTAAGCAAAAAGCCATGAAGGTGATCATACGTGAAATTGTTCAATACTTCGTTTTCCTTAGCGTGTTACTGGTTGTGGCTTATGGCAGCCGGGACCCGATGGGCTTCCAAGTGACAAGTGCTATGAGAAACATATTTGAGGATGGGAAATACTCAGGGCTTGGTGCATTTGACGAGGTAAAAATAATTAGCCTTTTTTTTTTTTACTTACTTTTAGTGTCTTTAAGTTGCTGTACGTTAACAGCTTGATGGTCTGGTGTCATTGTTGTTTTGTTGCCTCATGCAATTTTTACAATTATTTTTTTTATAGCGCTTTTCGATCAAGTGTCATAAAACCATAGCCAAAGTTATCGCAACAGCCAATCAGACGAAAGGAAAGTAGTCAATTAGAATTCAAAGTAAAAACAGGCGAACTGCCTAAAGCGCGGGAAAACGCGGGTGACCAAGTTGTGTTTGGTTTCAGTTTGAATCGTATTGGTTGAGAAAATAGCGCGAGCTTCCTGGACCAATCTAGTGTCCATAATCCAAAGTACCAATTTGGGGAAATTCTAGGCTGTTTTATTGTTAATAATATACTATAATAATATAATATAATATAAAATTACTCAGTTCTGATTGGTTAAGATAAATGCAGTTTTCAGGTAATTCAGTGCAGAAGACAGTTAATTCAGTGCAGAAGAGGGTTAATTCAGTGCAAAGAAAGAAACAAATCAGACATTCTGATAGGTCAATAATCATAGAAACTCACAGATAGCCAATCAAATGCGAGCCTTGGATGTCGCAACAAAATTTGAAATTTGAAAATTTGCGAGCGAAACAATGGCCGGCATTTTAAGTAGGTTTTTTTTCGCCGCCGCAGCTGAAAAACAGCTTAAACAACGAAAACACTATAAAAAGCACTGCTTTGTGGTTGTCAGTTTGGAAAAAGTGGTGTTTAGAGAAGGGAATTGCCAAGGAAATCGAAAATTACGAGCCGACCCAGTTTAACACTTTGCTCGAGCGATCCAACGCCGAAATTAAAAACGGTCATACTTAAACCTCGGAAACAACAATTCCATTTCATCGAAAGTGCTTCGGACACAGACTGAACTATTCTTTGAACTGTTTAGTCGGACTTTGAACTTTCTTGCACCTTAAAGATGTGAAGATATCATTGCCTATTATTGTTTTGATCCTGGGCGGTTGTTTTGACCGAACGCACGGTTTGAATAAATTATTTTTGCACTTGATGCGCGCGCTTTGCTTATGCTTAATTTTGATAAGCCATCTCGTATTTTTCCATATATGTTATTAACACGTAATCACATGATTTTTCTCGTGCAATTTGGAATAAACAAGCACTTGTTAATTTTTTCAAAGACCACAAATTGCACTCGCCCTACGGGCTCGTGCAATTTTGTTAGTCTTTAAAAAAATTTACTCGTGCTTATTTATTCCAAATTGCACTCGAAATCATGTGATTACCTATACAAATTGTCCAATTTCCTGTCAAAGAGGGGGTGATGCTCATCAGCCCTTCGTCCTCTGATAGTGTCTAGCATGTAACTTCTCCTCACAATATCACCCCTGAATCACACATGTAGGTCACGAGAATAAAGGAAACGATCAACAGATAAAAAAGTTCTTGATTGTTACAGAAAATTCTCCCTGTCAGAACCTTAACAAATTTATAGAAAACAGTATAGAGAATGCACACTGATGTAAGGGTGTAAAAGGTTAAATCAATCTTACGAGATCAACCTAAGAAGTAAGGAACCGGTCATTAATTATCGCCTGATCACTTTGGGGGGGGGGGGAATGGTTGGAAGTTTTAGGTTGTGTCTCGATAATATCTACTTGATCCTCTCCTAAGGCTCTTTAATGTTCTTATGATCCGCCCCGCCCCCCTCCCCCCCTTCCTTCTCATTGGCGGTTAATTAGCAGTCAATTTTCTATATTCCCCCTTTTATACTATGTTGGCGGCGACCGATCCCCAAAATCCTCCCCCCCCCCCCCCTCCACGGGCAATAAGAAGTGACCGGTGCCAAACATCCTCTCATTCCACATCAGGTATCAGATTATCGATCTTACTGGGAGTGGGCTCAGCAAACGTTCATCCCTACTCTGATGCCACGGTACTGGTATGGCCCCGTTGCCATTGATAACAAAGACATTGTGAATGAAGAAGCTACCAACAGTGATACAAAAAGAACGAAACATAAAAAGGTTGTGAGCACGAAAATAACTGGCAGCAAATATAATGATGGTTCGTCCTTGGTGTTGTTTAACTACGAAGGCAAGTTTGTCGCTGATCATAGCACGGCGTATCTTATAGGAACGCCAAGACTTCGCCAACTCAGGATACAGAAAAGTAAGTCAGTTTCAGTTCTCAGAGGTTAAAGATTGTATAACCGACTGACCGACTGACTGACTGACAGACAGACTGACCGATGTAATGACTGACTGACTGACTTATTGACTGACATAATGGCTTACCGACTGACCGACCGACCGATTGACAGACTGACCGATGTAATGACCGACTTACTAATTGACTAACCTAATGGCTTACCGACTGACCGATTGACCGACAGACTGACCGATATAATGCCTGCATGACTAATTAACGGACATAATGGCTTCCCGACTGACCGATCAACCGACCGATTGACCAGCTGAACGACACAATGACTGACTGAATGACGTACGGAGAGATAGGCGAATAGACTGATGGACTTACGTATTATACTAGCGGCCGACTCATTAAGTGTTCGACTCTGACCAGCCGAAGAGAAATTAAGTCACGGACTTCCTGGATGGCAGGACTGGTTGATTGATGAACTGTTGACAAGCGGACGGACGGACTTTCCTACCGATTCACAGACTGAACAAACTAACTGAATGACTACTACCTGATTGTGCGGCTGATTAAATGGCTTACCAAGTAAATGGTTGACAGACAGATGAGCTGGCGAAATGAGTGACTCGCCGACTGACTGATTGACTGACTGATGGACGGAAGGACAGTTTGTATCATTTCTTTTCCATTTTCTTATCGAGTTCACATGTTTCAGACAAATGCAGCTTGCTTCCGACATTCCGTGCTCTGTTCGACGAATGCAACTTAGCCTATGATTGGGACTATGAAGATAAAGAATATTACGAGGAAGGCTGGGTGCCAGTGCCATCTAATACAAGCACTGAGGAAATGAAGGAGACCCCATGGACCTATCAGACGCAATGGAAACTAAAAGGAACTCCTTACTGGGGAAAATTTGCTACTTACCTGGGAGGAGGTGGGTCGATACGGTAAAACGGAAACGCATACACTCCTAATTGGACTACTGTTCCCCTTAGACGCCAAGGACATTGCAGTTAAAGATAGAACAAGAAGCCAGAAAGACGCAATAGTCTTCATCTATAAAACGTTTTTGTTTACTGCCTTTTTCTATCGAAATGTGCAAAATTGTTATTATAGTAAGTCTACAGACTCTCAACTACCAAACTTTATCGAATGAGAAATGGCCGTCACTGTTTTATGGTAGTAGGTGAGAAAAAGAGTTTTTAGACCAGTACTGTGGCAACAGGCGAATGACTTCTGATCTAACAGCGAGCAATTGTTAGGACTAGACTGTAAAAAAGGACCCCTTCCACACAACGTGCATATTACCTTAAGGACACGATATCATGTCATCTTTTGAAGAGTTAAGCAAACAATACTGAACTTTTCTCACATTTGAGTACGAAAAAGACACCACATATCAGTAATTTTTAAAGCGCAGGTGCAAGAGGAACAGAGTGAGGGATAGTGCTTTGTGAAAAGATACAATAAATGTCAGAGGTATATTAAGTAAAGTTATTATTGGAACTTCCTTTCAGGTTACGTGGCAGACTTTGGAGCCAAACGAGATGAAGCCGAAGAGATAGCCAAAGAACTCTCTTCCTTAGGCTGGATAGACCGGTATACCAGAGCAATCTTTGCAGAATTCGCGATTTACAATGCTGAGACGAACTTCTTCTGTGTCGTTACTCTGCTAACCGAGATTCTTCCATCAGGAGGGTACCATTTGAGCCCTAGAATTCAAACAATCCGACTCTACCGCTATGTAGGGCCAGAAATGGTGTTTGTAATGGCCTGCGAATTAGGCTACATGGCGTTTCTGCTTTACTTTCTCTATAAGCAGGTCAAGAAATACAGGGCTGAGCGACGAGAGTATTTCAAAGACCCGTGGAACTATCCAGAGCTGTTAGTTCTTGGATTTTCGTTGTCAGCAGTGGGGCTTTATTTCGCGCGTCTGGCCCTCACTAAATACAGTCTTCGCAGCATGCAAGATACACCAGACAAGTTTGTAAGCTTTCAGTACGTGGCATTCTTGGATGAATGGGTGTCCGCCACAACAGCCATGGCAGTGTTCTTCTCAGTATTAAAATTCCTCCGTCTGTTGAAATTCAACCGACGCGTTTCCACCCTGATGATAACCATTAAACTTGCTAGTAAACCTCTGTCGTCGTTCATGCTGTTGTTCTTCATACTGTTCTTGGCTTTTTCGCAGTTTGCGTTTGTGGTGTTTGGAATCGATAACGAAGACTATGCGTCATTCCCAAAGACTTTGGGAAGCATGATGTCCATGACGTTGGGAAGTTTTGACTTCGGTTCTTTGACAAGTTCGAGCCGAATTCTTGGTCCCGTGTTCTTCTTCTTGTACGTGGTGACGGTCTTATTTGTTCTCATGAACGTTTTCATCGGCATCTTAAATGACGCACTGAGCGAAGTGTCCAATGATTCGTCCATACAGTCCAACGAACATGAAATTCTCGACTTCATGTTACACACCTTCAAGCGTACCGTTGGTAAACAGGTTGGCCCTGCGATTAAACCCAACTACAAAGAACCAAAGAACCAGTTTGAGCTGAACTTGGACAGCATCGAGGAAATCTCAGAAAATGTTCAGTACGCTTTGAGAAACATCTGCATGGAGGACATAAGGCAAACAAACTGGTTTGAACCGGAAAATACAAACAAGAAGAAAAAAATTGTGATGATGCTGGTTTTGGAAACAGACGAAGACTTTACGGAAAACGACATTTGTGATAGCATTCCCGTTCTTGATGATTTAATGGCAAAGCACGATGAAAACGAGCTTTTAAGGAAGCTCATTTATTACCGCGAAGAGAAAAGACTGGAAGAGGAAGCCTCCCAGAACGAGGACGACCAATCAGGTAAATCTTCGGATGATGACGACGACGATCAGTCGGAGGACGATCTCGACTCGGATGACGACAACGCAAGCGTAGCGAGCGGGGACAGTGAATCGAAACCCCAGAAGCAGAAACTGAGATTCGTGGAACCTGCCGACACAGGATCCATGGACGGAATGGATCGAGGCTCCGCCCGGTCAGAGGCGAGGCTCAATCTACAAGCAAGTGGCACGTCTGAAGTGTGAACTTGGACTGAGAATTTTCCGACTATTGTTCATCTGAGGGTTCAATTCACATCTCATTTTGCACTTGTACTCTTCTCACTGCACGCTAACACTTAACTTTCAAAAAACGTGTCTATTAAATAGACTTCTCGAGAGCATGACTCGGGTATACATACTGTCACTCCAAGCCTTTAACTCCCAAGATCTCTTTAGTAATTCTCCTTACTGTCTACCATACAGTTCTTGTGATGTTAGTTTGAAGAATTTGGTATTGGATCAACTAATAATCCCCTTATTTATATTTTTCTTCATTCTCATCACTTGTCAGCTCGGCATTGTATTGATATTGTAAGGAGAAATTCTGTCTTGGTCACTCATGGGAGTTGAAAGGGTAACATTAACCAGAGACGAACTAGTGAGTGAGGGCTAGTGAGTTCAGATAAATCATTTTCTGCAATGGTCGAATTGATCACTGGACTGAATTAATTTTTAACGTGTGTGATTCAAATGTCGAACAAACATCGAAATCATTTGGCAAATTGAAAGGTGAGATATTTTCAAGTAAGCCAATTTATTGCCATTGATGAAAGAAGTTGCTAAAAGGCGACAAAGATCGCTGTTTATAGCGGTGAATTCAATTGTCAATTTACACTGTACCTTTCATAGCTCACTTGAACTCATTGGTTTTCCGTGAAAACTCCTAGCGAAGGTAAAAAGAAAAACACTCCTGAGTTTTAAAGTATAAAATAACACGGATGGTAAACTGTGACCCATGAGTTGCACATAACATATTCTTTTTACCAGTGGACTCCTTCATGTTCACTGTAAGGGTAATTCGATTTACACAGTTTGGATTCGTGTCTTTATTAATGTAAATAGAATTTACACTAGCTCACAAATGGCAAATTAAAAAATAGATGATTAAAAGTATGGTCTCTATGGTTTAGTTCTGAGAGGTATGTAGTCAAAGTTGAAGTGTTTCCGTCAAACCGGCCCTCCCAATTAGAACACTCCTGAACATTCAGTTCACAGACAAATATCTAAGCTGATGTGAAAAACTTAAAGCCGTGAGTATCCAGCACCGCAGAAGTGGAGAACTTGCAAAGACAGTACAGTCCATGGCCAATGAAATATCTGTTTTTTTCGCCACAAAACAGGATTACAATGACGAACTAGAAACTTGCAATTTGGTAATTTGGAGTCACACCTTACGGGTTAGAATAGCAAAAAGTTCAGTTGCGGTCACCATCTGGTATGTTTTTCTGGGGAATGCGCGTTCGGTCTTAATTGATAAAGATGGCTGCCAAAGACATAGCTTTCCCTCACCACTCAGTACTTTATAGTTACTGTAGGTTTTAATCTATTTTGCACGAAGAATGGAGAGGTGTGGGGAAGAAAAGGGGTCTGGGTCCTTTACAAGTATCCGAATGGCAGACTCTCCCATTTTACGGTCCTATGGTAGGTATACCGCTAACCGACAGAGAACTCTTTAGTGAGCGAAGACCTTTGCTCCATCTGCTCCATTCATAAGAGTGTCCTAGATACTCTAGGATCAGCAACGTCGACAGCGTTCGCGTCTGAGATTGTAAACTTTAAGCGGTCTCGCGACAAATAAGGGATGTCTGACATTTTCACCCCTGTAGGCGTTCTAGAATTTTTCCCAATCCCACCTTTTTTAAATACCGAAATTGTACCAAATATCAAATCATTCAACTCTTCACCAAATTTTTTATTCATTTTCGATCACTTCTTTTTACGTTTCTATGGGATGTTTTCGCCGGTTGCATTTTGACCCGCGTGTTTCGCTTTGTTTTGCTTTTGATTTTTTTGTTCTAATTGCAGACGATGCGTACTAAAGAAACTGAAAACGAAACAAGGTTTAAACCTAAGTTGGTCGACTTTACTAACATCAACAGTCTTTACTGCTCAATCACCTTTTAAATTTAGTTTAATCAGTCTACTTTAAATTTACATATCTATTGGAGCTTGTAAACGATCTTTATCTGCATTGAAAACAACTTTTACCAACCAACAATTTCAATGATTATTTTAAGTTCTGGGGCCCAGTTGTTCAAAGGGCAGTTGACGCTATTCATTGCATAAATTTCTATCCAGCACATGCTTACTGACAAAACGCTCTGTGCTATCCACTTGATAGAGATTTCTCCAGGTGATAGGGTTATCCAGTCTTCAAATCAGGGCCAGATGTCTGGCTGGGCTACCAATACAGGTTTTTGCTTGTGTAAAGGGGCTCATTTCCTTTACTCTATCGCTTATCGGCCCTGGGCTCAAACAACTCTATAACACGCATTTAGATGGGCTTAAAAATTAACTACAGCAATGACGAGTAAAATATGTTTCTCAATCACAGCTTTTTTGAGCTCTGTAACAAAACGTCGGTTGTAGGCAGTTTACAGTAATCTTTAACTTAAAGAAATTGAATTTGAAGGGTTTTGCAACACTGCTTGCAAAAACTTCACTACCTTTACCCAAAGAGGTGGCTGGTTCAATTCCCCAACACTCTGACAAGCTAAAAAAGGAAAAACTTTCCCATAACATTCATATAATAGTATCGATGGGTATGCCACGCCCACAACTTCAATCTTCGATCCTTTGATCAATATGTGTTAGAATCGTTTGACCTCAAAGTGGTGGTGGGTGGCGGTGGGGGGGTGGGGTACGAACTAGGGTTTTTGAGCGCTCTAAAGATATCTGATCAGAGTAGGAAAACTGTTTCCATTCACACTAAACCACTTTTTGACTATTATATAAACTTGGAGAATCCTAGATTAATACAATTAAGTACAAGTGTTTTTATCTCTCACCAAACTGGAGTTCTTAAAAATCATTTCTAGTTAAAACTTGGCTAAAAAATACAAAATCACGTTTAAAACATTGTTAGGTCACCATAAGCTTAAAAGTAAATATTTTGATTAACAGTCTTCCACTCCTAACAATTATCATACTAGTGGTTATATTGTATCAAATAACAGTACTTCATGGTCACATTTTAACTTCTGTGATCTACTTCATAATTCTCACTTTAGCGCCCATAAACTTTCTTGTAAACTGATTAACCCTTTCACTCCCACGATCTCATTAGTAATTCTCCTGACGGTCCACTATATATTTCTGACGATGTTAGTTCTGAGAATTTGATTTTGGATCAACTAATAATCCCCTAATTTATATTTTTCATTATTCTCAACACATGTCTGCTTGATATTGTGACTACATTTTTAGGAGAAATTTTATCTTGGTTACACATGGGAGTGAAAGGGTTAGGAGAATGTGCAATTATATTAAGGTATATATTCTCATCACTTGTTTGCTTGCTGAATGATGCATTGATACCAAAGGGACCTAAATGTCAATTAATTCTAGGAGGTAGGGGGTTAAATGATAGTCCAGCAGCATATCAGGATTTCAGTCAGGTGTTTCAGGTGGGTAAAGAGAAGACATGCATCCTTTTGGTCTAGACGAACTGGTTCCTGGCTGCTCAAAGGGCTTGGGCTCAGGTTTGGTTTTAGCATTTGCAGCTTTCTTGCTGTAATTTATAAAAAAGTAGAATCAGTCCTACTAATAATCATAGCTATCTTTCATATTACAATTAAATATATTCCTAATACCCATCTTCTTTAATTTATGTTAATTTATTTTTTAACCTTTCTTTTGTTAATTTAATTTATTCATGGTTTTGACTTTGGATTTGCAATGTAATAGCTGTTTGCAGATCTTCAAACGAAAAACAAACACCATTCCTAAATTTTTAACAAGATCATCAGCTGTTTCCATTAGGATCATTTGTGGTCCTGCAATCACCTGGAAAGCTTTACAGTCCTCATACAAATATATCAGAAATGTGAAAATCTTCTAAAAGTATACTACCTCTTATCTTTCAGCTGAATAAAAAGTGTGACAGCCTTCTTCCTTGAAAACTTTCGGTCCATTGCATCTTCTCGAAATTGTTTGTAAACACTTTCTTTATTTCCATAGAGAATAGCAACACCATTCTGTGTAAATATGTGAAAAAGCAAATATCACTTTGTTATAAGACACTTTTTTAAAGGCTCCATACATTACAAAATTCATAAGCTGGTACCTTTTTTTATCTGGGCATGATAATGTAATAACTTTCTTAAGGGAAGGTACCTAAATCAATACAATCTCATGGTGTTATTGATAAATTCACAAATAGTAGCTACCTGGTCATTGTCTCCTGAGTCATTAGATTCCTCATTCAGTTTACAGCTGTCTTCAGCTCGGCTCCCTTGATCTGTAATTGTGATCATGTAAATGAAATTGATAATGAAATTGATGGCAATAGGACCGGGTGGAGTCCAATTTAGGTCTGTAATCATGCAAGTGATTAACAAAATTGGATGACTGTGAAGCAGGAGTCTGATTTGTCAATTACGAGTATGATTACAGAATTTTTTAACCTCAGTTTCAGTAAAAGTGGCGGATACTTACCTTCAGGCTTTGCTTCTTGATAAATATCTACCACTATTTACCTCTACTTTAATGAATAAGTGTTAACTGTTAATGACTACCTTCGCAAGATCTTGCACTGGTGTCCAATCCTCTAGAGTCTTCGGCTCTTTGAGCGACAAGGAATATATGGAGTAAATCAATCAGCAAGCATCAGACAAACAATTGTTTTACTCAGGAAAATCGAAACACAACAAAATAACAACCCATCATCACAAACAGACAATAAAAATTATTGCCTTGTCATTTTGCCTTTGTTTTGTTTGTTTAATTTGCTAGATGCATGTAATCCATGTATGGTAAATTACAAAGGTAAGAAATTTGATGTTTTGAACAATTTTGACAACATTTACTATCAAATAACTTACAGATTATGAAAACACCCACATTCTAGTAGGTGATCAACCATTGTTATTGAGGGTTTATCTAAGCCTTTAATTCTTTAACCCTGAGTGTCTTGACTAGGGGTGGGGATGTCCCTCCCACTTCCTGTACATTTATTCATTTATTTATTTATTTTTTTGTGTTGCTATGTGAATTGACAGGTTGGCTCGTTGCCATGGGCCACGTGCTCATGTGTGAGATAAAAAACAAGTTGAGTTCAGGAGTTTGGAGTAACATGAGCGAATAAAGTTGTTTAAAAAAAACGAATCAGCCAAGTCCAATTGCCATCTGGCAACGACACTGAGAATGACTAGTTCCTAATTTCTCCCAACGGTATAACCCCTGTGCCACACAGTAAGGTCATGAGAACAAAGGAAATGATCACCAACTAAATATTTTATTGATTGATAGACAACTTTTCCATGTCAGCACCATAAGATTTGTATAGAAAACAGTATAGAGAATATGCATACTAATATTAGGGTGTAAAGGATTAAGAAGCATTTTCCCAGCAATTCCTGTCGCAGAGAGGTGTTGATTAATATGACAAAAATGTAACATACCCAGGTTCTTCTCTGCTAACCACCAGCACTGGTTTCTTCTTTGACGTAAGAAGCATATGAGTGATTGACTTGGAGTCTACAACACCATCCTGTTCTTTGAACTGGAGAAGCTGTTGGTCTACTGGTATTTTGAATTGTGCTGTGATGAATTCTTTAAGAGCTTTCACAGAAATATTTTTGGGATCCACCATCAGAGTGATTGGGTCTCTCCCAACTGCTTCAATAGTCAGTTCCTCTGTAGCATTAACAACCTCAATCACTTCATTTTCACCCAAGTCATAAGAGCTTAAGAAACAAAACAAGCTAAGTTTAGTACTAATAATTTTCATGAGAGCTTTAAGTTTCCTGGCAATGGCTATAAGGCAATGCTTGGGAAACAACACAGCATGATGTGGAACATTTATATAGTAAACTTCTAATAAAGATATCAGAAACAACCCTGTTTCACTAAGATATACTGGTTAAATTATAGCCTGGGATACACTTATGCAAGTCTGAGACACCAAGTCAATTTACAGACCATGTCCATCCAAAAAACCATCTATGCAAGATTAAAATAACTTATCTTAATTGATCACTCCTGGCACACTCTACATAAGGTAAAAGACTGTACCTGATGGTTTCTTCTTCTTGTAAAACCTGGCCCCCTTTCAACAGGCAGGAGATACTGGATCCCCAACTTCCTTTAATTTCTTGTTTCAAGTCAGCAATAGTTGCTGTCCTAGGATCAGCCACTGTTACTGGAACAAGACGATAACTTCCTTGTTCTCGCACATGATGCACAAACATTTTCATGGTATCAGCTTCAGGCTTGAATTTCAGCTCAATCAAACCATCTACTTCTGCTCTCTCACCATAGATATCAGCATTAGGCTGTAGTTTCTTCTTATCTGAAGCACTGAAGAATTTGAAACGACCTGCTGCCCAAGTACAGCCTTCAATAATCAGTGGATTAGATAGTGACTGCTTTGCCTCCACCAACCAAACACCAAGGTATATTCCACCAAATGTGATGTCTACCTCAGCAGCTACAGTTAAGAGAAAGAAATTGAACAAATTAAACTTCTTTAGTACAAAATAATTTATAGCAGAGTTTAAGAAATATCTGGCAATGCCCAAAAATACTTTTTAATGCTTATTATTGTCCCTCAATTTCAGTGTTACTGAAAAGCTTTTTGCTTAAAAGTGAAATAGTCTCCCCCCCTTATCTTTCCTACATGCACCAATTACAAGAATACCACATATTCTTGACTAAGCACCTGAGGTGTTTATTTCAAATTTAGGATCAGACATGAAGTATGTATTCCTAAGGTGCTCTTGACACTTAACTCCTATGAGTGACCAGGACAGAATTTCTTCTTACAACATCAATACAATATCAAGCACATGAGTTATGAGAATGAAGAAAAATATCAATTAGGAGATTATTGGTTGATCCAATACCAAATTCTCCAAATTCACATTATAACAAGATGTCTGGTAGACAGTAAGGAGAATTACTAATTAAAATAAATGAGATCTTGGGAGTGAAAGATTTAACTGAACATAGCACTACCTCAATTTTTGCCAAAAATGTGACTTGTTATGATTTGTTTTTTTCTGTTGATATATAGCATTGCTAAGTCCGCATAAGTATGATCCTTAGTTTATACACAGAAGCAAAGTTGTTCAGGGAAGTTATTTGTCCCAACTTAATCATCAAGGATTGTTAATAAACAATCAAATACATGGATCTCGAAATTGTTAGATGCAACTTGAAAAGGAACAAATTGGTTTCTTCAGCTGTAATGATACATAATTGGGATCTACTAGCAGTATTTTTTTCAGGATGAGTGAGGGTGATAGCCAAAATCAATATCCACATCCTCTGTCATGTAAAAGTACTAATCCAGTAAAGCCAGGGAAGGGGAAAAGGCTCCTACTTGAAAAAATTCTCCTAGAGGAGGTGCCCATGGAGAATGACAAAACATTTGCCCATTATTAACCTACCACGATCATTGTTATTTCCAATTGATATGAAAAACTCTGTTCCACTCTCCATTGTGACCACTGCTTTCTCCTCAGTGCTTTCACAGAGCTTGCTGTTGCTGATCACCACAGAATAGCCTGCTTTGCAGTATGGTTCAGGTCGCCATGAAATTTGGTCTTCTTCATCTGATGAGGCGCCAGATGAGGCTCCACCCTCCCTTGAGGCGATCATTTGAAATAGCAATGCTGACCCAATTTCCTCAATTGATGCATTGGAGATTCTGATAATACCCCGTCCAGTGGACTCAGATTCCCCATGATCTGAAGAGAGAATACTTGACAGGAGGTTGAACTCTTGAGACCCTACACTGGCACTTTCCTCTTCCTCTGAAACAATGCCTTTGTTAACATCAGATTCACTTGTTTTTTCCACAGGACAGGACTCCTCAGAATCTTCACTTACTTTTAGTTGTGTTTTTACATTTCCAATTCCAGCTGGAAGCATTTCACTGTCTTTTGAATTGATTGTGGAGGATGTTCCTTCAATGATTGTTTCTGGAATTTGAGATTGGATGAATGCTTCGGGGCTTTTATCTCCATCAAAACTATTCAATTCTGACTTGCTTTCGACAGGAGATAATCCGTTAGAATTGGTGCTTTCAATTTGTCGAACAGACTTTTCCTTTTCAGGAGGAAGTATTATTTGTTCATCCAGGTTGTTCATAACAGTTATTGTACCATGTGGGTCTGTTTCTGCAACATGAAATTCAGAGAACCACATCTCACTCAATGAACATAGGATCTCTAGCTGTCTCTTCCAAGAAGACTGACTTAACCCTTTAACTCCCAGATCAAATTTGTAATTCCCCTTACTTTAAACCATACAATTCTTATGATGTTAGTTCAGAGAATTTAGTATTGGATCAACTAATTTTTTATTTGGTTGATATTGTATTGATATTGTGAGGAGAAATTCTGTTTTGGTCATTCATGGGAGTTAAAGGGTTAAGATGAATGTATATACTTTTTTTGGGGTTTAGATCAACATAACTTTCTCATCAGAGCTGGTTAACAAATCATTAGTGGTTTAGCATGGTCTGTACTGTTATTGACAATGATATTTGTCATCATTGTGGTCAAAATGTTGTAGACTCACAGAATGCAGCTGTAAAATTTAACAGCCATCCATGTTTGAGAGCTACATGTAATAAAGGCATTGCTTGACACATTTCCACGTGCAGCATTGTTTGTACTATCATCAACAACAGCAAATTGGCCATTCAGATTATGACAGTACCCCCAAATTGTGGTAAAAACACTTTGCAGGATTAAAAGTCACTATACAATTGATAATATTATATTTCATAATTATGTAGTTTTCATACCTGTTGTGCTTGTAGTCGTCACTTCATTGGTGACTTCTGATTTTTCTGCAACTGAAAATTCAGAAATTTTGAGAATTCAAATTAACACATAACATTTTCATAAAAATTCTAAGTGCATTTATATGACTCATTAATACAATGTCAATTAGACAAGTGATGACAATATAGAAAATTCCTATCAGGAGACTATTAGTTGATCCAATAACAAATTCTCTGAACTAACGTCACACAAACTGTACATTTATGACAGACAGTGAGGGGGATTAGTACATGAAATCTTGGGAGTGAGAGTCCTTCTTGAATATGTATCTACAATTAAAATGTAATTATGCCTTTCCTAGGAGTACTAAAAAAACACTGATACACAATACAAGCTGATTAAACCCAGAAGAAATACTATATCACAATACAATGCTGTACATGCTAATGGGATATGTTACAGAAACTTTGAAAGTGAGTGTAACTCTCCTCTTGTTTGTTTAAATATGGAGAAGGTCAGAATTAAAAGTTGTTTAAGCAGTTAATGTCAACCCAAACTTCTAAAGAGCCCCCCCCCGACTCTAAGGTATCCATTTTTCATTGATACCTTCTTTGGTTGCAGTTTCCTTATCATGCACATTGGACTTCTCAAAGTTTCCCTTGTTATCTTCCTTACTAATGGTGGTATCACCAGCTTCTGGAGGAACTGAGGACATGTTAGGAGGCATTGCTGTAGGGACACCAGTTCCACATTTATCAGTGCTCAAATTCTCCAGGTCATTACATTCTACCACTTCATCACTACTGGGATTCTTTTGAGATGCTTCAGGACAGGTTGTCATTTCTACACTTGCAAGCACTGGTTCTGTAGGGTTAGATTACATAACAGATAGCCATAAGCTTCATTAAACTGATAACAAGGCACTTGTTTGTTTAAATATGAAGGGTTTTACAATTAAAAATTGTTCACCACAACCAGTTCACTTCAACCCAAACTTCTAAAGAGGCCCCCCCCCCCTTCCGACTCTAAGGTATCCATTTTTCATTGATACCTTCTTTGGTTGCAGTTTCCTTATCATGCACATTGGACTTCTCAAAGTTTCCCTTGTTATCTTCCTTACTAATGGTGATAACACCAGCTTGTGGAGGAATTGAGGACATGTTAGGAGGCATTGCTGTAGGGACACCAGTTCCACATTTATCAGTGCTCAAATTCTCCAGGTCATTATATTCTACCACTTCATCACCACTGGGATTCTTTTGAGATGCTTCAGGACAGGTTGTCATTTCTACACTTGCAAGCACTGGTTCTGTAGAGTTAGATTTTACACAACAGATAGCCATAAGTTTCATTAGACTGATAACAAGGCACTTGTTAGTTTAAATATGGAGGGTTTTACAATTAAAAATTGTTCACCACAACCAGTTCACTTCAACCCAAACTTCTAAAGAGCCCCCCCCCCCCCGACTCTAAGGTATTCATTTTTCATTGATACCTTCTTTGGTTGCAGTTTCCTTATCATGCACATTGGACTTCTCAAAGTTTCCCTTGTTATCTTCCTTACTAATGGTGATAACACCAGCTTGTGGAGGAATTGAGGACATGTTAGGAGGCATTGCTGTAGGGACACCAGTTCCACATTTATCAGTGCTCAAATTCTTCAGGTCATTACATTCTACCACTTCATCACCACTGGGATTCTTTTGAGATGCTTCAGGACAGGTTGTCATTTCTACACTTGCAAGCACTGGTTCTGTAGAGTTCGATTTTACACAACAGATAGCCATAAGTTTCATTAGACTGATAACAAGGCACTTGTTAGTTTAAATATGGAGGGTGTTACAATTAAAAATTGTTCACCACAAACAGTTCACTTCAACCCAAACTTCTAAAGAGCCCCCCCCCCCGACTCTAAGGTATTCATTTTTCATTGATACCTTCTTTGGTTGCAGTTTCCTTATCATGCACATTGGACTTCTCAAAGTTTCCCTTGTTATCTTCCTTACTAATGGTGATAACACCAGCTTGTGGAGGAATTGAGGACATGTTAGGAGGCATTGCTGTAGGGACACCAGTTCCACATTTATCAGTGCTCAAATTCTTCAGGTCATTACATTCTGCCACTTCATCACCACTGGGATTCTTTTGAGATGCTTCAGGACAGGTTGTCATTTCTACACTTGCAAGCACTGGTTCTGTAGGGTTAGATTTTACACAACAGATAGCCATAAGCTTCATTAGACTGATAACAAGGCACTTGTTTGTTTAAATATGGAGGGTTTTACAATTAAAAATTGTTCACCATGAACAGTTCACTTCAACCCAAACTTCTAAAGAGCCCCCCCCCCCGACTCTAAGGTATTCATTTTTCATTGATACCTTCTTTGGTTACAGTTTCCTTATCATGCACATTGGACTTCTCAAAGTTTCCCTTGTTATCTTCCTTACTAATGGTGATAACACCAGCTTGTGGAGGAATTGAGGACATGTTAGGAGGCATTGCTGTAGGGACACCAGTTCCACATTTATCAGTGCTCAAATTCTTCAGGTCATTACATTCTGCCACTTCATCACCACTGGGATTCTTTTGAGATGCTTCAGGACAGGTTGTCATTTCTACACTTGCAAGCACTGGTTCTGTAGGGTTAGATTTTACACAACAGATGGCCATAAGCTTCATTAGACTTCTTGTTTGTTTAAATAAGTTTACCTTGTTATCTTCCTTACTAATGGTGATAACACCAGCTTGTGGAGGAATTGAGGACATGTTAGGAGGCATTGCTGTAGGGACACCAGTTCCACATTTATCAGTGCTCAAATTCTCCAGGTCATTATATTCTACCACTTCATCACCACTGGGATTCTTTTGAGATGCTTCAGGACAGGTTGTCATTTCTACACTTGCAAGCACTGGTTCTGTAGGGTTAGATTTTACACAACAGATAGCCATAAGCTTCATTAGACTGATAACAAGGCACTTGTCTGTTTAAATATGGAGGGTTTTACAATTAAAAATTGTTCACCACGAACAGTTCACTTCAACCCAAACCTCTAAAGAGGCCCTCCCTCCCCCCCAATTCTAGAGTATGCATTTTTTTCATACCTCCTTTGGTTGTAGTTTCCACATCTTGCTCTTTGGACTCTTCAACATTTCCCTTGCTACTTTCCTTACTATCAGTGATAACACCAATATCTGGGATAGGTACACCAGTGTCGTTGTCTCTTTTAGTGCTCATTTCCTCCATGTTATTACAATGGACGACTTTGTCACCACTCAGATCCTTTTGAGATGCTTCAGAATGGTTCAAGCCATCTTTCACTGATTCTAGAGTTTCATCTAGAGAAACCCTCTGTTTCTCTGTGTTTGTCATGTCGCATTCAAGCAGCTCTTCACTGGCACTTGCTCCCTGCACAGACCCACGTGAGAGCAACTTTGATTCTTTCTTCAATGATCCAGCATTCTCACCATCAGAATCAGAGTATAAAGAAGACTCACTGGTATAGCATTCTACTGGAGATGATGGTGCAGACTCCCCCTTTGCTGTATTTAAAGAAGGACATTCAAATAAAATGTATATTTTAACAAATATAGCATAGTTATTAACATTAAGGAACAAAAACCCTTGAAATTGAAAATACCTGCACTGAGGCAGTGCTTGTTAGAAATTGCCATTAGTGAGTCAATGGGACTCATCTCTTAAAAAATAATGAGTACCAGACTAAAATGAATGGATCTGTTGACATAGTGCATGGTTTTGTTAATACATTAACTGTACAGGGTCTATATTTCAACCATAACCAAAATACATTTTATAATGAAGTAATATGACATATCATAATGCAAGCTGCCAGTACACATTTTCACAGAAAATTGAGAATGTATATATATTGTAAATAAAGAAGAAATTCCTTGTTGGTCACTCCAGGGAATGAAAGGGTTTCAGACAAGACATTAGTTTTCTCCTTACCTTGTCTGTCTAAGTTGCTAACATTTTCTCTGTTGTTTTCCAACGTCTCTGTAATTTTGAGTGTTTTGTCTTTTGATTGTGCTCCTGCATCATCACAAGTGCCTGGATCTTGCCCTTCACCTATGAGCAAAAAATTTAAAAGCCCCTCATGATGTACATATACACTGTAAGTTTATTTCACAAAAGTAGATTATATTTAATTTTGGCTAGTAATGAAGACAGGTTTAACCTCATCTTTGGCTTTTGTTACAGGCTTTCACAATCTGATTATATATACACTAAATAATGACCAAAACTTAGGCAATACTTAGCCTATTGTCTAAAAAAGAAAATGAAAAAAATAGAAATAAAATAAACAAGAAAACTATAAAGTAGTGTGTCATGAGTGTGCAGCAGAGACAAATGTGAGAGCAATATTTGACGCGATGGGTAAGGTAATGATCATTGGGTTCATACATCCTAAGTGTTCCTCTATTTCACTCAATGCTAGGACCAGCAGTATTGGATGCACCATGTATGTGCAAAGATTGAAACAAATGGTGATTTTACGCTCACTTATTGAACATAGAAACATAAACTTGTATAATTTGTTTCTGATACAGTAGGATAATTCTGCCCAGAGGGTTTCTAGAATGCACATTTTTAGCATGTTAGGAAAATTAAACTAAATTGAAACTGTCAAAGAAATGCATCTAAAGCAGAGAGAAAGTTGGAGCTACAACAACACTTTTTACTGTGAAAAATGTCAGTGAAAACACTCATTAACAATAAATAAAATCACATTAATTCATTAGTTTAAAAGGAGCTAGCGCCCCTTAAGAACATTTTTTGTATTAATCATCTAACATTGTAGTGAACAGCTAAGCCCTACATACACTATTTAACACCTTTCAAAGATGGCTGAAGTAATGTACCTTCTTGGCTTCTCTCCTGATTATCTACCACTGAATCTGTAACATTTCCCTCACCATCTTCAAATTCCCTGCTCTCAGATGAATTATCATTCACCAGAGGATTTGTTGTCTCAGTTAGGACTGAGTTACCTTTCCCATTGCTCAAATCTTCTTGGTTCTTAGAATCTAAGACTTCCTCACAAGGCTCCTTTTGAGATGTTCCAGATAGAGTTGTTGTCTCTACATCTCCCAGCTCTGATTCTTTAGTATTTGATTCCACTACACTATCTTTAGTCTTTCCCACATCAAAAATTTCTGTCTGTTCACTATTGGCTGATTCTTCAGGCCTAACATGTGGGACTTCCATGCTCTCTGTGTTATCCATGAGCTGATGGAGTACAACATCAGCTCTACTAATACTTTGCTTTCTGACCAAGATAACTGTGACTGCATAGACAACTGTTCCCTTTTTAGAAAATGATCATTTTTCTCCTTCATTTTCTTCTCTTTCTTTCTACTCCTCTGCTTCCTTGAGTGTGTCATGGGATAATTATAAATTGATTAGAATTTTCTGTCTTTATATTCAGGAGTACATTTTATTGCCATATCTGGTAAGCAAGAATAACTATTTTGGTAAAAATTTTCTTTCTTTTGTTTTCATACAATACAGCACTATACTATGGAATCTTTGTTAGATCTTTCAGTTTCCCAAGAAATTATCATGCATACATACATGCTCATTTGAAAATAAAAGTAACACAGGAATATATGTACACAGGCTTAGAAACTATAAATCTCAACACAGGTGGCCCAAGTTCCAGCTGTAAGGTGATCATCTTGTGAAATAAGAGTCATGGCAAAATTAAAAGAGTTTGTATGGGAACATTTATGATCACTCCTAGGAATAAAAAATTACAGTCAAATTCTTACTAAAAATACCTCACCTTACGTCCACAGTGCATCAATGGTTAGAGAAGCCATCTTATATAGTAACCCTAGAAATGGATAACTAGCTAAAATGGGTTCTTTTAACAAAGTAAGCAGCTAGATAACAAGTGATGCACCATGGAAGTAAGGTGAAGTGTATTTATTGAGAGTTTGACTATATTTTTAATTCTTAAGAGTAGTCATAAATATCCCTATACAAACTCTTATAATTTCACCATGACTCTTATTACGCAAGATGATCATCTAAAAGCTGGAGCTTGGGCCGCCTGTAGTATCAATTGTATGAACTTTCACAAACCATCAAATCCTAAAAATCAAAACATTTCTTAAAAATTGAAAAAAGATAATTGCAAGCATGGTGGTAATAGTGCAACCTTTAAAACTGGATTGTGTGGTTAGCATTCACAGACTGCACAAACCGCAAAGCAAAGACACTAAGTGGGGATATTAGCAGACACAATCTCTCAGCAAGAGTTAGTCCATGTGACAGAAAAATCCCAAGGTAATGATATGAGACCCAAACCATCAGGTAGTTAGGCTGACAACTGAAGTGAATATATCAGCCACGTTGGCAAACTTACCCAGCGAGCAAGAAGCCCTACCTCCCCTCATGACCCAACTGTGTTGTGGGTAACTTACTACATTGTAAAAGATCGGAAGGTACCCGCCAAGAATGCCAAGGTGATAGGTACAAGTGAAAGGTCTGCAGTTCATTCCCTGGTTACTTCCTGCAGTTAAAATTTATTTAAGGAAAGGGGAGGAAGCGGTGGGTGAAAATCAACCTAACAAGCAGAAAATAATGTGTCTAACTTACATGTTAAGTGTTCACTAATAACCAACAGATGTATATGACCAATTGCTTAATTAAATCGTAAACATCCAGACAACCACTTGTACAAATCTAGCAGCCATTGCCACTTGGATATATAGTGTTAATGACACTTGAACGGGCGAGCGCCAGTCTCTTTTTTCCGATCAAGCTGGTTTCTGCTGGATTACGACTTGATTTTGGCTCCTTAACAAAACTATCGCGATGCCTACATTTCCAAGTAACATGCTTAAGCAAACAAAGGTTAGCATCGTGAGGTAAAACACAGAATGCTCTTCTCTTTTAATAAAGCCAGTGAAAAGCATTGATATTCGAATGGTCTGATTTTAAGGAAAGCGACTTTTACCGCGATTTCGTTCTCAAGTTTGCCATATTAATTGCGTCAAAATAATTCCGCGTTTGAATCTCTTCTTAAACTCTCGCTAACCACAATCTTTTCCAAACGTACTTTAATCATGTCATCTTGTGGATTCTCTTACGAGTCATTCATAACTTACCACTTATCTATCGTGAAAGCTTTCCTAGAAAGGCGAGCCATCGAAAAGGTTCGTAACGCGACTCTGAACTCCGCCATATTGCAAGTACAGGGCGTATAATAGTTCACTTCCGGTTCGACGACTTCCGTTTTTCCGTTCAACTCACTTTTTTTGATGACTTTCAGCAACAAAAGTTTGCTCTGTTTCTCTTTAAGAGCGCTCTGTGTTTAGCAAAGTTGATATTTTCCAATGATCACAGTAAAGTGCACACAGTACAACCGTTATCTTTGGTCGATAGTAACAATATAGATCTCAGCCCCACTCTATGAGCGTGAAATGTTTTCCTTTGCTTTAAGTTAGTTTTTCATTTTCTATTTAAAAGTTAAATTCCTAGTAGGGCTTAATATCAATTTATAAAATTAAACAACATAGCATGACTACAAGCAATATTTGAGACAAAGAGAGCCTTTATCAAGTCAAGTTTACTAATCAACTAATTTTTTCATTTATTTAAGAAAGGTTCAGTTTACTTAATAATCAAATTGCTACTTACATATACTGTAAATAGAGAGGCTTTCTGATACAGAAAACTAGAACAGATAAGAAATACCACCACCACAATGAACAACTGGAAGGGATGGGAGGGAAGGAAAATGGCTTCTAGGTGTACAAATGAAGCACATCATGCCTTAAAAAGCTTGGCAATTGAGAAACTGAACTCAAATCCCCAGGTGATATCTTTAGTACCTAACACGACTGTACTTTTACTCGCACTAGAAAAACCTACTAACAGCTCACACAACAGTCTGGTGATGTTAAATTGCTTTTACTAAGTGAGCTGGCATGAACAAAAGTATGATGCAAGACTGCCTCTGTACTGATTCCTATGTTTGTGATTCAGAAGCACATCACCTAGTATTTAGTGATATTCCCGTTTGTTCAAAACAACTACATATAAACAATACCATTTATTTTCTAAAATACATAAGATCATTCAACCTTAACCCTGGGGACACTCAAACATACAGCTGAAAATAAGAGCCACAAATCTGCACTACTGTCTTAGTTTTCCACAAACTTGGCATGTCTATTAAACACAAGAAAGACCAAATTTGTGATTGCATGACAACTGGGCTTCAAATTTCCCACACAATCAAATCTGTCATACTAAACTAGTAAGAAAACTGCTGGACTACCACTATTTGAGTGTGGCTTCTGTACCAACAATGTATGCTAACTGATTATGGGCTGCATAACCCAATCCATGTACAGTAATTTTTGAAATGTTTTGGAAAAAATTGAAGACAGCAAACCAAGCCAACCAAGCCAACCAAGCCAACCAAGCCACTGTACTCCTGTAGTCAGCCTCTAGCTATAACACATTCTACTCTGTTACAAATAATGTCAAAAACAACAAAACTCATTATTATTGAAACAATAACAAAAAGTTTGTTCCATAAAACATACTATCTAGAATCACCATAAAACTCACTACCTAACATATTTCTTAATAAACTAAATATCTACCATCTTTCTGCTAATTACTGCCATGGTTACAAATTTTTTTTTTTTAGTTAATGGTTTTTTCATGTAACCACAATATTATGCTCATTTGCTCTGACAAAGGACTCATGCTCAAAAAACCCTTTAAGGAGACCAATTTACACTATCATTTCAGTTCATAAAACCAATTATCTCATATTGATCCTAACCTTTGATTTTTTTAACGTTTCAAGATTTTACCTGCAAGTTACTAATTTTAAATCTGCTGTTCCCTGGACTAATACTTCCACTTAACACAGTCAGCAGAATTTGCTTAATAACTTATAAGCAGTTTACTTCACAGCCTTAATTGATCATTGTTATAATATAACTTCTCCTAAATGCAGTACATAACATCAAGGAGTGGGACATTCTTGATATTTAGTGATGGATGCAGATCAAGTTGTACATCAAAGCTTAGAAAGTTCTTTGAACCACATCATCAGATTACTAAGCCCAACTCAAAAAAAATAGTAGTAATAATAATAATAATATCTACCACTGTTGTATGTGACAACAATCTCAAGATCTAGTCAATATTATAGTAACTATACTCAGAGCCTAGGAACTCCAATAAGAGTTCATTCTGCAGCTAGCTTCAGCTTTCAGTTTCACCCACAGGAATATTAATTACCAAAACGGCAGAGGTTGACTAAGTAAGTATTTACCATGCTATACTCTAAGCCACTGGATGCACACAATGCATAGCTCAGCTTTATGGTAGTTGTCATGGCAAAATAAAGTTATATTAATACACCAGTAAAAGTAAACTCCCCCCTCTTCTTTTCCTGGGATATAGGTAGGAATTGGTTCTGATTAGCAAACAAACCCCGACAAGTGCTCCTCCATGTCACAAAGTTTTTTCGAAAATATGGGGCATTAAATCAATTTGCTGAACTTAAATTGTTTTCCTTTATGAAACTTCACAAAGTATTTCAATTTACAATTAATGTCAGTTTGCTTCAGTTTATAATATGGGAACCTTGACAGGCAGTTGCAGTTTATTTGATATTTAGTGTACAATACATTACAGCACCATTTTACTTGGAAATCTTGCCATCTAAGAATCCCCATAAATCTATGAGGTAGAGAAGCCACAATCTCATGTATTCAATTTTCCAGACTGCAGGTGACATAAATGTATGATTCCCAATCTACTCAAGACATGAAGGGCTGCCAGTAACTTACAGAATCCATACCAAAGCCCCACATATCTCACAATGGCAGGGGGTTGGGTTTACTTTGACTGACACATTACATCTACATTTGACAGCCTTACAGCTGCCTGAGGAATCACTATGTAGCACAGCCCCTCAAAAGGCTCTTAACATGTTAGCAACATCTTCACTCAGGCACTGGAGGTGGATATGGAGTGGACCTTGGACCTGTGGCTCCTGAGCAAGCTCCTGATGGAAGGTGAGACTGTGAAGAGGTTGCACCCCCTGTGGCACCCGTACTGCATTTAATGAGAAAAAAGAATCTGTTCAGTGGATAGATGTATTTTTTTTAATACAACACTTATTTACTCAAAAGAAAAGTTGTTGCCAAAAAATGATGGACAAAAATAAATGAATGGATCAAGTTTGCAAATATAATGTAGACACATGGAATGAATGCCCAATCCTTTTTTTAAGTCCTTTTCATGGTGCTACAGATGAAAATGAATTTTTTATAGATGACTCATACTTGCCTAGTAGACTAATGTGACTCTGAGCTTTTTTACTGGTTTCTGCTTCATTTATAAGAAATGACCTATGTGACGAATCCTCTTTCCTGGCAAAATGTTGTAGCTCTTTTTTTTTTTTAATTAGTTTCTGATACATGAAAGACTTCCAAGGAATGACATCAGAAAAAGGAACACTTTTTGCATTATTATAATTTCTTCCAAACTAAATGCAAACCAGCAAAAGTTTTTATTCTCTCTTATCTAAAAAAGTTGAAAAAAAAGTGAGGTGACTACATTGTCCTGAGCTTTTCAGTTTTGGTAAAGTTGATGTTCAAGATGGTTCAGTTTAAGTACAAAGTCATGTTTAAAGTAAAGGCCCCAACCTCAGAAGATCTAAAAGGCAATTGAAATTAACTTGACAAGTACTTTGACTGCTACCTTTTAGCTTTCAGCAGAATTGTAAGGGTAACAGCCTTCTCCTTGGAAAACTTTTTCTCATAATTATCAAGCGAGAAGTTTTTGTAAACTCTTTCTTCATCTCCACAAAGCATGGCAATACCACCCTGTACATTTATAAGACATGAATAATGTTAAAATGAATGAAGATAGACATAGCAAATATCTCTCATTCGTGAAACAGTGCAACAAATCATCTCAGTCCCAGAAGACAAATGAAACCCACAGTCCCAGGTTAGGGAGACACACCCATACATAATCCATATTAGGGTGGAAGTGTGATTGGTAACATTGATAAGTACCTTAGCATGGAAAAAGGTTTACAAAACTAGCTGTAAGATGGATGATGATATTAATGGAGTTTCTTGAGAATAACAAGCCTGTAGAGTATTGGTAAGGTTTTGTTAGTGTCTGCATATACTCTACAAAGGGACAGCAAAATGTCCCAAACAGTCAAGCCCAATAAAGCCTCTTCAACAACCCAACAGTGGATGTACTTGTATGTTAGCTTTCCTAGCAAAATAAAACAATTGAATATGGTCTGCTGAATTAATCTGTTGACACTACACACCTCCCCATCCTCTTGGGAACAGTCATATGCTGCTTCACTTGCACAACTGCCTCCAGCACGGGTCCCTGAATAATCATTTATAAATTCACTCAAGTTCAGTCAAAAATGTGTAACAGACTACATGTAAGTGAAGGTGGTAGGTGGGTGCTAATCCATTATGGCAAAAACTAAGGGCAGCCAAGCAAAATATGTGTGGGAAGGGAAAATGAAGGGGACTTAGGGAGACAAACTCTTTCCATTAAATTGTCCTTCAGTCTAGAAACACATGCATGTTAACACTTCTAACCATAACAAGCATGTCAACATTATTTGCACCAAGTCTATTCCCTTTTTCTGCCTTTTAACTTAGAATATATTGGAAAATATTTGCTTCTGGGATGTGACAGAAAATTAATTTTTTAAATATCTGCCTGCAAACGTTAGGAAAACCTTTATTCTTTCATGACTGAAAGCAAAACACAGTTGTATATCTCTCCTTCCATCTGTTTCACATTTCTTGATTCATTAAAACTACACAAGAGACAGACTTAAGCCATGCTGCTATGTATTGTACAGAGTTGTACAATGGAAGATGTCATGACAGTGGCTTTGTGGCAAGGAAAGGCTTTGCAGATTAAGCAGTTCTTACAGGAGTTTATATCATGGTTTTCTTTCATCATTTGGGTTCAAACCCTATTTTCTTTGGTTCAATCTCAAACATTACAGTAACTACATGTTCATGTATAATGATTACCATGCATTTGAACAATACAAAGAATACTAATTACCCGCAGAATCTGGAAATCCTCTCACGCTTAGACAAGCTACTGTTGGCTTGACCAGACCACCAAATCCCCGATTCATTCCAAATACTCGACTGGGGCCCCTAATCAATTAGGAGAAAAGTTCATCAGACAAGTTGAGTTCTCATCTAAATGATTTCAAATGCTCAACTATTATTATGTAAAATTTTGAATACTTAAGGCAATTTGTCAATCAAATACTGTTTTCACAGAGAAGTTTCAGCCCTATAATAATTATGGCAATAGAAGCAAAGTGCTCAATAATGGATAAGTGGTCATTACTATGGTCAATATGATTAATTCTGTGATTGGTGGATTTGGCTGAGTGGACTTAGTATGATTTGCTACTTCAACTGTCCAATTACAGGTGTCTGATTATGGTTAACTGTTTAATTATACTGTACAGAATGATTAGTGAAAAATAAAGCAACTAATGCACCAATCACATTTGAAGAAATAATTGTAAAGGTTATGACTAAGAAGATAACAGAATTGGATATTTATGCTTATTAAATATATGTACATTTGACAAATTAAAAAGTGATGTCTACATGTATCAATCACCTGATCTTGCATGCTCTGGTTATGGCATACAATCACATTGGTTAGCCTGAATTTTGACAATCTTTCTCAGTATGATAAGAAATTTATCAACATGCAACTTCTAAAGAAGAATCAAGGACAATTTGGTTCTTTCTTCAAATAGAAATAGGAAACAAATAGATATTAAACATACCCACTGAGAGAACTCATGCTAAATCCACGGTGAGTGCTGCGGGCTCTACTTGAAACAACTATCTTGGTTTTGTTTTTCAAACCCAAGTCAAATAGTTTCCTGTTGCCCACCCCACTTATATCTTTGTTGTTCTCAGCAAGGCTTAATGTAGCACCACTATCACAGATGCCTCTTTCTACCAGCCTATCCATTAGCTCCTGAACTGTGGCAGACCATTTTATATCAACTTTTACTTCTTTTCCATCATGTAAGATATCAATGTTAATGTTCCTGTCCTTGATAACCTTCAACTCAGGTGTCTTCTTTGATGTTAAAAGTGCCCAGCTGAGTGTTTTGTCATCAATGTCCATATCTTGTCCCTTGAAACCCAGAAGTTGCTCGTCAGGTGGGATTTTGATTTTCTCTGCAATGAAATCTTTGACAGCATCCAAAGAAACATTTTGTGGATCCAGACTCATAGTGATTGGGTCCTTCCCAGGGGATTCAATCTTGATTTCCTCTGTATCATTGACAACTTGAATCACCTCATTTTTGTTCAATGCATATGAGCTTAAAAAGGCAAGGAAAGAAATATGCTTAAGTTTAAATTATAGTAATTATCATATGCTGCCCATTTTAGGAAAGATTTCCTTATTCTTTGCTTATTCATTAGTACTACAGTACTAACAGTGTTCATCAGTACAACAGTACCAACAGTATGCATGAAGCGCATTTTCCTTTAATTAGTATTTTGTTTACTCATCAATATTACAGTACTAAAAGTGTGTATGCAGCACTGTACAGTATTTGCTTATGTTTTAGTCCAGAAACCAGATGGCAGCTACTGTGGTCATAATCAAATGGATTTTTGCAAGACAAAAAAACAATATTCATTGGATGATTATTTTGGCATTAATACTTCTGTGAAATACCCAGAAACAATTAATCACATAGCTAGTGAAAAAACCAAACCCAGAACCCTGCCTGGTGCCAGAGGGTTTGAGATCATGAGACCCAGGGGGGAAGGGGGGGAAGGGACCCAGCCTACCTTACTGGTTCCCCAGAGGGTGAAGCAAATTGCTCAAGAAAATATATCACATTGCTGTGCCAAGATAGCCTCAAGCATCCTGTCCAAGAGGAACAGGTTATATCCTTGTCTTCCTGAGAAAACAAAGTGTTTCTCCAATGTAGTTAAGATAAAGAGGAATGTAGATGAGTACTAACTGTGCTTGTAAAAAATTGATCCAGGATTGAAGCCTCTGTAAAATAGTCATAACAACATTTTTGCCCTAAATTGATGTAACTTTCACCTGATGGTTTTTCCTTCATCTAAGATATCGCCACCTTTCAACAGACATGAGATCCTGGAATCCCACTCTTTGCTGATCTCCTGTTTTAAGTCACCAATAGTTGTTGTACTGGAAGGAGCTATTGACACTGGAATGAGCTTTTTTTCCCTTTGATCTCTCACATGCTGTGCAAAAATTTTCAATATGTGAACTTCAGGTTTGAACTCCAGCTCAATTAAACCATTTAGTTCTGTGTTTTCACCATAGACATCTGCATTGGGTTTGGGTTTGTTGTCATCTGCATTACTAAAGAACCTCAACCTTCCATCAGCCCAGGAGGAACCTTCAATCACCAGAGGGTTATGAGATATTAACTGCTTAGCTTCTAATGCCCAAAGACCAAGATACATTCCACCAAATGTTATGTCCACCTCAGCAGCTACAGGTGCAAGTAGAAAACCAAACAAGAAGGATTTATTATAATAGTGTATCAGAATTTCTGAAGAGAAAAATTTTTAAGGGAGAGTGGACACTTATTTTGGTATATCCCCAAAGGAACAATAGGGGCTTTAGCAAACTATGAAAGTATTCAGTTAAACTTAGACAAGATTGGAATTTGATTCCTCTGTTTGTATGCATTGGACACTTGCTGTAGAGTGACATAATGCACAATAATGACACTAAAATTCAGTTTTTTCTGCTGAAGTTACCACCTACCATGATCATTTTCATTTCCAACAACAATACAAAACTGCGTCCCACTCTCCATCATGACCATGCCCTTGTCATACGTGCTTTCAGTGAGCTGGCCATTAGTTACCACCACAGAATAACCTGCCTTTTGATAGCAGCCAAACTCCTGTGACCAGTCTGTTTGACTGTTGGGCATGTAATTCTGTGATTGCTGTCCTGGATTAGGGAATGGATTGGTGCCACTCACATATCCTTGCATAGCTAAAATCTGTTGAAGAAATGCCATTTGTTTTTCAAAACTAAGTTGTTGGGCAGAAGGGTTTAATGCTGCAATAATTTCACTCAGTTCTGCCTGAGAAAGAGCACCGGAGCCAGGAGAAGCAAGGCCACTGTGCATAGCACCTCCATGAACTAGAGTACTGGAGCCAGGGAAAGCAAAGCCACTATCCATAGGACCTCCATGAACCAAAGGTGGAGCACCAGAGCCATTGAAACCAAGGCCATAGTCCATAGAACCACCATGAACTGAAGGTGTTGAAAAAACACCAGGTGAATGGTAGCACTTGGGTCGCCCCATGCTGGCAGGTGCTGGATCATGTGGTTCTTCATCATATATCACAGGCCTTTTTTCACCAGAAGTGGAAGTGGGTATCCCAATGTCTGAAGGTGGAGTGGAGAATCCATCTACAGAGGGGTAGTCCTTAGTGAGCTCCATGGTGACAGGTGTTCCATGGGTTGAACCAGAAAAGGGTACCTTAGGTTCTTCATCTAATGTTACATCACTTTTATCACTGATGAATGTGTCAGGCCCACTTCCTTCTTCATGAACAGTTCCAACAGGAGATGATGGATTAGAATACCCACTTTCTGTAGGTTCTTTAGAGCTTTTGGTATCAGGAGGAACCAATTCATATTCTTCTGTAGATTCATTTGCAAAAAACAATGTACCATAGGGATTGGTTCCTGTAACTAAAAAATAAATTGAATCATTGAGCCTGTAATCAATTTTCCAACCCCCCCTTTTTTTTAATTAAGTCAGTCTTGAGTGTGTCAATTGTTAAATAAACAGGGACAAAATTCATTGATTTGAACTCACAACTTTCTATTGACTTAACCACAACCTTTTATCAACTTGATTTTAAAATGTTAGAATCTGTCCACTTTCAGTTTTGCTCCAGTCTCAGCAGAGACATTGTATCATAAAGCTGGCCAAGTCACACAAGAGTTCAGGTCCTTTGCAGCCTCTCTTCACGCCAGTTGACACAATAGGCAAAGAGAGGGAGTGTGTACTCAGAGTAATTGACAGAATTTTGAGTGTGAAAAATCTTTTAAGCAAAGAACTGCATTACCCTCAGTGATTCGGGGGGGAGGGGGGGGGGGGGGGGGTGTTATACAAATGTACCTTTGTCATCCACCTCCATGGCCTTTCCTTGGTCAGTTTTAGATGGCCCGGTAGTTTTCACTTTTTTCTCTTTAGGACGTGCTCCAGAACCATTATCATCTACAGGACTTTTCTTTTCAACTGAAATTAAGATTACAAACCAGAGAGTTTTGTTTTTAGAGTTGAAGACATTTCCTTATCAACACAACAAACACACCATTTGCTTATAAATTCACATGAACGTATTACTGTTTTTTTTCCACACATTTGGTGTGACAGTGGTTGTTGCTTTTAATCCTCTTAGAAATTTTGTGCAGGAAATTGGAGCAGCACTGGCCGAAATTGATCCCTTTGCACATGCCCTATGTTTAACTGCTGTGTTTATAAATAGAAATAGTGTATGTATAACCTTCCAAAAATTATATTATAGATGTAATTTATATAACTTAAAGACAGCCAATTGTGACTGTTGTGCTCCATTATCTTTGAATAAAACTTACAGTTGCTCACCAAAATGTAACTTTCTGCTTGGTAAAAAGAAAAAATAAACACAGTGGAAATAGTTCAAAGTTCATCCAGAGTTTAAGGTGCGACAATATCATTACATGCACTCTTACATTTCTCTTCATCAGCCTTGGATTCTGCTGCAGATTCTTCTCCATTTTCATTACCATCAGTAACAACATCACTATCCAGATTACTTGAGGACATGCTACTAGTAGGCACTTTTCCATCAGGTAAACCACTGTTATTAATGGGAGCTTTTCCACTATCAGATTCCACTGGACCATTATGGTAAAGGATCTTATCGTCACAAGGTCCTTTTGGAGATTGTTTGAAGGTGCTTTTCATCTCCACATCAATAACCTCCTCTTTTGTGGTGTTAGATTCTGTGATTTCATCTCTAGCTGCTTCATCACTTGTCAGTTGTTCATTGCTGTGTAAGTCAATGGACCCATCATGTGAGACCTCCATGCCCTCTTCCCTTTTCAACAAATAATCAGCTTGGGTTTTCTTTTCCTTTTCTTTCTTTCTCTCCATCAATTTTTCATAATGGTTCTGCAACAACTCATTTTGCACTGCAAAATAAGAATAATAATTATTCAAAGAGTAATTAATCATAATCAAACAGTACAAGTATCACAAAGAGCACTTTTCTTCCTCCTCCTTCCTCCTCTCCACCATTTACCCTCTACACCCTAACATAAGTATGCATATATTCCATATCATTTTACCTCTCCTACCTCTCCTAGGATGCTAAAAAAGAGAATTTCTCTAGTTGGTGATCATTTCCTTTAATCTTGTGACCCTAATGTTTAATTCAGGGTGATATTGTAAGGAGAAATTAAATGCTAGTCACTATTTGAGGTCAAAGTGCTTAGCCACTTTGTAGGATGTTTTTTCCTCTCCTAACCCAGTACTCTACTTCATTCAGTGGATACTCAATTGCACTTACAATCAGGACTGTTCTTTCCACTGCGTATATTAGAGCCAGGTATATTGTTTCAAACAATCTTAAAGAAAGAAATTTGGGCAAAAATACTAAGCAACACTGTCCACAGTAGCGTAATAGCATTGTTTTCTTGTCTCTCTGTGACAGGTGCCAGATTGACAGGTTGACAGACTACTTTTAGTGACAAAAAGTGATTACTTGTATCCAGGTCCCTAATTCTTAACATGATCATATTTTACTAGATTAGTGGCCTGAGCATCCCAATATTTATTTTAACTTAATTAAGTATTCGGTACAGTACAAGATACAAGGTGCTAGGGGAATAAACAATAGGTTTAGGGGCCAAGGTCCCCAGTGAGGTCTACCGCCTACCCAACCCTCCAATCCTAATCCTTGAACCCAACTCACTACCATTATAAGCAAAGTATATAGAATAAATGTAATATGATAATAATATCCCTAGAAAATATTATGAACAATTTTGGAATAGTTTTCACAGAGGAGTGTAATGAATAATGTTGGATCAATGATCAAGTTATATCCATTAGTGCGTAGATCAACATAACATATCATAATAGTGAAACCTGTATCAACTGTGTAACTACCAGGGCTGGGTTGTTCAAAGCTGGGTTAAGATAACACAAGGTTAGTGTGAAATCTGATTTCAGATCTAAATGCTCTAAAATAAAATTCAGTCAATTTCTCTTTGTCTAGAATATGACTATTTGATGCTTTAAAAGGGACACTGAAAATTATCCCAAAAAGGCTTTTGAGTGAAGAAATAAAGAAACCCAGTTTAAAATTTAACCTTGGGTTAGCGTTGATCAGCTGTTAAACAACTAGGCCCAGATTGTCAATAATAATTCTATCCCATGTTAATCATGCATTTCTAATATATTATGAAATTCTTTGTTCTCCTCATCACCCTTTTGCGGAAAATGCACTGATGAACTTCTGAAGAAGGAGAGCTTTTTTATCTCTCAACCCCTTCCCCTTTGCTTTTTTTTTTGCTCCAGGCTTTCCTCCCTCTTAACAAACTTATCTGGAGGCTGCTTCACGTGGCCAGAATCAGCAGCACTCTGTTATCAGAAAATATGCCTATTGTATACAGGCCATAGAGAGACCAATTGATATCCACTTGATACACAGGCAAGACTTCTGTACAACCTCACACTACATTATGCATACAGTTCATTGATAAATAACAGCTATTGAAGAAGAAGAATGCAATTTGGTCCAAAATCACACTCTTGATTTCAAAATCAGACGAGCGTGAGTGGGAGTTTGATTCAAATCAGATAAGGACATTTTAGTCCGTGCAAATATTTTATTGATCCAGTACTGAGCTGGTTTGTAAAAAGTTGCAAAAGTTGTCTTTCATATTCCTGCAATTTGATTGGTTACTTGAACAAGCCTTCAAGTCTGATTGGTTGATTGCTTTCTCACTGGCTGGGAAAACGATGCAATTCAGGGCAAAAAAGGTGCAATTTGTGAATGAATTGCATCGCTGAGGGCCAATCTGATTGCAAGGATCACCAATGATTTCAAAATGGATGTAAAGACTATAAAATGGATGTTAAGACTATCTACAGCAAAAAAACAAGAGAATACCCTTAGGGCTAGTATGGGATAATAACAAAATCTTTCCAATTCATATTTCACAGAATTATTCAAACAAATAGTAGACCCATTCCCAGCAAAGAACATAACTCAGCCACTATACAGCTGGGCAAAGACCCAATTCCAGAACAAATGTAAAGTGCGTCATCATGCAAAGCTTTTCTGATACAAGTACATGTTTAAGAAAATTCTATATACAAACCGTTAGTTCCCAAGTTCGGTGCACCACTTTTATTGGAAATCCCGGCAAAGTACTGTTCTTTGAGAACTATTTTGTCCACAAGATCTTGTCGCCCTATTTGGTGGAGACCCTTTTTCAACACACCAAAATTAGTCCGACTGAGATGACACCTTCTCTTCAATTCATCAAAATATGGACAAAATGTCATTTCATCGCACTTAGCGGATGAGACGTATGGTGCTAAAACATATTTTAAATATTCAAGGTCTTGCGACTTCAATTCCTTTCCAAGTTGAAGCAAAAAACTTCGAAACTCGAAGTCCAGGTCTTGTTCCTCGTCCATAGTGAATGTTTCAATCACTTCCGCTTTAGTCAAAATTGCAGGATATTTCGTAGTGTCTCGCCAGGAAGGAAATATTAGCTACAGAGCCCTCTACTGGATAGATAATAACGATCAAATGAAATTTCAGTTTCGAACAACAGTAAATGTAGTTTGCACAACACCACAGTGAAAGAGATTTCAGTACTTCTTCTAAAAACGAAAAACCTTGATGGGGTATTCCCAACCTCGATTTCACGAATGACGTCACTGGCGATCACGTGGTATGACCAGGTACGTCTTTAGCAGGAATGGCACTGTTGAACTGATTGTAAAAGAAGGTATCCTTGAATCGCGAAATCTACGAACTCGAGCATGGAAGAGTGGGAAATTTCCCATGAAGAGGATGATTTTGAATCTCGCTACGCGGATGAACTGGACATGTTCGAAGAATTCGATGACGAACGTAAGATTCTTCTGCAATGAATATGTCGAAGACGAACTGAAAGAGGTTCCCTTGAAATTTGAAAATGCGTGACACGGATGTCGTTACATATGTCGTGACATCGCGTCACGACTATGTTCGCAATGTATTATGGATAAATAAGTATGAGCACGCCTTCAAGATGGCGTGGTAATGTTGTTGTTTATAAATGTTGTTTTTTTTTGGAAAATGAGCCTTTATCCTGTCTCGAATGATTGAGCGAACCGCGAACTACGACAGAGCAACAATAGATTGTTAAAATTGAATATTTTACAAATGCGCTTATACTTCTCGGAGTTCTGTACTATATCGGGCTAAAGTTTTGAAATTGATAAAGTTTTGCTCCAATGTATCGTGAGCTCCTGATCTCATTCACTCCGCACAGTTAACTGAAATGTCGATCACACAATTAGCTGATGGAATCTGTGGAAGATTCCATGGAATCTTTGCGATCTAATAATTTCTTATGAAATGTGAATTGTACCTTTCAAGCAGTAGACGAATAACATACATCTTGGGGCTCGTAAGGTTTTATTGTCGCTAGAAGGGACAAAGCAACACGGCCAGCCAACTTGCATTAGGAATTCAAGGGAAAATGCTCCAAAATCAAAGCACAACAAACTAATTTATATGCCCCGGTCCAATACTCTAATATTCCATCTTCCTCTTCGTCTTGTTTCCCGCTGTTTTCTTGCTGCTCCTCGAAGTGACAGCGTTCGAGGCTGACCGGTTCGACCAGCTGAATTTCTCTCTGATAGAGGTAGAGGGGAGTTCCAGCTCTTGCCATCGTTGTTTCCTGTCTGACAAAGAGCTGAGGTACTGCTGCAACAAATGTTTACGCCCAGTCCCTCATCTTCTGTATGCTCTGCGGTGCCATCGGCACAGCTGGTAACGGTTGAATTGGTGGTACGGCCGACATGATCCTGGCACGTTCGGGTAAAGGATACCAAGAATTTGGATTTGTAAAATGGTACGCCGCCCAATGGGTTGTCCTCATTAAGCCTTCTTAGGCTACATTTCCAAAGTTCCTTGGGTAGTCTAACACCGTGAAAAGTTTATCTTTGGGATGCACAACCGAGTGAATGTTCTTCACATCTAATGTCATGTAACTCAACAGGTTAAGAGTATCATATCGGTATAATTCTGGGCCGAGTTGTTCAAAGCTGGGTTAAGATAACCTGGGGTTAAAGTGAAATTTTATTTCAGATCTGAAAGCTTGAAGAGAAAATTCAGTTTATTTCTTTTTGACTACAATTTGATATTTGAACGCTATAAAAACATTGGGTAAAATTATTCCAAAACGGCTTTTGAACAGAGAAATATAGAAACCTGGATTAAAATTTAACCCTGGGTTACTGCTAATTAGCCTTTGAACAACTGGGCCCTGAGACTTGCTGGAGGTTTTTCAACGCCGTTAAGCATCTTAATCGACGCAGCAGTCTTAGACCACGTTACCCTGTGGCCCATTGAGGATTTTTGATAAATTGGCAACTTCGCCTCTGATATATAACTTGTCATCATCGAAGGCTACTGGAGCGGATGAAATTAGTGTGAAAGTTTTAAAGCTGGTCTCACCCGTTTTGTACAGCCATTGACGAGGTTGATTAATTTGTCTATAGTGAGTGGCTGTTTTCCAACTAAATGGAAACTGGCTCGCGTCACACCTCTCTTTAAAGACGGCGCCCAAGATTGTCGGGACAATTATAGACCGATCTCCTTGCTCTCCATATTGTCTAAAGTCTGTGAAAAGCATGTTGCTACCTCCTTTATGGATTACCTTGTGAAAACTGGTTTACTGTATGAATTGCAATCAGTTTTTCGCGCAGGGCACTCTACCGAGTCCGCTCTGATCAGTGTAACTGACCATATTCTCTTCAATCTAGATGAAGAAAAGCTTTCTGGTATGGTTTTTGTAGACTATAGGAAAGCGTTTGACGTTGTTGATCATCAATTGCTTCTTACGAAACTGTGCCTGTATAGAATGAGTGATCCTTCGCTGTCATGGTTTGAATCATATCTTTCTGGTCGCCAACAGTTTGTCAGTATTGATGGTCAAAGATCACTCTCTACTTATCAAGCAAGGGGTACCACAAGGAAGTGTCCTAGGTCCCACACTATTTTTGTTATTTGTGAATGACATTCCATTACATCTAACAGATTCAACTGTGGATATTTACGCTGACGACACTACAATAACCGCAAGTGCGCATTTCTCGGATCTATGGTCGATGACCCAACTTTTAAATTCCAATCTTGATGTGGTTCAGAGTTGGGCGTCTTGCAACAAAATGTTCATCAACTAGAAAAAAAACGAAGTCCCTTCTAGTGCACAGAAAGCGCATTCCTGCCAAGCTGGATGAAGACACACCTCTACGCTTAGATGTCGAGACTGATGACTCTGTTGTTGAACAAGTTTCTTCTCATAAGATTTTAGGAGTAGTTATAGATAGTCAAATGAACTACAAATCGCACATTGATGAATTCTGTAAGGAACTTTCCAAACGCATAGGTCTCTTGAAGCATATTAGCCCGTTTCTTAAGCAACGTCAAAGGGAAACCTATTACAATGGTGTTATAAAGCCCACCCTCCTGTATGGGAGCATGATATGGGATAGCTGCAATGTCGAACATCTTCACAGTATTTTAGAACTTCAAAAAAGAGCGGCACGCATTATACTCGATGCTGAAAGATTTACACCATCAGTCGTATTATTCAATAATCTAAACTGGCTCCCTTTTACTAAACAATCTCCAATAAAGAGATGGGCACTGGTGTATAAGCGGGTCCACAACTATATTATGCCTAGTTATTTAAATAATTTATTAGTTAGAAATTCAGAAATTCATAATCGAGCCATTAGACATTCAAATAGAAATCTGATGTGCCCTAAGTGTAAACGAAAATCAGAAGGAGGTCATACTTTCACTATTAGGACTATAAAGGACTGGAATTGCATGAATGCTAATATTAGAAATAATGGCTCGCTAGCAAGTTTTAAGCACAATGTTTTTAAATCCTTTCTAGCTGAACAAAAGGCTGCAATGCGCCTTAGACTGTAATTTTTGTATATATGAATTATTTATTATATTTTATCTTTTTAATATGGTATATTTTATAGTTATTAGTTACATTTTATAGTTATTAGTAGTAGCATCTATATTTTGTAATTGTTTTTAGGGTCACAGAGTCATCAGTGTCTTAGGGCTACTGTTAAGTGTTTTTACCCTCTCTAAATAAAGCCTATTATATGATTTTCATTCCCGTGCAATAACTGAAGAGTGCCGCTGAGCAGCCCGACCGCCTCTTGAATGCTAGAGAGCCTGTATGCCTGGTGCTTCTCATAACTGATAAGATAAATTTCTTCACAAATTCTCGTCAATGGACATCCCAGTTCTCGGTTCGTTTAAGTGATTATTTCCCAAATCCCGCTCCTCAAAATCGCCGATTCCCGTGTCCCGTTCATAATAGCAATCCCGCATCTCTCCCCCTTCTCACTTTAAATTCCCGGATCCCGGCCTTTAAATAAGCCCAATCCCGGATCCCGAAAAACCTATAGGAGACCTTCATTAATATATAATTAAATTATATTAACGGCGTAAAATTTATAGTCTGATTGTTGTAGTTTTCATAAAGTTGGTTTGGGCCGCAATAAACTTTCATAGGCTGAATGTTGTTATAGAAGGGAGTTTAAATTAATTCAGCTTTGATGTACAACAGGTTGTAACTTTTATTTTTGTAAATTCAACTTTTGAGTTGCCTTCCTGCTGAGAGTGTCGTTCTCGGCGGACGCAACCCAAAAAAAGTTTCCTTTATTTTTTTCCTTGGCGGGGAAAGGGTTTAGGAAACATGTTTCAAAATAGTTTGATTGTTTTTCAATTCTCTTTTCTGCGTTTCCACAACCTTAATCATGCAAGTTTTAACCAAGCTGCTTGAAAGGACGTAAATTTGATATTTGCTAATTTCAAGCGCGCTACCAAAAGCTCTCGGAATTCTAATTCTTAATTCACAGACGAAATATGGAAAGTCCAATCGAAATCCTATGCATACTTATACCAGCGTGGTCAGATCATATCCTTGTCTTGAACCTTCACTTGCGAAAATTCACCATTTTTCAAAACTAGTCAGGACTAAATCCGGCTGGAAATGCACATTAGGGCAAAATCTTGTTTTTGTCAATACAAACCGTTTTTTTACCTGCACATAACTCGACGCTCATCTGCATAATTCTCAAAGAATTGAGGAGAATCTCTCTTTCACCTTTCGGGTTGGTTGTTTGATGATCTTCTACCTCTACTTAATATCAAGTTCCTCTGATGGTCAAATGCAAAAATTGAGTTTGTGCTGTGCTAAATTAACACAGGTCATTGTCGTTAACACAGGTCATGAACATAAAACAATGCACGATATTAATAAAATTAAAATTGACGGACAAAACTTAGCAATTTGGTTATTGTAGACATAATTTGAAGCCTTAAAGGACACTCTCTCCTCAACACCCCCCTAACGATAAAGAACATTTATTTATTCATACATCCAGCAGCTTTCGATTGAGAGAGTGGTGATCTTTTCTATAGTAGAGGGATGAGGATTACTTGCCAAGGTGGTTTTGGGCAGACCATCACTTCTTAGGCTATAAGACACAGGGTTCACTAATCGCTCTGACGAAAGGCTAACGCTCGAAACTTCAGCTTTGAAACTCTTTACGGTGGCCAATTTACGTTTTCAACTCAGTTGATAATACTAAATTACCCTGTTATACTCTCTCACCGACGCAACACTACAGGTTTTTTTTAGAAACTTACTCCCTTTATTCATTTTACTACAAGTAGTTTATTTGATCATCAGAGATTATACGATTACAACTATTTTACTCATGTTATTAAAAAATTTAGCAAAGTTAACTTTTTTTTTTACTCAAAGGCAAACCGGTAGGCCAAGAAATTACGTGGAATTATATGTTTGAGGTAACTAACTGTAGACGAATAATTTTGATTTTCTCTCTGTTGGAAGAACGGCAGTAAGCGTAGTCTCTTTCGCAACCGTTATTTGGTCTCATCACGCAAAGCGCTCTCTCTCCATCAGGGAATAACTGGCGGTGTGTGACGAGACCAAACAACTGCTGCATGGGGATACATCAGTGAATTTGGCACCGAGGCATTTTATTTCTGCTTAGAAGTATTTAGACGAAAGAGACAATAGACCACAAAATACCTGTATGAGTTCCCATAAATAAGGTTTTTATTTCTTACTCTTAAGGTGAAGTAATGCGATGTTTTCGTCCGTTTGAAAGTTATGCTCTTTTTCTGTTACAAAAATGAAACATTAGGAACACAAAGTACCCCATCTCAACCCGCCCAGCCCGAAAAAAAACTCTTGTATACTACGCATGCCTATGTTTTTTGATTGTTTGTTTAATTGACATTTTTTTTCGTTTTAACCTCCCATTGTTTACGAAAGTAAAGTTTGCGGCAACTTGTTTACGTTACACTTAACGAGTACGTCATGTGACCTTCGGAGGCTCACAAGTTGACGTCTCTCCTCCCTTTTTTTCAAAACAAACATAGGGTTATACTGATTATAAAACGTCAAGGGACACCTTCCCGACGACTACAAAGATCCAGTTGGAAGATATCCTTATCAAATCACCGAGACGAAACCAAATACGTAGCGCCAGTCCCTAGTCTAATAAGTAGCTGATACTAGCTTAATATCACATTTTCGTTTATGCGATATTCATAAGCCGTTTGGCGATTTTCAATTGTACAAAATAGCCTGTTCTCTTCAATCAATCAAGTAATTCAAATGATAGATAAAACTTGCATAGTGCGAGTGCATAGTCCGAAACTCAATACGTTGCCAATAATTTTGAGCGCAGAAATGAATCCTAACATTAGGGCCCCTAATAGTTAATAGGACCTAGACTATCAAAATTGCATTACTTTTTAAACGTTTCTATCAGAGTAGTATTAAGACCAACCACAATATGGGTACTAACTGATTTGACCGGTAATTACAAGTTAGTTTATGAACGGAGCGCTCTGGCTATCTAATTCTGACAAATGTTAAGAGCTGTTGGTAATTGTTTCTTTACAGTAAATCTGCTAAAAGTGGGAATCCACAGTCTACCAATCCATCATACAGATCTCCCACATACTCTATCAACCGCTGTTCTCGAGCATGCACCAGGGCGGCGTCACATGGATTCAAGACTCGTTTGTCAAGGAATTTGATTTCTGCTGGAGTCAAACCCAGTTTCTCCGCAAGGAACATCCACTCTTCTCCACCTAAGGGTAAAAAAAAACGCAAAAATATTGAGTCCTGGCGATAACACTTTTTTAAATCATTAGAGCTTGAAAGTTCTTCAAAGAATATAGACTGTTATTCGCCAAAATTATTCTGCGTCGCTAGAGTGCAACCACGCATCGGAATATTACGTCAGTCGGAGAATAATAACGATCGCCTACGTGCTCTTCTCTATCCAGCCTATTTTCGTGGAAGGTTTTATTTTGTTTCACATGGAATTTCGAGGAGACCGACCGAACGAAAGTCTATTATGGCGCATGTAGCAGCCGCTTAATGATAGGATTTGTATGTTGCTGATTTAAAAAAACTATATATCACACAGAAGGAAAGGAAGGGGTCAAAAGCACCTCAGAATTCCCTCTACCTATACCCTTAATGTGGTTCTGGTGGACTTCTTGCGAAAGGAGGAGGAGGAGGCGTTGAGTGCAACTCTGAATGAGAGAATCGAGATGCAGACGATTATCCAAAAACTTTGCTTGATTGCATGCCGGGTAATTCCAGAAGTAGCTGTGTATTGAGCCCTGAACACTCAAGACTTCTAACTCTTCATTTTAATCTTATGCAATTCTTTGTAAATTAGTAGAGAGAAATTGTGACGATAGACTTTTCGCATTAACTAGACTTTGGCGGGAAACACAACAATAACAGGGGGAAGTAGCTCGGTAGAGACCACTTGCAGCAAGAACGGAAACTTGTCACGGTTTCCTGGTAAACGGAGACCTACTTCAAGCAAACTTGCTACGGATGTCAAGGATTAGACAGCGTTTGGTTCCACAGTAACTTTATTCTAGTTCATGTCGAGAACTGATATGACCTGTTACGTACTCAACTTCATAATCAATGTAATCGAAAAAGTTTTCCAATGTACCTCTTTGAGTACTATCGAGTGCGTGCTTCTACTGTCCTTTCAATCTACAATATTTGAGTGGTATAATAAAAGAAGCGGAAAATGTCTCTTTTTAGTTAAGCCATTTCACTTAAATATTTCATCTGTTCGGAAAGAATTTCAAAACTAAGAAACGGATACAGCAGACTCTCAGCCATTAAAAGAGTAAACATAAGACAAATTCCACAGCTTTGATATTAAAAACACCTATCTTAATTGCGGTAGAGCAGCTTAGGAAATAAAAGTGAGAAGTAATTATAATTTCTGCTTATCTATACGATGTTTGTTTTAAGTTCGAAAAAGGGCAAAGTGAGAAAGTATCCTATAAAAGGAAAGCGAACTTACGTGCACAAACTCATCTACCAACTTCCATAAGAACCAATTTTTCAGAAAGATCATTTACTCTTAAATTTATATTTCCAGGGGGAGCATTGACCCTTATATTTACATGCAATTCCAACAGTAATGGCCATCAAAGTACCGACAGACAGGTGTATAATGAAAGGCAAAGTAACAAGCAAAATGTAACAGTTGGCAATTCAAAAACTGCTATGACTTTTCTATATTTTTTTAAGTACTAGAGCAAAAGAACTTAAATAAATTGAAAATGGTTAACGTGAAAATTTTATAAGTAAATATGTTCCCAAATGTTGACTACATTATCCCGTAACAAAATTGTTATTAGATCTCCGTTGAAAATAAATTTAGATAGCTGTCATCATCCATGTCCTAGATAATGTAAGGGTCGGCACGCACGAGGAACCAGTAGTTGGGACTTGTTTCTGGGACTAGTCCCATGATTGACCAACTAAGAAATTCTCCTTACAGTATCAATACAATATCAAGCAGACAAGTGATGAGAATAAAGAAAAATATCGATTAGGGGATTATAAGTTGATCTATTACCAATTTCTCCAAACTAACATCACAAGAACTGTGTGGCAGACGGTAAAGAAATTTACTACTGAGATCTTAGGAGTTAAAGGGTTAATGGCGAAAATTAGGGCGCCTTCACTGAAATTCAGGGAAGCGTACAGGCGAAAAAGGAGCGGTCCTAAACAGTGAAACTGAATTTACTTTAATAACTGCAAAACATTGAAGTACACGTTCACATCCATAATAAGCATATTGTCGATCTACGAAACTGGTCAATTATTTACAATTTCGAAAGCTTTTTTTTTTTCTTCTTTCCCCTTGGGTTCGGTATAAAATTAGATCAGCATTCTTGTATTGCTAACACTCCTTGCTCTATCATCCACTTCTGTTAACTGTACTTGTTCAACCTAACCGGCAGCCCCCATCTTGAAACGGAGTTCGAAAGAGGTTGTACGACCTTAAACACTGATCAGTGATTGGATTATTTTTCATTTGGTCGCATGGAATTGTCCCAGTAACAGTTCACACGTAGGGACCTGGGTAATTCGTGGGACAATTCTCAGGGATCACTTTTTGGTCCCTGCGACAAGATTTTTTGATGAAAATGGATAGTTAACACGTAGGGTCTCGGTCGAAAATTTTTTTTTTTCCGTGTCTTCCGAGGGGGTTTGTTTTGGTCCCTTTTGAGATAGAATGCTTACAGCCATTAAAACAATCAAGAAAAATCTGTAATAAAGTGGAGGACAGAGGAAAACGTTTAGCATTAACTAGGCAATTACTTGACAAATAGCTCTATAAAGTAATAAGTATTAACAAAGTGTTTAGTCTCACCGCTAAGGGTTATCGTTAATTCTCTTCTCAGACGCTGAGGAATCATGGCAACGTCATACTTTTCAGGCAACAAAGGACCTTCCGGAAGAAAGATTTCTTGATGAAAGCAAAACTAAAACAACTGAGTGTATGGTTAGGGTAGTTTTTTTTCCATATAAGATAATTACAAGACGCATACTTATTTATCATGTTCTTTTCTGGCAGACACCATTGTCACACCTAATGCGTATTCCATGGCTGCAACATAATACTTTTACCATATCATCACTTTGTCGACACTGCGAAATCCCTGAAGTGTACCATGCTTGTAGCCTTACACATAATCAGATGGCCGCATCACTATAATTGGTTAAGCACGATCAGACTGGATGAGCAATATGACTGAACCATTGCAGACCCCAAGATAAAACTAGTGTTATATACCAACGAGACATGAGGTCTAATTTACTCTCTTTGTGACACATGTAAAGGCAGCAAATGATAATGACCAGTTCCCCTTTAAAAAATATAAGCCTAACGCAAAAATGAAACACTTCCTATGGAGTATACCCCAATATTTCACTGACATCAGTAAAGGTGTATTTCAATTCACCTGTTGTACCCGCGGGAGTAATTTCTCTCAATTTTCTGACAACTTCTGGCTTGTTCGCAGTCTTAGCTTTCAAACAAAGGTAGCGGATCTTCTTCTTAGTGTCAGGGTCTGGTTGTTCCAAGAGACTTTGATGAAATTGGGCCACAACCTCACTTGCATCACACGTCTGTGTCGTCAGGGCCTCAAGCACCTCACCGCACAGGACGATGGCTTGATCGTTGTGGGCTAGATTGCAAATGTAACGGTGTCAAAACATGCAATGAATACAAAACAGGAAAAGAATAAAACAAGGAAACATAATTTGTTTGTATCATTTAATTACTTTATACATAACACAACTGAAATACGAAAATCGTTTAAATCTGAAACTGACTGGCTATGATGGGTGAAAAATCTAATGGTCGACCAAAGAATTATTTAAAACTAAACAGCTACAAAACAAAAGCTTACCATCTCCATTGCTAAGCAAGGGGCTCTTTTCGTCGCATCCGTCGGTGGCTTGCTATATGAAGAAAAGCAAATCAAGGAATTACCGCTTTTATATCGTCAGCAATACTTTCAAGTATCACTGTTTTAATCAAGAAATCTAAGGATTCGTTAGAGGCATAAAGGCGTCCTGGGTTTTGAGTTACAAGACTGCCTACACCGCAAATACCTATTTCAAGCCGTAAATAATTTGCTCTTCATAATAACAGTGGAGGTAATTGAGAGAATGACAAGTAACATTTTATCCAGCAAGCTTTCGTCAAAATTTCATGTACTGCCTTAACATGGTAACTTGAGCTAAAGAGATTTCATTTCAAGGATATCTCTTCTTTTTTCAGGTGCGGAGAATGAAATCGTAATTGACAAGAAAAACTCATGAATAATGGGTAGAGATTCGTTAGTACATTACCTGTTCCTGTAGAGATCCAAACCAGAATCCAACAAAATCGACAGGAGCCTTGCAATTTTCGGCAACAACCGACCGGGTGCATACAATGGACCCACGGCTAGCGAAGAGCTGAGACTTTGACAACAGGTGCAGGCAGCGCTCTTCCTTACAACCAAGTACATTATGGTTGCGGCAATGATTCACAGAACGACTTGCACAACACACTGGACAGCATACTAAGAGATCATATGCCATGTTCTTTAGCCAGGGAAACTCTTTGCGCATGCACTCGAGAATCAGTCCTAGTCGTCGACAGACTGCACGAGCAAAATCCACCTGAAAGGCGTCGTATGTGGATTTTGAAGGCAAACTCAGTCCTGATTCTACATCCGATGAGAGTCCAGCGGCACATCTTTCTTTGTGAACAACTACCTCAATGAAGGAAGAATGGCATTGGAGGATTATAGAATAACCTTCAGCGGGATGTGTGAAAAATCTAGCAAAGTTTTGATGTAATTGAGGTCGTGTTTGACTGGAAAACTCCTTTGTGCACCACTGAAAGACCATCAACACCACACGAGGAAAAAGTCCACACGGCACTTGACTGGACTTGAACTTGAGATAAAGTGGCGGGATCCCTGCAGAGGCAATCAGCTTCCTTACATCCTCCTGCGGTGGGAACTTCAACATGGAAGGTACAAGATATTCAGTGGGTGAATCAGTCGCAACCGATGATGACAAGGGACATAACAGGCAGAATTTCTCCATTAAGGCAATGAGAGTGTGACAAGTTTCTTGGTTTTCAAACAAGGGGCCCCATACATGTTGCAAGAGCTCTTCTTTCAAGATTCCTGTTCTCTCAAGCCTCAGCCACAGTTTCTCGTATTTTCTCTCTTGGCTTTGGTATGGCCTTACGGTAATTACCTCCTTGAAGACATCTATCAACCATTGAGGGTCCAAGATCACCATTCTGCTTAGCTGTTCAGTGTAGTCAAAATGAACTAAAATTCTCTGATCGTGTAAGAAGTTCAACATTGCCACAAATTGTTCAGTGCTGGAAATACCACATTTTTCGGTTGCAATATTTTTGGCTTCATCGAGAGAAATCCACTTGTGGCCATCTTGATTCTTCTCCTTCATTTCCATTTCAAACTGCAACCACTTGATCGGAATTTCCTGTTTCATTTGTGGTAATTCATTCGCAACAGTTTCTACCTTCTTTCTCAGACGACTGACTTCTGGACATTTTTCTTCACCTCCAGATTTAGTGTTGTCTACAACAAAGTAATCAACTAGATGTTTACCATAAACCCGCGTCTTCAGTGAGCCAAATATCTTGCGGGCCAACACATGAGGATTTAAACCTTGAAAAGGTTTATCAGCGTGAGTGCAAACAAAGAAAACCGGGGGAAGCCTTTCTGGTAATACTTCAGATGTAAGCATTTCCTGGAGGTCCTCGTCTTCCAGAACCAAACTAGATACAGAAGACATCCACAAGTCAAGGTAATCCATGTTACTCCTTTCACAGAAAACATCCTTGATATCCTCGTAGAATCCGTGCTTCACTTGAGGGCTGACTTTACTATCTGGATCTCGACTTAAGTTGTTAACTAAAATATAAATCGCCCTTGTTGTGAGAAATAAAGGATGGGTGGCGTAATAGACAGATTGTCCACCAAAATCCCACAAAACTGAGTACAGACCTTCTTTATCTTGGGCACCTTCGGCTTCTTTTAGTTGAAACAAATTTTCAACCAAAGTAGCAATCTTATCCGGTACCTCTTTTAACTCTGGTACAGCATCAACCGTACAAGCATTCCTTATCTCCTTTAATTTTATTCGTTCTTCAACTGAATTTGTTGCTTCTTGGAAAACTTTCCAGTCGAAAAGGTCAATCCCACTTTCAAGATTTGACGCATCAACTTTTTTCATTTCTTTTGAATCTGTCCCTTCTTTAAGGCTCGTGAAAATGCATTGAGCTGCACCTTGTTCATAGAAAATGGGTGCTGGATCTGAATTCGTTGCTTCATCTCCACTTTCTCCTATTTTCCATACCTCTTGGGAAACTTTGCAGTAGGATGGGTCACTCTCTATTCCTTTGGTAATACTTTCTTCTGGGTTGAAACGTTCTCCTTTTAATGACCTCTTTAAACTTGTTTTTCCCGACTGACCTTGTCCAATGAACATGATAGGCACTCTTTTTACAATGGTTTTCCCCTCTGAAAGGGCTTTATTATAGGCTAAAACTGCTGATGGACCTCGGGAAATAATCTCCGGTGGGGCTGTAGGGGGGGAAATTAAGGAAACGTCACGTAATAAGAAAATTTTCGATCTCATAAATCAAACGCACTAAATAAAGGAATAAAATTGACGAAGGAAGGGATAAATAAGGCTTTGCAAATAGTAGGTGGTATTAACCTCTTTTATTTTGTTGCAGCCTTTTTCGGCTTGAAAAATAAAGTTGGGTTTAATATAATATGGTTACCACGGCAGGTATTTTACTCTTAGCTGTGTTTCAGTTTTGATACCGTACTTAAGCTTATGACAATCCTACAGTGTGAAACCTTTAAAAACTTGGATGGTCCATTTCGTTTATTCTTTAGTACTTTTCGTCTCTGCTCACGTTATAATTTCCTTAATTTCGGCTTTGGCACCTTTAAAAACCTTTGTTTGTTTCTCTTGTTGCTACTTGTCGTTATCAGATATGGATCTCCTCTCGCTGATTTAGACCCCACCCTACAAAACGTGCCCTTTTTAGTTCTTTCTCCATCACGAATTTATCTTGTTTAGTAATGTAAACTTTATGTAAACGCTCCTTGGATTCTGGGCACAGAATTCCTAAAAAATTATACGAGTGATCAATACAAACTCCAGCATTAGTTTACTAGTGGCTTTAAAAATGGGTAAGACACAAATACACTAGCGGACAATAAAGTACATACTGGAAAATTCGATGTGAAAGTGAGTACTAGCGATGAGAAAAAAACCGAGGGGAGGGGGGGGCACGTACAAGAGTACGTAAGAGAATAATTAGGCAATTTTTTAGGCAGTTATTATTTGGGTATTTTATTCCAGTAAGTCTTATTGGTTCACAAGGGATTAATTGAATAACTTGAAAATATTCGAAGAACATTATTAGGTTGCCTTTGCAGTCTTTGAGCTCACTGTCCCACATGATGGAGGAAAAACTAAACAAAATAAGTTTTGTAAGGGGGGTATAAAGGGGATCCAAATCTAAGGGGGTCCACATCCGCTAGGACACCGGGTAGGAGTTTTCATATACCGAAGTGTTACTTTCTAGCTCCATGTAATTTGTACTGTTACCTACAGGTTGTCCTGTATCAATTGAAGCCAAGAGGCTCGTTTTCATAAACGTTTTACAGGCTATATAAGACTAGCGGGTAAAAAAACAAAACGAAACAAAACCGGAAAACTTCGAGAGAATTGTCTGGGAAATGATCAGTCATTGTACAAATCATATTGATCGATGGCGTGACACCATTACTCCGTGCATCTGTACTTTGATAAAGCACGATGTTTCAACCAAAAAGAACGTGCCCTAATATAAAACTTCATTAAACACTTTCATAAGAGCCAAGATGGCGCCTTCTGGGATATCCAAGCCTTAAGCTTGCTTTTGTTTGCCATTTTCATACTTTTCCGATACGATATTCTGTGACAGCCATTTCTCGGATGCTACAAATGCAAATATGGGATGCTACAAACGCAAATATAGGATTGCACAGTCAACTATGACATATCAAGTAAATTCTGGTACTAAAATTCAATAACATGAGTGTGCCTCATTAAAGCAGTTGATAATTTTCATGATTACAAACCCCACTTTAAACAAGACGGGGTTATGGAGAATAAGAGAAGATCATGCAAACCTGAGAAGCAGTGAAGGGTTTATATACCTTTCTAGAATGCTCCCAAACTCTGGAAACTACAAACTGCAACAATTTTTTGGCCCTTCAGTCGAGCAAACAACAATTCAGGCAAGATAAATCTCTCGTGTGAGTTGCTTATATGGCTCACAACAAAATCTGCCTCTTTGTTTTGATAGTCCAAAAGGTAATCACAGCATTCATTGTCAATTTCTTGTAAAATACTACCAAAAATAAACATCCTCTCAGTCCTCTCAGAGGACATGAGCTTACTGGTAATGAATAGAAAGCCTAATTGTTTGTAGTATTTTACAAGTGTGCTGATGTTCAGGGACAGGGTGTAGGTTATTCCTGTCATGGCCGTGAGGGAATGCATTTTTCTGAGATAAGTTATAGTAGTCTGTAAGTACCAACAAGTACCAAATTGTGCGTTTGCTATCTGACACCATTTGAGGCCTCTTGTGCGAAATGCACCATCATATAATATAGGAAGCCTTGTATGGTATAGCATTTCGTAAATGAAATTACACTGTTAGCGGAATAATATCTTACAGTAGGTATATATACAGACTGAATGAAATTATACTGTTAGTTAGCAGCATAATATCTTACAATATATATATATATATATATATATATATACAGACTGAATGAGATTATGCCGTTAGTTAAGGAACTATAAATAATGCTGTTAGTCTTTGGGCTGATAACAAGGATAAGGTTTCAATTTTTTTGCAAAACATCATTTTTTACCTACCTCAAGTGTTTCTTTTTTTAATTTTTGTTTTTGCTGTTGTTGTTGTTGTTGTTTTCTTTTTTTTAGGGGGGGGGAGGAGACAAGAAGAGCCAGGTAATTTTCTCTCTCTTAGTTTTTACTAAGTTGTAAATAACCTGGTTATCTCACTTTCACCATCCCTTTTTATATCTCTCCATGGAGACCCTCTCATTCCACTGTCCAATATGATCACTATCAAAGTTTGAAATATGTATTGACATGCATTTAGGAATCCAGAAACTACCAGGATCATGCTATTTAGAGATTTCACTAAAGAGCCAAATGTTTTCTTTAGAGATTGGTTCTCCTGTCTAATTTGGCCCTGCTTCTAATCTAACTAATTAGATATTGTAAGGAGAAATTAGTCACTCTTTGGGGTCAAAGTGCTATGCCACTTTGTAGGATGTTTTTTCCTCTCCTAACCCAGTACTCTACCTCATGCAGTGGAAACTCAATTGCACTTACAATCAGGACTGTTCTTTCCACTGCTTCTTCTGTTTGCAGTGCCATCAAACTCCATATCAGAAACTGAAAAAAGAAAAAAAAATGCCATATCAACCCACAGACTGCTTGGTCTAAGGTGAATGAAACTTGAAAAGCAGTCAGTATGTAAAAAAGCTTTAAGGATCTCAGACAGAGACAAATTCATATGTATACAGCTCATAATTAAATTGTTTAACCAATCTCCACTAGTAAGAAACATTACCCATATAATAGAGCAACATAAATTGTTTGAACCAATCTGAAAGAAAGAAATCTGGGCAAAAATACTAAGCAACACTGTCCACAGCAGTGTAATAGTATTGTTTTCTTGTCTCTCTGTGACAGGTGCCAGATTGATAGACTACTTTTAGTGACAAAAAGTGATAACTTGTATCCAGGTCCCTAATTCTGAACATGATCATACTTTAGTAGATTAATGGCCTAAGCATTCCAATATTTATTTTAACTTATTTAAGTATTCAGTACAGTACAAGATACAAGGTACTAGGAGAATAAACAATAGCTTTAGGGGCCAGGGTCCCCAACGAGGTCTACCCCCAACCCAACCCCCAAAAAATTCCTTTAATCCTTGAACCCAATAAACTAGATGAAATATGATAATATTACCACTAGATAATATTATGAACAATTTTGGAATAGTTTTCACAGAGGAGTGTAATAAATAATGTTGGATCAATGATCAAGTTATATTCATTAGTGCGTAGATCAATATAACTTATGATAATGGTGAAACCTGTGTCGACTGTTTAACTACCAGGGCTGGGATGTTCAAAGCTGGGTTAAGATAACACAAGGTTATTGTGAAATCTGACTTCAGATCTAAATGCTCTAAAAGAAAATTCAGTCAAATTCTTTTCATCCAGAATATGACTATTTGATGCTTTAAAAGGGACACTGAAAATTATTCCAAATAGGCTTTTGAGTCAAGAAATAAAGAAACCCAGATTAAAATTTAACCTTGGGTCAGTGCTAGTCAGCTGTTGAACAACTGGGCCCAGATTGTCAATAACAATTCTATCCCTTGTCTGTCATGCATTTCTAATATACCGTATTTTTTCAGTTATAAGGCACAGCATTTTTTCAAAAAAATTTTGCATTATCACCTTTGAACTGTCTCAGATTCGGGGTGTGTCTAATAGCCAAGTATTTTCATGCAACTAAATTCAAGAATGTCCTATTTTCTAACTTTAACCTGGCATAAAACAAGATAAATGGATAGAAGGCTGGGAATATTGGTTATTGACTTCACTCAACTTGGTGGTTCTGAAAAGAACCATTCTATTAATACTGCTGCAGGTACGTTTGTGAACCATTGACTTGGATATTCCGTACTCATGTGCAATTTCCCGATTGTTTTTCACTGCCTCTGCTTCCACTACTATTTCCAACTCAAAGTTCAGATTGTAAGAATGACATTGTGCACTAGGCATGATTTTTGTTTTGAACTTAGCAATGCTTGCTGAATCGCTGTGAATGAAGTTTTACAACTAGGAGTTCGACCAGCTGAGACATGATTATAAAGCTTAAACTGGATCAATTAGTATTCATAGCTTTAGAAAGTAACACTGTTTCCTAAGAAGGCAGACTGTATTCACGGTGTCTATATCTCTTTTATAGATGTGATTTTTTTTTGCTTTGTTCGTGCAAATGTGTGACTTTTTTGCCTTTTGTTAAAAAAAGGTGACATGACTGTAATTAGGAACTTTGAAAATGCTATTGTTTGAAAGTGAAGATAGTGAAAAAGCCCAAAGTTGAGGTTGCATCTTATAACCGGGTATTTAGGCAACGTTTTCGGTTTAACAACTTGAAAGAAACCAGTTCAAAAATTCAGGGTGCGTCTTATAACCAAGAAATATGGTATTATGTTCAAGGACATCAAAATCAAACAACATCCCCTATCTGAAATTCTTTGTTCTCCTCATCACCCTTTTGTGGAAAATACACTGATGAACTTCTGAAGGAGGACAGCTTTTTTATCTCTAAACCCCTTCCCCTTTGTTTTTTTTTTTTTGCTGCAGGCTTTCCTCCCTCTTAACAAACTAATCTGGAGGCTGCTTCACATGGCCAGAATTAGCAGCACTCTGTTATCAGAAAATATGCTTATTGCATACAGGCCATAGAGAGACCAATTGATATCCACTTGATACATAGGCAAGACTTCTGTACAACCTCACACTACATTATGCATACAGTTCATTGATAAATAACAGCTATTGAACAAGAAGAAAGCAATTTGGTCTGAAATCCTACTTTTAATTTCAAAATCAGACAAGCATGTGTGGGAGTTTGATTCAAATCAGATAAAGACATTTTAGTCTGTGCAAATATTTTATTGAACCAGTGCTGAGCTGGTTTGTAAAAAGTTGCCAAAGTTGTCTTTTATATTCCTGAAATTTGACTGGTTACTTTAAACAAGCCTTCAAGTCTGATTGGTTGATTGCTTTCTCATTGGCTAGGAAAAAGGTGCAATTTGGGGCAAAGAAGGTGCTATTCTTGATTGAATAGCATCGATGAGGGCCAATCAGATTGCCAGGATCACCAGTTATTTCAAAATGGATGTAATTAAAGAAAACTATTAATGGCAAAAAAAGAGTATACCCTTGGGGTTAATAGTGTGGGAAAATACGAAAATCTTTCCAATACATATTTCTCACAATTATTAAAACAAATAGTAGACCCATCCCCAGCAAATAACATAAAACAGCTACTATACAGCAATACAAAGACCCAATTCCACAACAAATGTAAAGCGCATCATAATGCAAAGTTCTTCTGATACATATACTGTAGCTTATGAGAAATGATGTGCATGTAAATGTTAAGAAAATTCTATATACAAACCATTAGTTCCCAAGTTCGGTGCACCAATTTGATTGGAAATCTCTGAAAAGTACTGTTCTTTAAGTACTATTTTTTCCACAAGATCTTCTCGCCCTATTTCGTTGAGACCATTTTTCAAGACACCAAAATTAGTTCGACTGAGATGACACCTTCTTTTCAATTCCTCAAAATACGAACAAAATGACATTTTATCGCACTCAGCGGATGAGACGTAAGGCGTCAAAATAAACTTTAAATGTTCAAGGTCTTGTGACTTCAATTCCTTTCCAAGTTGAAGCAAAAAGCTTCGAAACTCAAAGTTCAGCTTTTGTTCCATGGAGAATGTTTCAATCACTTCCGCTTTAACCAAAGTTGCAGGATATCCCGCAGTCTTTCACCAGGTAGAAAACATTAGCTATAGAGCCCTCTGATGGACGAATAATAGCGATTAAATGAAATTTCAGTTTCGAACAAACGTCAGTGGAATTTACACAACACCAAAGAGAAAGAGATTTCAGCTCCCCTTCAAAAACGAAAGGCCTCGCCGGGGTATTCCCCAACCTCGATTTCACGAGTGACGTCACTGGAGATCACGTGGTACTTGCAAGGTACGTCTTTGGCGGGAACCACGTAAAGAAAGATCAAGATGGCACTGTGAACTGATTATCCAAGAAGTTAACCTTGAATCGCGAAATCCATGAGCATGGAAGAGTGGGAAATTCCCTATGAAGAGGATGATTTTGAGTCTCGCTACGCGGATGAACTGGACATGCTCGAAGAACTCGATGAAGAAGGTGAGATTCTTCTGCAATGAATATGTCGAGGACGAATTGAAAGAGGTTCCCTTGAAAGTTGAAATGTCGGCATACTTCTCGGAGTTGGGTATTATATCGGGCTAAATTTTTGAAATTGATAAATTTTTGCTCCATTGTATCGTGAGCTCCTGATTTCAATCACTCCGTACAGTTGACTGAAATGTCGATCGATCAGTTAGCTGATGGAATCTGTAGAGGATCCTATGGAATCTGCGATCGAACAATTTCTAATGAAATGGTAATTGTACCTTTCAAGCAGTAAACGAATTAGATACATTTTGGGGCTCGTATGTTTTTATCGTCGCTTAAAGAGACACGGCCAGCCTAATTGCATCAGTAATTCATGAGAAAATGCTCCAAAATCAAAACACAACAAACCAACTAATACGCCCCATTCCCCTTTGTAAAGGAATCTCTGTTTTTGGTTCCATAATAAGGATGGTGCACAGGGAATAGTATTTGAGCTACATACAAAATTAACGATGAAATGTCACTGATGGTTATATCAGTCTTTGATGACCTATTTTATTACCCTTGTTCATGTGTTTTTGTGTTACAGTCGTTGCCCCATCTTCAAAAAAAGGCTTAAATTTTCATAACGTCAAAGAAGCAGTTTACAAGGAAGTAGATGTGGATAGTGAGTCTATCAATAAACGCACCGAACAACCCAACTCAAAAAAGCGAGATTGTGATGAGATGTTCCTGCCCCTCTTAGAGGATGATGAAGATGATGAACCACATCCTCTTGATTCAGGTCTGTACATTAGCTAGTATGCAGTTAGTGTTCTGTAGTTACAACAGCAGTACTCTTTACAAATATTGGAAAACTTTTATCCCTGCCTGTGATTCCTCCTTTCCCTCTTGTCATATAGATTGTCCTTTTTTTTTTTTTGTGAAACTTGCAACATGTAAGGTTCTGAAACGGTTTCTTTGATACTGATGGTATGATGCATTATTTGTAATCTGTACTATCCAAACTGTTCCACTGGGATCAGTTCTTACAAAATGTAACTGCTAAACAGTCTTAGAAAACTAAACTGTCTTTAGAACTTATCTGCTGTAAACCCCATACCTGTGTCTAAATGTTGTTGTTTAATCCAGACAACCCGTAAAACACACCCCTACAAATAAATTCCATATCAACTTAAAAATTGAACAATGGAAAGGGGAAAATAAGTTGTGACTTGGACTTCTATTATTTTGTTGTCTTAACATCTTTTTAGCTCCTTGTAAAAAGAAGGCTCGTCTCAGCCCAAGCAAAAATGGTGCAAGTCATGAGGCAGATTACCATCTTCCCAATATACGAAGTCCACTTAGAGAGCTACAACCAAGTTTAGACCAGTCTCAATTTGTGGCCACCATGGACAGTAGACTGAATGAAATTGCTTCAACAAAAGCAGAGAGAAGGAAGGTGTTTCGAAGACCCCCTATGAGCTGTGAATCTGTCTCCATAACAAGAACAGATGGCCAAAGGCTTTATCTGTCAATCAGGCATGAGAGAGAAGAGAAATCTGATGGGTTGGAATCCAAGGTATACTGTCCAACATCTAATTTCTTGTTACTGTAATACTGCTAGATCCTTTATCAAGATCATTAGACTAAAGGAAATAATTGCTAACCTAACAAGCTTTGATTGTTAAACAAATTCTCCTTGTCATTACTAAAGAAAATGCACAGGGAAGAGTATGAGGAATAATGATACTGATGATAGGGTTTAAGGTGTTAAGTGAGCCTTGGAAAGTTGCATAAGAGGTACATGTGGTGATAGGTGTGATGCAAATGCTACAGCAAGCATGGAAGAATCCCCAGGACAAAAAAAAAAACAATTGGGGGCTGCTAAGAGATATGTACTACCTATTGCTTTCAAAAGCCAGCCATAGGAGACCCTTTCGAAAATTATGTCCTAAATACATGTGGCTACTCTAAAATGTCCCTTTCCAGAAGCACATTACTCAAATTTCATGTGGCATTTGTGCAATTTTGGTCATAAAATACACCCTTATGGCTGAAATTGTTTTCCTTTCCAAGCAATAACCAGTAAAATTTACTGCCAGTAGTACCTCTAAATACTGCCTAAACTCCCTTGGAATTCTTGAAAGTTCAAGAGCTGAAAGGATTGCCCTATCAGATTGGAAATTTCTTTTACCAATTGTTCTTAAAATGAGGAAGGATATTGTGGTAAACATTAATTTCAATGCAAAATTGTTACATTCATGAACAATTGTAAGGCAAACTGCAAATGATATATGCAGTCATTAAATTTTTTTTGCAGAAACATTGTGGATACATGTAAATTATGTACTAGCAGTATTACATGTACTTGAAAAGGCTGAGAAGATGATAAAGATCAACTTTGAAACTTAATATACAACTGAACGCACGCCATATTTCTGTAAATCCTCCTTCTTTTAAACAGAAAGAACAACTTTTTGCTCTCTTTCCAGGGATTGAAAAAGAAACTCTTTAGAAGGGGAACAGGAAATTTGCTTCAGTTGCTGTCAGTACCATTTTCTGTGCTACGCGAAAGTGTGGAGGAAGAGGTATGTGCATTGTAAGTTTCATTTTCAGATAGGAATATCAAATCATACATCTTTGTTAAATCTTTATAGCCATCACTAGGACAGTATTACAATAAAACCTCCACTAAGCAGACCCCCAGTTAAGCAGAAACCTTCTATTAAGCGGACACTAAACCGGGTCCCAAAATTAATGACTCATATTTCCTTTCATAACCAACCCCAATTCAGCTGCCACCTCTATTAATTGGACACAGACACTAAATTAAATTGTATTTGACAAATTTGGATCATTTAAAACCTCTATTAAGTAGGCGTGCTGCACGTAATTTTTGCACAAACTTTGAAAGAGTCAATGTACTGCAGATATTATTGTTGCTGTTTTGCTGTCTTGTTTTTGCATTATTACCAGTAAATTAAAGTTGGTAATGAAAGGTAGTGAACTTGAACTCTGGATTGCTTTGTTAGCAACATGGAACTTTATCACAGTACAGAGTAACGGTTGAATGTTAATCTTTGACAATTATTGGAAAGTGGACCTCTGGGAAGCAGACACTTGGCAAGGGTATATGCATAATAGATGTTTCACTGTAATTTTAGACTAAGAAATAGACTGGAAGTGACTTTTTCTGTGATTGTGTTTTTTCCCTTAAATTTCAAGAGAATGTATTTTTGCCTAAGGTATGTAATGAAATTCATAAAATACCACTGTAAAATGTGCTTTAATCTTTTAATCCATCTTATTTGCTCTATCAGAGACGGAGAAGGACAATTGAGGAATCAGAGAAGCTAACAGAATCTTTACAAAGGTAGTCTATTGAATAACTACAGAAACTGAAAAATTTAAAATGGAATTAGAGAGAGTTTCAAAAGTAAATCCAATGGGCAATATATTTTGTTTATATTTTATTTCCTGTAAAAACGTTAAAGATTAAGTGATAATGATACAATTGTACTTGATAATGCAGTTAAATTGTTCTCAAACTATTGTTTGCCCAGTATGCTTCCCCTACATGTACATGCACATGTACATTCTTGGTGATTCATAGATTAAGTCTCGATTTTATTAACTTTAGAATGCTTGATGATGGTAATTCCAACATTGAGGAAGTTGAACTGAAAGAACCCAGCAGACATGACAACCATCACAGTATTCCACAACATTCCTTATGGGTTGAAAAGTATACCCCACGATTTTTCACAGAATTGCTCAGTGATGATGTGAGTAGTGTGTTCTCTATCTAATAGCTTGGTTGTTGAAAAACTCTCCCATAAGGAACTGAATTTAGGACCTCAGGATTTCACCTCCTGATGCTCAACACTGAGCTATGGAGACCCCAATGGTGGGCCAGGGATATAGAAGTTCATATGAGACATGCATTCAGGATACTGCTGGGATCTGCAAATTCCTAAAATCTGTTTTAACACTGCCAATGCCTGCGCACCAATGAGATATATATAGCTTAGTGTTAGAGAATTTGATCACAAATTCCAAAAGTCTGTCTTCTTGCTTGGAACAATGAGTAACATCTTAATATAACAGCATCCAAGCTTTAAGGTGATTCCTCAGAAAAAAAAGTTATCAACAATTTTATCTAAACTTTTCTTAAATGTTTGTTATCGATGCCAGTTTCAAAACATACAATAACAAAGATAGGTCTATAAATGCAGGCGTTTACACCATAGGGATGTCACAATTCAAAGTTCTCACAAGGACATCAATGCACTAAATTTCAGAGTAATAATCTGATGACAAACACGTCAAACTAAAACACAAGCCAAAAAAACCTAATCTAAGCGACATTACATAGAGCTAAGCTAAAACAATAATTATTACATTACAATGCAAGAAAAGACAAGTGCACAAAAACCTAACAATAATCGATCAAATAATAAAACAAAAACAACAAGAGGAGAGAAAAATATGTTTAGCGATTGTCCTCTCTGTACACCTGAATAGAAGTCACAAATGAACACAGTAATTAACTACGCAGATAACTCTCTCGCACTAACTCTCTCTCTCAAGCAACAACACACGAGGTACTATGATAGCCCTTTTGATCTTACATGTCACTAATGTCTAACCAAACTTAATCTTTAACTTAAAAACAGTTACAAGGTTACTGTGCTTGTTTAGGAGATATGATGGGCCAAACTTAACCCATTTATGCTTGTACTGGCACTAATCACATGTGTCATTACATCGATTCACAGTACATTTTGCTGCAATTGGAAGCAAGGGTTTTTAGAGTACCACTTAAAAAAAACTTGATAGATGGAAAGTCTTGAGTGTATGGAACAATTTGATATATAATTTGTGGGAAAATGATTCAAATTTAAATGACATTGACTCAAAACATTCCTCAAGTCATTCCTTTCAAGGTCATAATTTGCATCTTTGAGTAATGGGCTTCATGCATGCTTTCAGCTTTATCTTTTTTTCCCTTGTAAGAATTTATTTTAATTTCCCCAATTTAAAGGGGATGAATTGTACAACAAAAATATGAAGAAAAAAAATTTGATCACCATGCTCATTCAAGAGCTATAGACCATCATACCTCTTTACTTGGTCCATTTATTGAAAGCAATGCTGTGTTGTTGGAATTTGTGCAGGCTTTTTCCCCTGATTATGCAATTTTTATGGACAGTAGAGGATGCGCTGTGCAATACTTAGGAATCACCTTAAATATATTTCCCCTCTTAATCTGTTTCACCATCAGTGCCCATGTTGCTCTGTGACTACTCAGTAATAGATCACAGATGATGTCAAAACATAGCGAGAACAAAAAAGTGACACATTAGGTGCAGCTCTGTTACAGAACTGCATGGTGGCTTGGCATCTATTTGTTTAACAAAATGAAGGAAAGAAATTTCATAATGGTGAAGTTATTTATGGGTCTTTCCTCCAATAAATCACACAGTGTAAGGCATGTACAATTTAGCTTAATGTGTACATATCTTAATATTTGTTTTTTCCACTCAAGGCTATAAATAGAACACTTTTAAAGTGGTTAAAACTTTGGGACAAAACTGTGTTTGGAAAAGGGCAGGACAAGAAAGTCAAGGTCAAAGCTGACCAGGCAACAAAACAAAAGACCTTTAACTCTACAAAAAACAACAAGAAACAGCAGTTTACAGGAATCCAAGATGAAGCTGACTGGAATGTGAGTACCATTGATGATATTGCATGAAAAGTATTTTTACTTGAGGGGGAAACATTCTGTCATATAGTGACCATACAATTTTTTCAAATTGTTTCATTTACAATTGAATCTCAACAAGGAATTAGGAGTTTTCACATGATGCAGAGGCACTGATAGATACTTAGCTCAAGACTGCAAACAGTTCTAAATACAGTATTTGTGTCTTGATACAAGCCCAAAAATGAACCGTTTAGAATTCCATGCCAAATTGATTTTACCATAGGCAGGGTTCAATATAACAACTAATAGGCATCATATTTTCTGTAAAATTCTAATTCTTTGGTGAAAAATCACTGGTAAGTGAACTTTTAGCACCCTTACCAGCGATTTTTCACCAAAGAACTAGAATTTTACAGAAAATATGATGCCTATTGGTCGTCAAACTGAAGTAAATGTTGCTGTCATGTTATGGTGAACATTTCATATCAGGCAATAAAGCAGCCAAGAAATGTTTCAAAAGCTTTTTGGAAACACAAGCAAGTATAAGTATACTATAGGTACACCATAAACATATAAATTTTTTATAAATAAAAAAAGGTTTCTTGAGAAAAAGAGTAATACATGTGCTGACTGCTTATTTATTATTGACAGCGGGGGAAAAAAAAGAACCTTGACAAAAGCCTAGACTGATTCACGCTAAAAGCTCAAAAATTATTTTGAACCCTGCATAGGTATGACTATTGTTTAAATAATAACAAAGTTGTTGACAATGATACAATATATAAATATATAATATTCACTGTTAAAAAAGAGTATCTTTGTTTTTGAAGAAGTGTCATTCATTATTACTTGCAGGGCTTTTTTTTGACACTGGCAACTTTATATTTTATTTTCTTCAGAATATATGTTAGAATTTAATGGTTATGCTGGAATTTTTGTACTTGCTATGTATTGGTAAAGGATTTGTATGATATTCGTATACCTATGTTTCCTTGATTTTCATTTGTTAAAGAACAGTTGGTAATATAAACCCTTGCTCACAACAAATTTTCTCTTTTAGCAAGTTGATGCCTCTGGTCGGCCTGTCCACAAGGTATGGATTAATGTGATATCCAGAGGTAGTAATTTTATTGTCTCTCACATTTAGACAGACTGACTAATTATCCAGCTGAATGATTTACTGATCAACAATATACATGTTCAATGTGCTCAATCACTGAGTTCCAAAAGATGAAATGGAATGTAGAAAATTGAAATTATATGCTTGTTATTATCACTTGACAATATGCCTATTGTTGGTATGGAGGCAAATGTTTTAAGGATAGTTTGGAATAGAATGTATTGAAAAACAAAGACTCAAAAAAATTCATAATTTGTAAATTCATTCACACATTTTGTAGGTTTTTAAAGTTGTACTTGGAATTGTTTGATTACCTATAATTCTGCCTAATGTGCCTTCCTTCTAGGAAGGCTGTAGGTACTATGTTATGTTGTTGTGTAAATCCATAAACCTTTCCCCAAGTATGTTGTGGTTTTAAAAATGGTGGACAGTATTTTTCCAAAAATACTTTTCAGCTTTACAACAGTAGGTGCATTTAGTCCTAAACTGCCTTTTACTTTTACTTAGCCAACAAACTGACTGAATTACTACATGAAAAACAGAAAAAATTGAACTGTAGCAATCCTTTTATGTAAACAATAAAAAAAATCTAATACATTTTAGGTGGCACTGTTATGTGGTCCTCCAGGACTCGGTAAAACAACTCTATCTCATGTTATTGCACGGCATGCTGGATACAATGTGGTTGAGATGAATGCAAGGTGAGAACTGTTATAGCTACAAAGATCTATCTGACAGTTCAAGAGCAAAGCAGAATTGTGATTTTCCATCACCTTTTACTGAAATGTCATTAGTTGGAAATAGTTAAGATCTTTCCCTTTTGAACTAAAAATTGTCAGGCAACAACATTTTTTCCTTAAAACAGGTATATATTTGTAATTTGTGACTCAGTTGATCAACCAAATTATTTTGTTATGCCCCCACCAGGGCTTGAAATTCAAAAAACATTCCAAGTCACCTTTTGGCAACTATTGAAGGAAAATGGTTGCCTTGCAAATGCAAAAATGCAGTCGCCAGATAGTACAAGAACAGAAACTCAGATTAGAGCCTCATTTAATTAGCATTGTTGTTCAGCTACTGGAACTAAACATGTTAAAAACATCCTGCAGTAGCTGCATGAGATTCACGCTCTGAACAAATGTTTTTGAAAGACTTTGAAATGCTTCTTGTTTGCATACTAAAAACGATCTTGCTTCATGGTAATTTCTAGACTGCAGCAAATTACAAAAATTGCTCAGTGTATTCTTCTCTGACTTGTGATAAATAATTCATGACTTTTGGTGTAGACTGGTCTCACTTGATTGAGCCCATGGTGAAAGAAAGCATGTGCTTTGAAAGCCGGCTCCTTGCAAGGGAATCTGTGACAGAACACTTTTAAATTCTGTAAACAAAATGTTGGACCCTCAATCACCATGTTAAAACCACTGTAATGTCGTCTCGGAAGTAGCGATTTGAAAGCGATTTCAAGTTTTAACTTAAAGGTAAACAGACTTAATTTGCATTTCCTTTAGCAGAAAAGCAGAAACAAGAATGAGGAAATTGTTTCTCACCTATAATCTTTTATTTATGAGAGGAATATAGTCACCAAAGTGGTGACTAAACTTGAATGTTTAGTCACCAAGTTGTAGTCGCATTGGAGACCGTATCAGTTGCAATTTTGAGCCCTGCCCACTGACTCAGCACCACAGTTTTTATAGAAACTAACCTCCTTTATATCTTTTTTCAGTTTTGGTGAAAACATTTTGTTAGATATGTTAATAAAGATGTAGCTCTTGGGTTTCAATAACGTGATTAAGTCTTCCAAGCTAATGGCCCTTGCCTCTTTGAGCTTCTCCTAATTTCTGTGGCATGAGAAATCTGGAATTTTTCCAACAAATTGATTTACATTTTAAAAGCAGTGACATTTGTATCATAACAAGGTCATCTTAAGTCCCTCTCCTGTTCAAAGGCTTGACAACCAAGCATGCAACTGTAAAATGAACTATTGTCCTCCAAGCTGGCAGTTTGTGAATACCTTTCTATGTTCTTGGGCAGAAAGTGGCACCATGAGTATTGAATTGTGTCACCTAAAGCCAGAACAAAGACCCCAACCACATCTTGAACTTAAATGAACACATATTTGTAAAATTGTTCTGTTTTAGTGATGATCGCTCCCCAGAGATTTTCAGGAATACCCTTGAAGCATCTACCCAGATGAAATCTGTACTAGGAGGCAATGAAAAGCCAAACTGTTTAGTAATTGATGAAATTGATGGAGCACCAGCTGTAAGTTTAAATTCCCCAAGTTAACTATGTGTACTTTCTTTGTTTTATCTACTTATTTTGATGTCGTTCATGATTATTAACAGCTACATAAATTTCCATTTTAAGATTTACATAGTGCTTCGTAAAGCGGATATCATATATTTTCACTTATTTACTGAGATTGTTCTCTGCTCTTCTTATAACAGCCAGCTATAAATGTCTTGTTATCAGTTGTCAAGCAAAAGAATTCAGGTACTTGTCTATTCTTTACAATTATACTGCAAATTATGTTGAATCTTTTAAATTTAGTCTTTCATTTACTTATTAATGTCATCATCCTTGTAACAAGAACGCATTTTTAAGTTTTCTTCCCTTCAAATTTCAAAGTTCTGGAATAAATTATATTGTGAGAGGATTCATAGTACCACTCATGTAATCTACATGAAATATGTGTCATGAATCTATGACTTGAAGTTGTAATTTTTAGAGGTTCTTATTAGTGCTTTTCAAGAGTGTCCCAAGTCAGTTTTAATAAACTTAACTCATTCATATACAAAAGATTTAAGGTCTAAACAACTGGCTGTGACAGACTCACGGAGCAGCTGATTAATCTACTGACACAGCTTTGTAGAGGTTATTATGAAGCAATTATCTTTACAGATACTGATCCCAGTCAAAAAGGAAGAAAGAAGAAGAAAAGTGGACCTTTGTCACGGCCAATCATATGTATTTGTAATGATCAGTAAGTTGAACAAACAATTTTAATAGATTTAACCTGCAGCAAACAAGGTTCTCTCAACTGTAAATTCCTGGGAAAATAGGAATGCTTATTTGTTACTTCTTTTTTTCACAAGATGACACTGATGCTTTACTGCTGGGCTTGATCTTTAGGGCACATTTTCATTAAACCTTATGGAACCAAACCCAAAGTAATCACAAAAGCCAAAAGCTTTTTTGTAATGCTTACCATGTTTTAGATACAGGAAGACTTTTAATAGCTTTTGCTGCATTGTGGTGAGAAACAGATGCCTGGACTTGTGTCTCAAAAACAAAAAAATAAAAACATTGTAGAGCTCACCCAACAGTTTTAATCTGATTTATTCGGATTAAAATTTGTTGGGTGTGCTTTACATGTCTTGTATACAGAAGGGCTTCTTGTTTTCTATCTATACTTCATAAGATAAACTTGAAAACACAACAATGATGTAGAGCAGAATTTTTTTACAAAAATGATCAAAGATCACTGAAATCAGCTTTTGAGAAAGCTCCATTTTGGTCAGAGACATAGCCTGATTCCAGTGCACTGACAATCAAAGGGGTAACAAGAACTGATCAAACTAACTGTCTCCATGATGATGCACCAGACTCTCATGAATAGCCAACTATGTAATTGTCATCCCTAGCAGAATTAGCTTTCAGATCATTGGAGTTGACATGTCCTCCTTTAATTTTAAAAGGACATTCTCCTTACATGTATTCTATCTGTGCACTGTAATGACTCGGTGACTGTCTTGTAAATAAATAGATTATTTTTGATAGATCCAGTACCTTGTAATCTACATTTTTCAGCTTGCTCAGGGTTTATCTCATGCTCTTTCAGCTACCATAGCAACTATGGAACCTGGAGTACTTATGCTGACAGGCAGTCCCCTATTCCTCTAAATTAGAGCATTTTATGATAGGTTTACGCAAGACTAAATCATTCCTCTCTACTTTCAGCTGGCAGATCTCTTATCCATTAGTGGCATTAAACTCATGAATTATACTTTTATTTCAACAGTAAATCCTGATTGATCTACCATGCATGATTAAATGTATTTTGTTTTGCTATAGATATGCACCTGCTCTTCGTCAGTTACGTCAAGTGGCCTTTGTGGTAACATTTCCACCCACTATTCCCAGCCGCCTTGCCACTCGTCTTTTAGAGGTAATCCTGGATAGAAATAGGTTGAAAATCTATGTCAAATCATGATTGATTTTTAAGGATTTTCAAGATTCTTTACAAGGTCCTAAGGTTCACCCTAAAATCATTAAGGATCTCACAATGCCTTTGTGTAGCAGTCTTGTGGATATTTGAATATCTTTCAAGCCTTTCACTCCTGAGATCTCATTAGTAATTCTCCTGACTGTCTGCTACACAATTTTTATGATGTTGGTTTGGAAAAATTGGCATTGGATCAACTAATAATCCCCTAATTGACATTTTTCTTTATTCTCATCTCTGTAATATTGATATCATTTCAAAATTGTAAGGAAAATTCTTTCACTGTCTTTCATGGGAGGTAAACTGTTAAGTCCCTAGATTGATCTTCAAGAAATCCTTGTAGAGATTTATTGATATTCTTGATTTGTAAGGATCTTGGTAAAATAAAGAGTCATCAAATATTTTTGTTGACTTTCATGTTGGTAAAAAAGGCTGTCTCATTACATGAAGGGAACTCAATCAAGTGATATACACTATTAACTATCAACTCTTAATCACTTTTAGTATTCCCACAGACACATGACTGTTTGTTATTACTTAGTTTCCTGTTTGATGTATCTGCTCAGGAGTTTATTAGCATTTTTTTGAAATAAAAACTGATAACAAATGGCATGAGGTCACTGATAACCTCAGCCAATGCAAGTGGGTCATATCCTATCTGAATACTACAAGGAAATGAAAATAAATTGAAAGTGAATAAGTGACAAAATTTAGAATGATTTATGTGCCGATCAATTTTGCTAATGATCTATTGAAGCCTCAGCTAATGCAAGTGGGTCATGTCCTATCTGAATACTATTAGGAAATGAAAACTAGATTGAAAGTGAATAGTTACAAGATTTAAAATGATGTTTGTGTCAATCAATTTTTGCTAATGATCTATTGGAGGAAAAATGCATAGAGGATACCACCATTAACAACATATGAAATAAATGTTGCTGTGGGTCTGTACAGTAATAGATCCTCAAGACATCAAGATGTGGTAAGAACATCAATGACACACTTGGCTAAGCCTCATGTGCCACTTTTTGTACTTACCACATTTTGACGTCATCTGTGATGTATTACTCAACAGATACACAGCAATATGGAATCTATTTATTAGTTAGAGCATGCTAATTTGTAAGTACACCGTACAAATGCATCACTATCATTATTATTAGAATTTCTGTTAGTAAAGCCAGGAAGGTGAGGTAAAGTTTAATGTGATTGGTAGACTTGACTTGTCTCTTGATCTGACCCTGTGTATGAAACATACAGTAAATAATCAACTTCGGAATCTTGTTTTACACAATGATGATATATCTTCTCCATGTGTATAGATATCCAGACAAGAATCAGTTAATACAGACATGACAACACTGACATCTTTATGTGAAAAAACTGATAATGACATCAGGTCATGTTTAAACACCCTGCAGGTTAGACATGAAACATTTTTGTTTGACCTATAAATATTCTGCTAGAATTTTTTACATGTATCTGCATCATTGTGAAAATGGATGCTCAAACTGCTCTCTCAAAAAAGCATTGTAAAACTCTCCGAACAGTTTTAGTCTGATGTTTACACCAGACTGATACTTGTTTGGAATATTTTACACTTGCAAAAAGTCCAACTGGAAAGACAATAGAATATTTATTTTAGTGTTTGACTGTCAAAGCATTTATGCTGGTATTATGTTATTTGTTAGCCACTTATACCATGCCTCAAGGTTACCTTTTTCTTTCCCTTTTTCTCTCTTGAGGAAAGTATTCCTACATGAATAATAACTAAACTACAAGACTGAAAAATTTCAAGTTATCATTGGGTCAACCATGGGCACTAGAGAATAGATACCATACCAAAACTTGCTGTGTGAGTCTGGGAAAGATCTTTTTTCTCCATTATGTACCTGTACCAATATTTATAATTACTGAAGAAAAACTTATTCCTGGGCCATAGGTGTAGGAACAGCAATTAATGTTCACCTCTCAAAGGGATAACACTCGTCACTATCATACAGCATTACTTTCCAGCCTCCTAACTTGCCTCTCCTCTATTCAAGACCATGTTAGACTCATGTATTCTCTTTGCAGTTCATTCAAAAGAGACATGGACAAGTAGGATTACAGCATGTCCAAGCTATGGACATTGGTCTGAAGGATTCTCATCGCAGTCTGTTCTCAATCTGGCAAGAAATCTTCCAACTTCCCAAACCAAAAAGACGTCGTTTTGCAGACATTGCAGACATTGAAAACCATAAAAATTTAGCAGATAACAGAGGAATGCCCTTGGGTGGGTTTCAGGGAAATATGAGCAGTGTTGCTGAGCAGAGAGGAATGACATCACTGGCAAGTCGTTTCCACACAGTTCTTCATTCTGCCATGTCAAATGGGCAGTATGATAAAGTAACACAAGGTAGGTTGCTGTTGTATACTTTCTATCAGCAAGGGTGGCCCAAGGGAGGCTTGGAATATAAATCCTCCCCTGCTACCCCTTCACAATTTCAAAGTGAAATAAAGTAGATTTATCAAAGGAAACATTCTTTAGAATTTAATAAACTTTCATTTCTCCTCATTCTGATTGAAAGTAGATTCTTCCTCCCCAGTTCTTAGATATAATATCCTCTGAGGCTGGTCATAGAATGTAAAATTCTGGCTGAGTGAAATTTTGTGAGGTATTTTAGATGTCTCTTATAGTGACTGACATACTAATGAGAGCTGTTAGAGAGTATTTGTATTCCATGTGCGACTGTTTGGCATATCTTTAACCCTTTAAACCCTAAGAGTGACCAGCATCAAATTTCTCCCTACAGTAATACTGCTAAATCATTCATTAAGATCATCAGATTAAAGGAAATGATTGCCAACCCAAGAGGCTTTGATCTTCAAATGAATTCTCCTTGTCAGTACCAAATGAAACATGGGAAAGAGTATGGAGAATATGGATACTGATGTTAAGGGTTAAAGATGGTGGTAATGTGACTGCATAGTAAATGGATGTACAACAGACAAACATGCTAACCTAGGATCATTTCTTGTGATTATTCAGGACTGTTTGAGAATTATTTGCAAGTGAAATTTAAAGATCCCAGCTTTGAAGTGGTAAGTGGAAAAAATTTGACTTACTGACTGATAATGGCAAGGGCATTGTGAATGATTAATGAAATGACTCCAAGGAGTCCATACAATTTGTTACCTGATTTGTGACTAGAACTATGAGGTTGGTATGACCTTATGGTTTACATGGTGGACTTCAGATGGGACTTTTGTCATGTCTTTGTGTCATGGTTTTGGACATGTCATGTTAGTTTCATGGCTTTTTTCCTTCAATGGGAATAACTGAGTACTTGTAAATTGTCAGGGAAACTTACAAAATGCAGCATGGGTGGGGGAAGGGGAAGGGGGTTGGAAGTATCTTGTGTTATAGAGGTATCCTATGCTGTTGGATTAGTAATGCTTCTTATTTCTTTTAACAGGTGGTTTGTGGAACAGAGTGGCTGGAATTCTCTGACTTCATTGAGCAAGCGGTGATAGGGCGCCAGAGTTACATTCTCCAGGGATACAGTCCTTTTATATCAGTGGCATTTCACTTGTTTTGTGCAAGTCAGTCACACTCAAAGCTTAGCTATCCCAGCAGTCAATATGAGGTAACAGAAGTGTGTATAACACTGTTTATGACCACAATCCAGCCCTCAGTTTAAATGTTATCACATATTATTAAAATTAAGAAAATTATCAAATAGTGAACAGTTGGAAGAACCTTTTTAATTGTAGTTGGGAGTGTAAGTTGTGAGATCATGAGGGTTGAAGGAAACATTCCCCCCCCTCACCCTGTAGTCTATTTGAGGCATGCATAAAGAAGGAAACTTAAGAAGTGGTTTCTAAGGTAGAAAACTAAAAAAAATGGTTTTAATAAACCTTGAGAAAAGAGAATACCCATGAGTTTCAATGACAATTGTGAGACTTTAATAATCTGCTGCCTCATTTTAGATGCACTTGATGTAATGCAAATGCAAATGCAACTCTTTTGAAAACAATTTTGATATTTCAGTAAATCTTTTAAGAACAGACACCTGTTCCTGAAGTAAAGCTGTTTGATTGTAAACATTTGACCAAGGGTAGTCACTATTCCATTTGTTCAAGATCATCCATTTATAAAACAGTAACAAGACAGTTGACCTGTTTATTGCTCACTTTCAGAGCCACCTTAAAGAAACCAAGACCAAGAACCTTGTAAATGCTATCAAGAATGAGTCATCTCCACACATTAGGAAAAATATTAGTCTGCGAATAGCCTGTCTGGACTTACTTCCATTTATGTTGGAAGTAATCACCCCCACATTGAGACCTGTAAGCATATAATTTGTATTGTTCACTTGAAATCAAATCAAATCATGATATTTATTACACACAAAAATACATAAAAGGAAACCTCATAGGTTATTGCCATTAATGATGCCCCCTAAGACTCTTAAGGGATTGGTTACATATGGATGACAATATTTTTAGGTTACTCTGTTCTGTTCAGATTCCCCAAATGGCACTGAGGAAAAACAAGGGGAGGTTGGGAAAAGTTGTTAGACAGTGATGGAGTTGTAAAAGGAGAAAATTACCCTGTTCTTCAGGATTTGTTTTTAGTTTGTTCAAAAACAGAAAAATTCTCTGAGACTGAGTAGAAAAGGTAAGACCAAGGACCCTACTCCCCCACTAATAGGTAATTGTAAGGCCAATAAAGGGTGTGTTTTGGAAAGGGTCCTCTCAGTCATCAAGATCATTCTAGGAATTATGAAAACCAAGAGAGATCTACTGAATAGAGTGGATCAGTTTCTAAAGAAACTGTGGTGCTGCTTCAGTAAAGGGTATAACAAGATAATTTGGTTTTATTAACTGAGTTAATAATGTAAGTTAGAAATACGCTTGAGATGTCAGCTTTAGAAACTCTTTACAGTGGCCAATTAACATCATCAACTCAGTTGGTAAAACCAAATTATCAAGAGATATATTGAGTTGTGTTGCCTTTTTTTTTTTCAGGTTAACACTCAGTTGTTTTCAGCAAGTGAGAAAAAACAATTAGCAGAGCTCATTGATACCATGATAGCCTACAATGTGACTTTCCATCAAGAGAGGAATTTTGATGGACAATACACATATGTTTTAGATCCGTGAGTGTTTGTAGAACTCCTTTCATGCTGATAGTTAGTTATATGTTCACTGCTAAGTTGATTGAAGTTACATCCTGGGCTTGAGGGTTTTTTTCTCCTTAAAAAATATTGTTGAAAACTGAACCTTTATTTGGATAGAGAAATCTTAACACCCAATTTTGCAAGCCTTCCTCTGAACCCTTTAACTCCAAGAAGTGATTAACTTGTAACTTCTCCCTATAATATCCATACATTATCAAGCAAATAGGTAATGAGAGTACTCAAACTTATCAGGTAGAAGTCGTTACCTTGGGTGCGGCAGTGAGTGGGGAGAATTAACAATCAGATATTGGGAGTTATAGGGTTCATACTTCACTTCAACCCAGGGCAGAAGGTGACCCAGTTACCTCCACAACCTCTTGAAGACCATGAAGGTTATAAAGATTCTGATTTCCTCTTCAATTCTGCTCTAACCCTGCTGAAACGTGGAAGGGTTTTTTTTTCTTGTACTACAGAAACGTAGAAGAAGCTGTAAAATTTCCTGGTTTGCCTCGGCACAGGCAGTTGACGTATGCCATAAAGCAGCTCATAGCACGAGAGGTAACACTACTTCTCTTTTTTTCCTTTTCTACTTTCAAGCACTGGTCTTCAGTAGGGTTTTTGTAACAGCAAAGACAACATAACTTCAACTGAACGCTCTATGTTATTGAGTTAGGAAGTTTCAATGGAGAGAGTCCACAGTCAAACAACATTTTCATTTCCTAATTTGTTTTATTAAGTAACGTATTTCAGGAGAAGGAAGTCAAGTCCATCTAATAACATTTCTTTGGTGGGGAAGCTGTTGTAACGTCACTTTGCAACTGGAACACAACAGTTTGTGTTCTAAACGAAATCTCTGAGAGAATTTACTAATGCATTTGGGATCTTTGTGATGCAGATTGAGTTGGAAAAAATGAGAAGAGCTGAGAGAGCCTTTAAATCTCGTGCGGATGAAAGGTAAGGATTGCAAATCCATTTTGATTACCTCATAAATACCAGTGATAAGACACTGGTGTTTTTTCTTTTCTTTCTTGAACATCATTTCTGTGGTTAAGTCAATACTGGATTGCAGTATCCTCCACCACGAGAGTTGAAACAGTTAACACACATGTACTGTTGAAGATGGGAGTGGGGGGAGGGGGGGCTGGTGGCAAGGAATCTCAGCAGGGAAAGGAGAATGTCGAACTATCTTTTTCGAAATAAAAGCTGACCTCAACAAGACTGGAGTGAAATAATCAGCAAGAAACTCCTTCAACTTGTATTTAAACTTGAGGAGTAAAAATAATTTTGATAATTCCTTATCAATGTTATACTCCCATTCCACAGTTCAATATTCAAACTGTTACTGTAGATCTGTTTTCTTTAGAGTTCCCACCACTACCGCTTTGTTTTCTGAATTTAAAGTAAAATTTGCATTTCCATTTCTCTGGGTTTCAGTTGGAAAGGTTGATTTATTTGTAGCTCAGCTTTAGCCCATCACTGGAGAAACTTATCAATCAGGTGTATACTTAAAGATTTGAAGATAATTTTCATGTATGTGCCATTGTTATTTTTCTTCCCTAGATATAGTCCTCCCATAAATACCAGTGATTCCAAGAAGCTGGAACAAGAAAAATTAAAGAAGCCTGTAGTTGTTTTGTCTCTGGATACTAGTAAAGCAAAACCGCTAGAGACAAAGGTACCGGAATCTCTGTTAACTTTCCCCCTTGTGAGTGGGCAGACTTGTGATAGGAAAGTAAACTTTAGGTCTATTGAATTTCTGACGAACTAACCAATGGACAGATGAACATAAGCAGGAAGTAATGGACCGACTGACTGACTCGCCAACTGGTTGTTGAACAGAGGAGGAATTTTTTTATGCTGATCTGACTATTAGGTTGATAGACTGACTAATGGCTTGGCTTGCAGTCTTCTTACTTTTATCAAAACGATCTTATCGCAGTGAAACAAATGATGCTTTGTTTAATTCTCTTCCCTATTTTCAGCCTGTTTTAGACTTCTTTGGACGTCCAGTGAAGGTTAAACCTAAAGACACAGGTAATATCTTCTGAGATGTAAACCTAGGCTTGACACTGCTTTTGAAATTAAAAATCTGAAGCTTCCACTCTTGTTTGACTTTTTTCTTTCCAGGAGACAAAACCAGCTCGCAGTCAGCTCGATCACAGCCAAGCCTTATTTGGTTTCGGTTTAATGAAGGATACAGCAATGCTGTTCGAAAAAGCGTCAAAGTGTTGGAGTTTCTCTAAAATAAAATAGTCGCAGTTGGAATAATAGGCAAAATTTTGTTGAGAACTGTTCAAATCATCTTGCATGACAATTTCAATTAGTTAAAGAGATGAAACGTGAAATAATAACCTGGAAGATCCCACATTGACCTTAACAAATGAGCAAGGGGAAGAAGATTTTTCAGCCATTTAAACAGCGTAAAATTCTTGTTGTAAATTGATTGTTCTATGTAGCTGCTCCTGACGAGATTGAGCAATAAAAATGTCTTATTGGTATGGATTCAGTGGTGGTATTATATAACTTATCAGAGTTTCCTTTTATCTTTGAACACATACATGTCGATCTACGTATGGTGTGTTTTGTTTTCCTCATTTTTTCTTGATGAACAAGAAAAAGACTCATACTACTCATACTCCTCATACTCACACTCCTCTTCAAGAGGAAACAATCTCTCATTTCTTGCAATCAATAAAGCATCCTCTACTCTAAGAACATCATAAAGCATACATGTGGGAAAATTTTGAAATCTGAATAGAGATTTCGGAAGCAAAATCATATACGAAAACACAAAGGAAGAGTGGATTGAAACGAGATCCCGGACAGAGAGTCAGCTCGATTGATTCATCAGTCTCAAAACGGAAAGGATTCGAGATCTCTAAGGGACAGGGCTGAAAATGTGCCTAGATCTCCGGAATAACGGTTGAAACGTCTTGATTAGTTATCACTCTGACCATGCTAAAATTCCCCAAATGAATAATTGACAATCACGTCGGTATCCGGTGTACGTCCTGGGAGAATTTAGGAGTAACCTAACTGCAACCTAATCTAGTAACCAGATTGTACCGTGTAACTGAAATGTTACAACCGCTAGGCCGTGGAAGGTCTGGATTAGAGACTACTTGCAAATTTTTAACTAGTTTTATATTTTTGTGTGATTGTAATTTAGTATTTCATAGGGCCGAAAGGAAGACTAAAGTAGAAATTACGAGATAATTTATTACAGTCTTAGGCTGTAATTATGTACCTAATGCAAGTAAATTGTAAATACTTACCTACCTAGTTTATATCCGGTTCTACTGTTAGTTCCGGTTTTGTGACGGAGACCGCAGAGGGGGAAATTTTCGAAGTGTTAATATTTAATGGTATTTTAATTATTGTTATCATTATTGTTCATTCACAACATCTAGATTGGTATGATTTTTCCAAAGTCGATCGGACGATTTTAAAGGCATTGTTTTCGTAGAAGAAAAACTCTCACTTTGTTGTCTTCTAAACTTTTCCTTCCGTTTCTCAAAACTGATAAAAGCCTGGGTACCATTGGTGCTTCTTCCTGCTATTTCCTGCCTGGGGAATGCCCTTTTTTCCGGAGCTTGGAAATATTTGCTAAATGTAGACAGTGACAGCTCTAATACCTGTTAAAAATGACCCGGTTTCAATCAAGGAACTCAGTTTGTCTGCCCTGACCTGTACGTTACAGCTTCGTTTGGACAGCTGGGTGGTTGATCGAGTCAAGAAGCTCGTCTTCACGATTTGCTCTGATACATCCCGGAAGCAGTATAGATCAGCTAGAAAGCGATATTCTTCCTTTCCCCCTTAACGATGAACTTAGTTCCTGCGAAACCGAAAAACTAGAGCTGTCGTTAAGAAACTACGAGGCTGAGACGAACTGCGTAAAGACTGATGCTCAAATTCTGGAGCACTTTGATGAGATGGAAAGTGAAAGTATCGTCACTTCAGTCAATTTAGGTTTGACAAAAACGGCGCTTGTATCAGTTTCACCCTGTGATCTTACTAGTTTTATAACCTGAAGTACTTCATCACTAAGAAAATCGAAACCTTTCCAAGTTGTCGATCGTAGGTTACGCTTAATTTGCTTATATGCTTTTTTCCTTAGAAATCTGATTTTTCTTTTATCGTGAGGCGCAGCCTTGAAATTATTTGGAATAATGTATATCCTGGTTTTAAAACTATTATTGATCTGATTAGTATATGTTGTAACGCCACAAACAAAAGGATTCAGTGGGATGAAAAGTTTTAAATTTTTAAAGGTAAAATTTCTGCACAACCCCATACTACATTATGCATTCAGTTCTTGAATAGAGAAAACAATGACAAAAACAATACATTTCCATTGGTAAAACAGATTTGTTTTACAGTAGTATGGGGCTGTGCGGAAACTTCGTAATACTTCATCTATTGAGACTTCTTCCCCATGCAAACTGGTGCTTCACTTTTTCCTTAGAGCAAGAGAGTTCAAAACCAACAAACTCCTGTGAGAAAGGTGAGTTTCAAGTGGAACAGACTGAGGAAAACATCCAAGCAGCAAACAAACAGGGATCATCAGAGGGAACCGTGCTCTGTCAGATTACAGAGAAGGCTAAAATCTTAGCATCTAGGGGTCCCCAGCAACGCACTGTTGTAACTATGGCGGAACCCACTTCATTCTCTCAAGGGACTGGCCATGGTAAGCAATTCAAGCTCAAGCTAGAAGCCAAACAATGAATTGAAATGAATCTGATACTAAGCTTAAGGAACAAGGCAGCGAGAATGGCGCCTTGAAGAACAATGGGTTTGAGGGTGTTAAGGCTAAGGAGTCTAAGGAGACTGCACTTCATCTCAGGACCTCAGGTCCACTGGTTGACAATACATAATTTTCTCTCAGTATAAGAAAACCTTGTTCAATTTGAATTATGGTAAACCATGACCAGGAAAGGAGAATACAACATGGCTTCCTGACTAGGACTACAAAAAAATTGCTGACTGTCAGCTTTTTCAAACACTTAATTTACAACATATCTCAGGATATTAAATTTAAGGTGCAAAAATATGATATGGTTATGGAAATAACTATTGTTATCATTGTTTATTCCATTTGCAGATTTGGTGCCCAATGAGAGAATTGATCCACCCTCACAACCAACAGAAAACTTGTCTGCTCTTTCCAACTGTTACAGTAGGGCAGGTTATTCAGTGCTGGTCAGTAATGGAAGTCTCTGTGAAAGTACACCTGAGATGGGCCTAGTTGAGATGGAAAATGGAGCTGCATTTCATATTAAAGTACAAAATAACAATTATTATGGTGAGTTATTGTACAAATGGGCCGTTAAACAATTAGCATTCACTCACATTGTGTTAAATGCCATATCAGTCCACATTATTTTCAGTTAAATCATACAGTAGGGAGCAAGTTTGTACTATGAAATCTTTTTTTTTTTTAGGTTGAGTGACAGTTAGTAATTGAATTGAAGGTGATGACTTTAACTAGAATTATTACCTGACTGCATTACAAAAATGATTTATCTTCTAAAACAGCTTACAAACAAGTGTACAAATATGCAGCAGGAGAGAAGAAGCAATTTTCTCAACATAGTGTCATTTTGAATGATAACTTATACTTTTGTGGTCATGATTTAGATGAATACTTAATTGAATTCTTTCTATGTTTTTTGAAGCTGTGGAGGTGGACGTTACATTTAGTGGCAAGTTCCTTGGTGTTTGGACTCTTGAAGCTCAGCAGTTATATCCACTGGTCATTGAAGGTTCTTCTTGGGAGAGTGGCAAGCTAAAATATTTTAGCAAGCCAAATGAAACTGAGTATGGGATGCTTGATTCAAATGGGAAAATAGAATTGGAATTTAAGCCTGAGGCAATGGTGCTAATTGCTAAGCATTCACGATTGCAGAAAAGACACGAAGTATTGTTGACTGATTTCAAGTTGGCAACTGTCAAGGATCTCAGAGAGGAGATGAACCGAACACTGTGGGACCAGCTCGGGTTTATAACTTGTTTGATTAAAGGTGGAGAAGTTCTTGATGAACGGAAGTTCATAAGGTAATTGTAAATTTCAATGATTAAACTTTTAACGGGAAAGAAAAAAAGAACAATGAATAAAATAATAATGACAATGATGAGAATAATTGGCCCTCAAATTAAAGCCTGATTGGGGGAGTAAATGGTTCATTTCACAGTTGCATGCTGGGTTGCCAAGCCTTTGAACAGGAGTGAGGTTAAGGGTGACCTATTATGATACAAACCTTACTGCTTTGCAAATGTAAATTACTTTGTTATCATGCTAACTAGATACTGATTTTTATCACAACATTGTCAACTTCAGCCTCACTCCAAATCAAAGGCTTGGCAACTCAGTACACAACCGTAAAATGGCCTATTAAGTATACATAAGTGTACACAGTCACAATTGTTGTTTCCTAAAAGTAACTTTCCAAAAGATAAATTTAGTTTTATTTTAACACTATTTAGCCTGTTTCCTGCAATAGTAGATTGGAAATACACTTAATGATGATAATGGTGATATCCTCTTTCTTGTTCTTTGTAGATCGTACTCTTTAAAGAATGGTGACATTATTGAAGTCCTTACCTGTGAGGAGCCAATATTGATAGAGTCCAGTTTCAGGGATCCCTTTACTCTTTGGGTTGATCCTCATCATGATTCCACTGAGTCAGTGAGAGGAACAGTAGCTTCAAAGATGAATGTCGAAGACCTTTCCTTTCTGCTAGATGAGAAACATATTGCAAGGAGAGGCCCCCTGACCAAAATCTTCTTACAATCAAGAAAGCCAGTTTTAAAGGCCATAAAAGCTCGTGATGTACGCATAAATGTGACTGTGCACCTCCCCAGTAAGGAAGCAAAGAGAGTTAGAGTCTGCCAGTTTGCAACTGTAGATGAACTCATGAGAGATCTCAATATACCAACCTCTGGTGCCTTGCTAAGGGTCAATGATGAAGAGATTCAAGACAGCACAGGTCTGAAAGAGCTCTTAGACCTTGGCATAAAAAATGGATCAGAGGTGACAGTGACCTTTGCCACAGAAGGCAGATCATTGAGTTCTTACAGGTAAAAAAAAATAGTAGGTAACTTGAAAGTACCGCCTTTCATAACATAAAATGTACCAAAAATAATGCCTGACCTTTTTAACAGTACAACAGTTTAGCACAAGGTACATCTTTAACAAGGATATTCACTGCAGTAGAAATCTTTAAAAAGTTACCGGTAAATGTGTTTTTGGGCAAGATAAATTTTTTTGGTGATACTTGCAAGACATATGGGTAAAAGGGTGATATGCTTGAACATTTGTTCCTTGGAACAACAAGCACTTACTCTACTCAGGATTAGTCACATAAGAGATGTCTTTCAAAATTGGTATGGGTTGATGGTAATGAATTATTACTTATCTCGATCATTAAAAGGCAGAAACCAGGCAGGAAAAAAGCTTATTACTCTGATCTTAACTCACAATGGTATTAACCCACTAGG